GGAAAGTTTATTATATAATATGCTTATTAGCAACGAAGCTTTTATTGGTTGATTTCCTCTGTTGAAAACCATTCACCAATTAAAATTATTGATAATACCATTTAGATGGCCAATGAAAAATGAATTACTCGAGAAGATGGCAAGTAATTCGGCCAAAAAGGCGAAGCCCAAACCAATTGGTGGCAGCGAGACTGGGTTATATTTGACATAATGTTTGATGTTGCAGCAGTTATTATTTGGAAAGTGATTATCTGAACATGTTCTCCGTATATTCATCGATAATGATCAGGATGCCTCTCTGAAGGATGGTAGCAAACTTGTCCACCCGAAATGGGGCCTTTAGTACCCCATGTACTGAGGGGGATTGATAGCACGGAAAGCCATGCGAGAAGACTGGGTACAGTTATCATATATGAGGAGATGCCTATGAGTATTTACTGACATATTTTGAGCGCAAGCAGAGTTGACGATCATGGGAAAACAATAACGAAGATATAGCCAACTAATGTGGGCGCTACCACCAAGCAAGATTTCTCATAACTAATTAGGCTGAAAAAGCCGACAATCATCCCTAGTCAACAGGGCTAATATTCCTTTCCGGAGAAACTGGAGATGAAGGCACGAGCAGGACCGCAACAGTACTGATCAGGTATGGACAACTACCAGGTCTCATGAACTGCAATGTCAGGCCACCTTGAAGTATACCTGCTCTATCCTATCACCTGGACATTTACGGCTAAGAAAGGATGCTCGGAAATTTGTTTATAACCAGGCCTTCAACGACACATAAAGACCCTGCGAGGCTCCCTATATATGGCAATATATTGATGTGTTTGTTGTCTTCTGGCTGCAATAATGCTTGCTTTTTATTACCTGGAGGTTGGAATTTCTGTCGCATCTGGGGTCAAGACCAGGGACATGCAGATGTGCAGTCGCTGTGTACTAAACTCTGAGGGCGGTTCTGTTCAATCTAGGGCCCAGGGAAGGGATATCAGCTACCCGAACACTCCGTCTAGTTGTTAATCCTATTGCTGGCATATTCGGCATACTGCAGATATACAAGGAGTGAATCCCTTCAGCCCCCAATTGCATGTCAACTACCGCAAGCATGTAGTTCTAGGTCATGCGGGGGAAACATGCATATACTGAGTATTAATGCTTTTCTTGAGCTGGAAATATGCAGAGTCAGCGGCACGGACGCAGAAGCTAAATCCGACTGGATCATGGAGTCCCGCAGCTGTCTCGCAAGGAGATCTCCCGGCTTGAACCATGGTTGCAGACCAGAAAACCGGGAGATGGGGTAGAATCAGGGGCCTATTGGAGTGCCACGTTGTGCATCTCACTAGACAGGGATTATTCCGGCTGCATAGCTACATCTTGGTCAATTAATTGACCTTCTCGGGGAATTTCACAACATTCGTGACGTTAGAAGAAAGGAATACCCAGATATATTAGAGCTATGACTTCAGCTTGCGGAGATACGAATGCCTGCCTGCTTTAGCAATCAACAAGAGATACATGGTATCTTATGGAACTTTTGTAGTTAGTTTTGTCGACCCCGAGTACATGCCGGCTTGGCTAGGAAGATGGTATGTTTCTCCCCGCTGACCAGCACCTTAGCCCTGCTTATACATATATCCATACTGCATATCACTGTGGAGATCTATGGATCAATGCTACTATATTTGCGTTTGGGCCACTTTTTCAGCACGGAAGATCGCCAGCTCTTCCTGCTTAACTTCTTGTCAACTTCAACCTCAGCTACAAATTAATATATCTCAACTACAGGTATCCCTTGGCAATAGTAAGGACCGCTGTCTATATAATGACCAGGCAACATTCCGTGGAATGTCTCGGGGCGGTAATATTGGTCCACGACTTCTCAGACTTGTTGACGGTAAAACCCCCGGCTCGGGCCGTCCCGTCTATCATAAAGGAACACACAATATCAATGACCAGAAGGACATAATTATTGCAGAATGCAACGATACCTTCTCGTGATTTGAATACGGCAATTGAGATATCCACTACTACTTATGCATGCGTCATTTACTTTAGGAATTGAGCGGGATGCAACCTGCCCAAGGATCCTGATATCCAAGCATTTGAACAATACGCCGGGTAAAACCCCTTGCTTTACTTTGAGACCCTGGTGTACATTCTATTTTTATGCTGCAAGTTTACGTTTTCTTTACATAAACATCTCAAGATGTTTCCAGGCCCAGTCAACAGGAGCAAGGGGCCAGTGTAGTTACGCTTATAGTTGAGTTGCGGAATCGGGTATATATATCTGGATCATTCGCTCTCACGGCAAGAATAATCTCTCAAACTTCCTCAGCCAGCTCAAAATCTAACCCTTACCTTCAAGTATCAATCTCAAACCTCCTCTCACAGGCAATATGCAGTTCTTCACTACCCTTCTTCTCTTGGTGCCATTCGTCCTTGCTGCACCTGGCGATGACCTCGTGAGTTCTCTAGAACATTTTCAACATTTACTGTCTAACGAAGGATAGGGAACTCGTCACACTGATTTCAGATGCTCGTCTTCATCTACCCTTCATCTAATTGAGGGTGAATGTACCACCCCTACCGGCGCACTGTATGTTCTGTCTGAATAGTATCTTGGCGTACTACGCCGATGCATCTACTAAAAATTAATAGATCCATTAACTTCCTCAAGGATACTGTCTGTGACCTACACCTGTAAGCTTCTATCTAAAACCCAGGGAAGCAACAGCAAGCTTAAAATCTAACGAATTTGTAGGACCTCCGACTGCTCTGATTCTCCAGACCACAGGACATTGCTCAAGGGATGCCGTAACTTGATGCCAGGTGATGAGAAATACATGGCCCTCAAGTGTGCTGCTAAGGCATAAAGTAATATTGGGGATCTTCTCGGGCGGTTGGATTGTTGGCCTAGCAATGTTCTGAAGTTTTTACCTTGATCTCTATAGTATCTAGACACCACGTTCATGATGCAGAGCTAGCAGGTGTCTTTAATAGTCAAATTAAAGGCCATTTAAATAGAGATATATTCAGTATCGGCGTAGAGAGTTAAGTGTATAACATTCTATCACGCTGTCTTAGTTAAATAATAGGGCAAATTATCCAACACATCTTTGTCATGGCATAGAACAATCTCCTTTTTGTGGAGCATCACCTATATAACATATACGGAGGTCTGGTTATGTGGTTCCTAGAATTTGGAGGGCCTCTGGTGAGGACCCTTGGACTGATGAGAAAGTGCACATTACCTGAAAGATAAAAGACTTACTAACGGGAAGAGCCCGGATTTGTACGGCAGCATTGTTAAAGAGAGACTCTCACCAGTCTTTTTTTTGCATTCTGACATCAGAAGAATATCCTAGTTCCTAGACCTAAGAAAGCCACCTTATATAATGTGGTTATATCATGGCACGCATGGAACCACGAAATCTGTCTTTAGTTCTTTATAGCGACCCGCACACCAATTATCTCAGAGGTGCGCCTTGCTCAAGGACACCGGCTTGAAACAAAGCAGGAATCGCCTTATTCTCAATCCACTCAGTGCATTTGAAGTACCTTGGACGCGGCTCACCCGGAGCATAAAATGACCCGTCGGGTTTGAACTGTTCATAGCGCATGGTCTGGGGATTGAACCGCTTCTGAGAATGGGGCGCTGGTATAGATAAACACACACGGTCAACTTCGGCTGGATGTCTGGATTTGGAGACCAGCCCAAGAAATTCTTTTTTATGGAAGGTCTCTAAGGCTTCGGGGCGTTCATCTCGTCTGCATTGGTATGTCATTCCTGCTGTGATGTCACCAGTGACATGATGGGTATAGCCGTCGCCGTTGTCGTCAGTCACGATGAAGAGAACTATATGATATCTTGTCTCTGTCTCTTCGGGGTCCTGCATCGCAAGCATATGTTTGACCTTGTAGACCTCGTAGTGGGTGGATGAAGATGTCATCGTGGATTCTGCTCTGCAACGACCCAGAGGTTGATGCCTACAAACAGATTATTAATATTTTATCTCGTCCTTCCGTAAGGCATCACGTTATGTGAATCTAAAGCCGACCAATCAAATGAGATTAAATACTGCCCTTTTCTTATATCATCACGTGACTAGTATAATTAACAGTCAACCATCCTCGGCGGTAATGTTTTTCATTCTTTACACCCTTTTTATATGTTGTTTTATAAGAACTGCTATGTATAGGTATAACTTCTTATACATGCTCGATTTACTCATATCTACGAATCTACCTCTCTTGTGGAAAGAAACGTGAGCATGAAACAGAAAATTTGACATTACTCCCGCCGGCGGATCCACCACGAACCAATACCACCCATATTTCTCTATAACATAGAATGAGTCTACTAGACTTGCCTTCAGAAATTCTTTTATGGGTGCTAGAGTGTCTAGGTGCATCCTTCTTTCGAGATGACATCGGCCGTTTAACTGTCTGCAAGCGATGGTACGGAGTTGCACACCACATTTTCTATGCCGATATCGAACTGCAGGCTGGAACTCTTTCGAAACTCTTCGCCCATCCAAGCCTACCTACGAGAGCCCATCTTTTTAAACATAGCCTGAAAATACTTACGGTCGAGCTGCGTGGGTTCATGGACTGGAACCGCGTTTGCATTCAAGATTTGGATGATGGCAATATCCAGCCCTACATCGACTCATGGACAAGCAGTATAAATAATAATCTGTCTAAGCTCGCAGCGTATATCCATGAAGGCAAAGTGCTTCGAACGCTTCGATTTACAGCGTGGAGCGAATTTACCCCTATATTTCCAACGCTTCCACGCCGAGACTATCTATACTTTGATACTATCTTCAACTTTCTCTCTCTCGATAGTCTGACTGTCTTGGAATTAGATACCTGTGGTAGCCATTTTATTCATTATGGAGTCTCGCAGTCACAGTCTGGACGCCAAAGGCACATTTGCCAACATATTGCCGCGCTTCTTCCACAGTTACATTGTCTCCGTTTGCGCCTGCGTGAAATATGCCCCCTTGCTCTTCAGCCCCAGGGCGAGGACACTCCATATTTAAAATCAGTTATAGTGAATCTCAGCCTATCAAATGAACCATCGGATATCACGTCAGCATCTTATAGCAGGCGTTGTGGCTCGTCTGAAAGGCCTGGATTTCTACAGCTACGGTCTGATATGGAAGATCAAGCAACTCGCCTGGCAGGGCACATGTCCTATCCAGTAATAGTAAGAGTTCTATTCCATCCTCATAACGGCTGCTCTTCTCTAGGCTGGAAACAACAGTACCTTGATGTTTTGACTGGAAAGCGTGCGATGCTGGAGCCTTCTATACCATGGGACGAGGATGGCGAGACCGAACCTGAAGATTCAGGGGAGGAATCAGACACTTATGGCACTTCGCCAGGTTCTGATAGTTAATGCACTCTATTTTCAAGTAATACTATGCTAAGCTGTAGGGAAAGTAGTTGCTACATCTAGGCGAACTGCTTTAATCCAGGCGTTTCATACCGTATATTCTCTTCAACTGGTCCCAAGAAATCTCTTCTCCAAACATAAGCTTACAGGCCCGCTTTGCAAACCATAGAGCCTGGCGGGAATTGCTAAACTGGCATAGGTATGCAATTTCGGCTCTGGGAGACTCCATATAGTCTGACAACGAAGTTAAATTCCGGGAATGATTTGCATTCGTCTCCAGTTCCTTCAAGCTCTGGATAACGAGGGTTTTGAACTCGATAATGGACCTATTCTCCTCGTCAGAAAGGCCTGGAAACGCGATAAACTCCGGGCAAAGTGCCAGGCGTTCTAGGGGCATTGTTTGAGCGTGGCTCCAGTCTAAAACCCCAGTCAAGTTGAATTCTTCATCAAAGAGGAGGTTTCCATAGTGTAGGTCTAGATGACAGAGAGGGAATGGACCGTTTATTCTATTGTTAATATACGTATGATCGGTAGCCAGCTTGAGAACCCAGCAAGCTGTAAGCCAGTCTGAATCGCCGGGGTGAGCCGTAATAATCCTCTCATTCTCCTTCAACCTGTCCTTGTAAAAATATTCCAGCGAGGTTTGCGGTAGTCTTGCTCCGGGATTTATTGGGACAACTTCATATTCCGTGCCGGCATCCCTACGGGGCATAACTGGCCCAATTGAGTCAAATGATATCTTCTGGAACTCAAAGAACACGTTTGCTAACTGGCGAGCAATTTTTGGAAGACAGTGTGGCGGAGCTGATTTTGCAATAGGCCCGTCACAAGTTTGACCCGGAAGGCACTGTGCCAGAATGTAGGGGTATCCACACGGATTGTTCTCGGAAATATCATAATCGAAAATCTCCGGGGCGGGAATCGGTGTGCGGCTTCGAACAAGGCGCATTGTTGCAACCTCACTCAACATAACATCCTGACAGAAACCCGTCGCGCTGGCCCGACGGTACTGGATACGTGCAACCCAATACACTGAATCGGAAAAGGCGACTTCGAGAACTATATTGTTGAAGCCGCAGGCGAATCGAGTAGTATCGATAGTGCAGGTAATATCAGCAGGCAAGATTTCAGCTTTTGCACGGAGTAGGATTGCTCGGGATTTAAGATATTCGAAGTCTGCAGAAGCAAGGACCTTTTGCATCTGCTTGTACCCTTCGGAATCCTGATCAAGGCCACGAAAACCAGTCCATTTGTAGCTTGGACGTAATATAGATCGAGATGCTGACATTGTGGTGGTAGTGGTTAATGTAAAGATAGAGATAGTGACTGTTGGTAGTATTAAGGGTATTGCTTCATGCCTAGAGACAATAGAAAACTATGTAAAGTTCATATAATATGTAACTAGTTAGCAAACTGATAAAAAGGATTTTCGGGAAGGTTGAGATTGCCACTTAATGAGGCTTAAAATTTAGGCAGCAACTCTAACTTAACTTGGCTTGCATACGCGACTAACTGACCAATAGTTAACTAACTAGTAGTCAAAGCTTGGAGGCGCCATAACAGAAGTTGACCAAAACTACTCCGTATACCTTACAACACCACTTGATTTGCGATATATGAGTATTCACGAAGATTCTACGAGTATCCAAGAGGCTGAAGGGATACGCCAGAAATACACCATGCCGGGATTCACCTGAGCGTTGTTGAAGGCATTGTGTTGGAGAAATCCCTATCCCTTGCCCTACTGCCTGGCTAATCCATGTATAGTTACCGAAGTTCGGGCAATGCGCCGCAACCAAACACATAGCAGTAGCTAGAGGGTTAATTTAAGAAACGTCGTGCATAATAATTGCTGTGCCGCATCCGCCTCGTCCTCATCCGAGGAATCCAATGTCTGAATGACACGCAAGACATAACATCAGTGTTAGATGGGAACTGCACGTTTATTCTAGCATGAGGCATACTGGTTTTTACAGATTTAAAGGCTGAGTCTGATCACAGGATGCGCAGCCACCGCATTAAGCAATTGCACGAAGGCTATAGCTTGAATTCTCATAGTTGGTTTCCTGAAGTGCTTCGATATTTATCTATACAATGACCCCCACACCCGCTAGGTTCAACTCCAAAAAATAGAACAGGTCGATGAATTGAACATATATACTCACCTACAATAATTATCGACTATATTTATCTTCCGCTCTATTATTGCGACTCTCCAAACAGCTCTTGAGGCATTCCTATCAACTCTAAAATCATCTGTCTTGGAATACGCTTTGCAGCATCATGCCTCAACAACGTCAAAAATCAGCTTTGCTCCTGAATAATATTACCTTTCCAAGTACCTTACACAACTTCTCGAAACCGGTCACCTTCCCAGCGTGCTGGAACTGCGGCAAAGCGCTTCCATCGGCACCTCCCTGTTACTGTACCAATGAAACATGCCAAATGCCCAATTGATGTTAGCACACTCAGCTTCTCAAATTGGCCTTTGTAAGTATTGATGCCCTAAACATATATTTTCTCCTATTACTAATAGGATGTTTAGCTATCTTTTCAGATCTCCTATTTTGATGAGGTATTAAGAATGGCATGATGAGAGGCATGAGAATGGTATATTATGCACTTGGAGTGTTTATATTGATTTGAATTTGCATGTGGCTTCTTGTAACTAGTTGTTATTTTGTTTCTTTTTAAAGGAAAAACGAAAAAAAAAAGAGGATGACGGTGGGGGAGGAGGATAAAGGGGTTACGAGGAGGGAAAAAAGATGAAGTGGGAGCCTAGTCAGATTAGTTATCTTTCGTATTCTGCTTTTATATTTCACATTATTTTGTATCAATAAATCTGCTATTGTCACAGGACCCAAATCCTTTAACTAGCTAGAGGCGAGAGTGATATACGATCCGTAGAACCTCGTTAAAGTATGAAAGAAATGCTAAAGCCTTCGCTCACCAAGTAGTTATTTAATCAACCTCTCAATTAATCGGAAATTCCTGATCTGAAATATCAGCGTCAATATAATCATACTATTATCATTATAGTTCTTTACATTAACTTCTCTTTTTAATTGGTTACATACTCACGGACTGAGTATCTTAGCTTATTCACTTTGTTGTTGTAACAATAACTATGTTAAAATTATGTAGCTTGTCTTACTGACACAAATTAGTGGCTGGTTGTCCGAATGGCCGATATTTGACATGGAATATCATCTCTGCTCTAGAGGACTTCAGTGGGAATAGCCCTTTTTATGTCAATACTACGTATTTGATAGTAGTCTTCCTCAATGACGAGAGACTTAGACATTTAGCGAGGGCACTGTGTAGTCTTATATGAACAACTACACTGTGTCTTCCCATTTAAGCTATGTAGATGAATATAACTCTAGTGGGCAGTGTAGTAGCATGTTGAGTCCAAAATGTCAAAGACATCGAAGCATGTGAAAAGCTGCATCGAGTATATTAAAGATTGATTCAAGCCTTTGTCCTAACAGAAGCGTATGATGGCACAGCGGAAATCCCTGATAGTGTGGCCGGACGACTATCAGGCATAATGAACATAAACGGGTAGTGATGATAGCTAGAAAGGCCTACCATTTGGGCCCTTTATATGCACAGAGAAAGTGTTGGGTAACTAAATGTGTTTGGTGCCTGGATTTATACTTTGTTTAATTCGAGAGGAACAAGGGGGTGGCGTCTGGCGGCCGATCTCAGACGCCAAGCGCCACCTGGACTGCTTTCAACTTCAAGGACAGAACAATGAGATGCGTGTCTCTTTGATCGAGAACAAGTAATCCTTACCAAAGCTCAATCTACTGGAATAGCTCCTTGTCTTGATTGTTCTTCCCTGCCCTGGCTCAATAGAAAGACACCAGTGAACATTCACCGATCAACTGCTCGAGTCTGGCCCCCTCTCAGGCCCATGTCAACTCTCAACAGGGACCGTTGGGCAAGGGAAGAAAACCCTTTTCAGGTCAAAATAACTACCGCTGTCTGGCTGATGTGACCACCGGACAACCCACGGATAATGCACGCTTTAGCCTGGCCTGGAACCACTTGCAGTCGACACCGTGTGTCCTTATTGGTAGCAGGAAAGGGGTCGATAGAACAGCGTTACGAGGTAATATGATATGTTTCCCGCGTTAGTATCGCGAACCAGCTAACCTAACTGCTCTCCATAGTCCAGAATGATGTTACACGATATCCCTAGTTTCAGTTACTCGACATAAGGAGTATACATATATATATCTTCAATGAACCCCTCAAGTGTACGCCTGACCCTAACAAAGCAGGACCCATGCATTCAACTGATGTCTGCAGCATGCATCCCTGCAATAGTATCTGCAATATATGTATGGCCGCAAGGAGCTGGCGCATGGTAGATCCATCTATACGTAGCACGCCGTACCGTGCTCCTATACATGTGCCGTGAAAAGTTAGAGTCTAGTTAGACGTACATACATAGTAGTATGCACAATACTCATTCGAATATCCAAAGAGGCCACTTTTCGGAAGAACCTTGTTATGGATGGCTAACAGCTGACTCGTTATTTCTATAATGTATGGCTCCTCCAGGGTTATCTTCGTATCACAGACTAAGTGCCTCCTTTTGACCCTTAGCCAACTAATCCTCACAGTCGCCGGAGCCATCGCTAAAGGTTTCTACGCTCAAAGGCCAATTCGCTATATCTATTATCTGATGATTTGCTTTGATGGTATCCATTCCTTTCAGTAATGTTGCGAACTCTGCATTCGACTATACCCACCTCTTTTCATTGACATGCGACTATGGGCAGACAGTGGTCATTGTTGCTGTACTCCGTCCATAGTATCCCCATACCCAGAAGGTAATATAACTACTCTGAAACCCCCGGCGTGGATATGAAAATGTCTGTTATTCCGCCCGAAACAATTAGTGAGATCATCAGAAGTCTACAAACCTCGTGTTTGATATCATCTGATACCCCCCCAATATTTGGCCAAAAATCATTTCATCCACCATGACCTTGGGAATAATGAAGTTGCCACATGGCTCCAGCAACTTCAGGCTAGGTGCTTATCTGGCCTGGATCAATGCCTGGCTCTCAACCTCTTCAGATGGAGTAGGTGATGGCACCGGAGATATCTTGCCCATCGGCGAGATGTCTGCTTGTTTCAAGGAGGACAACCTCATTCAGCTCATGGATACTGGGAGACTGAAGCAGATCATCAGGTCGTTCCGCCATAAGGTCGATGCCAAAGAGATCCTTCTTGGTGGAACTGTGCCTCCATCCTGCGATGAAACGAACATTTTGACGCAACGTTATGATCCCCGGGTATACTGCGACTGTGATGGAATATATCCAATTCCCCAGGGTGCCACTATCGAGTCCGTGCTGCAGCAGACCGAGTGCCTCGCCATCAAGAAGATGGTTGAAGTGACCAAACTGGTGAACGAAAAGGAGGATGAATGGAACCCACGAGATCTGTTCACAGCACAACACCTTGAAGATGCAGTGGCCGAATACATTCTTTCCAATGCGGATGAGCAGGAGCCTCCTACAACCTGTCTGGGGCCTATGCCTAGCTTATCCGAGATAAATGCGCCTGATCGACGACCCAACCCCAAGTGTGATACGGATCCCTCCATCTTTCATCAACTATACCCGACGAACGAGCAAATCAAGATCCTCACTGATGCAAAGTACTTCTTCGCTATTGCCTGCGGTGGAGGGTTCTGCGATGAAGGGCTCACAAGGGCGGTAGCAGAGGCTGCCAACAATATCCTCATTGCGGATTACTGCGACGCAGCAGACGAACGATCCCTATTCCTACTCCAGGAAGTCGGCGCAGCAGCCACTGCATTCCTGAAGCTTTGCCATCTGGCTGGCGAAGTCACCGACTGGCAGTTCAACAACAACGTAGCCGTGACGCTCCAGTTCTGCGTCTTGGGGTACTTCCGTGACCACTCGCGCACTCGAAGGCCTGACGGGATATACGGCAGCTATATCACGGATATACTTAGCCACCGCTACATCGACCTGGCCATCTATGTGGGCGTTGTGAACGCATCGATCGCTCTGAAAGAGGAGATCACTAGGGAGCAGTACCATTTGCTTGCAGAGGCATGCTGTTATATCTGTGATCTGATCGACTTCCGTAGCGACGCAAAGAGAAAGTTGCGAGAGAATGTCATCCTGCGCGGTATCCGTGGGGACCTTTGTGTATATCTCGACGGCTTGATATCGTCATGCCTGAAGGCTACGACTCGGGCTATCAAATCCAGCCCTGTGAGTGCTCTTGTGGTTATGAGTATAGCCAACTGGACTCTTATGGCATCCCAGCACAAGGTATATGAACTCGTCGCTGGTACTTGTGAGCGGGACAGTGTACACTCTAAACGTTGTAGCTATACCTCAGAGACGGATGGGAGTTATCAGGAGCTCCTCAAAGCAGTTACTGTGTACGGCACGCTTGGTGACAACGGCGCAGATGTGAAGAAGAAACGAGCAGAGATGGACCTGTTGTATCATATATGTCGAGGCTCGCCACGTACACACGCAGCCTGGCTCGCAGACAGTACGAGGACTCTCCTCCGCCCTGCTACTTTGCGAAGGATTATCGACATTGTCCACTTCGAGTGGCGAGGCCCGGCTGGAGATGTCGAATACTGCCCCTGACAGTATTTTCTGAAGAATGATTAGGTGCTAGATGGGATTGGTTCGTTTCTTACGGAGTGTTTGATTTCAGTTTTTATGTTTGAGCGGAATTTGGTGCCATTTGGAGACAGATCTATTGATTTTGTCCTTTGTCTATGTAGATTCAAACCTATCTTGAATATGTGCGGTCAATTTTTATATTCTCGAAAGCAGTGATCAAAACTCAATAGAAAGCAGATGAAATACCCCTGTTGTCGTCATAAGATAGTCCTCTAAGTGCCTGTATCGGAGTCATATTTTGTATAAACGGTAGGTTACTTACAAGTTTACGAGAAAAGAAAGCAAAAACGAAATATAAATAGAGCAAACGGCTCATTTCACAAGGACGTCTTATTGCTACTGTCTGCATCTAATGGAAAATGCAGCACTTAGAATAATTATAGAAAAGCCACCCACACAAGACAATCGACCAACCAGCCCGGCATTCCGCCATCAATGAAAAGTCATACTCGTACTCGGGATTTGAAAGCTCAGTCAGCGTGAGTCGTGGAGTTCGGTTTCTGTTGTGTATTCAGCCATCCGAACGCAGACGCTCCGCCAATCGGATTATTACTTGGTCTGGACTTCCCAGGCCATGGAGCGCTTGAATGATGATGTATGGAGTTCCGAACGTCTCCGTTCTCGCCGCTGGTTGATCTGGTTGGTCTGGAGGCGAAGGTACCGTCACTGGACGGGCGATCAGCACTAGAAACCTGGGCCATGCCGATTGGGCCGTTACTTGTGGTGGATCGTGTAAGCGTCTTGGTAGGCTTTAACACTTTCATATTACGTCTAGCGGCAGGGCGCTGGGATACGGCAACATATGATGCTGGCTGGTCTGGCTTGGTAGTGGAGGTAGGGGGAGCTGCGTCACGTCTCCATGAACCCCAGTGTCCACTTCCTTCGTCACTCTTAGTACTCGGCCTACTTTGCGATTTCTCACTGGTAGCAGATTTGGGATTGACTATGTCGAAGCTGGTATCCTCCGAGTCACTAACAGCGCGAGAGGAGCGGTCCTTGTCGTGGTCAGTCAGAGCCTCAGACGTCCTTAGAGAGAGCGCAGATTTCGACGGCTGGCGTTGACTAAGACTAGGTCGATGACCGATGACGCCGGCTGTTTGTTCTGTATGAGGACTGCTGGCTTCTGGAACACTGGGTTTCTCTGTAGGTTTGGATTTTTGAGTCTGGGATAAGGATTTATCCGGCATGGTCACCAGGCACCGGAAAGATTCGTGGTCTTCAGGTCGAACCAGAGGAATAGAAATTCTATTTCTTGCATCATCAACAACGTACATCTTATCTTGAGAAAAGAGTATATCTGCATTATGAACCCGAAGGACATCACTCCCTATAAAAATAGGAATGGCTTTATGGTCTTCCTGGTCTATTTCACGGACGAAGAATCGAACGGTCAAAGCTGGAAGATGAGGTTCAGGACTGGAGCTGCGCGAAGATGACTGGCAGACACTGGCCTCCGGGAAATATACAGGCAGTTTAATGGTGCGTGCACCATCTTCCACCGTGATATCGTCCTCCAGACCCAGATTTTGTATCAACGGATAGGACACCGCAGATGAATAAGAGCCGGTACAGATTGCGGCGTAAAGCAGGGAATCGTTGGAAAAGCTAGTTGTAAGCCAGCATCTGATGATGCAGGGAACAGGGCCAAGGATGAAGAGGCCTGGAGGGGGTCCAAAGGAAGGATGTTGGCTGGCAGGAGTTGTAGTTGAGGAGGAACTCTCAACCCGAGAAGTCTCCAGACTATACGTACGCACTGAGTGATGTGAATGACCAGAAGAGCTCTGCCTCCCATCAGATCGATGGGAATAGGATCGTTCAGTGAGTGGGTGGGCTCCCATCCCACTCCCTGTACGGGCTGGCGCAAGCTCGGCCGCAGAGCGGTTTCCATGGCTATTATATCCATGCATCGCGCTCTCGTCAAAGCGCACGCTATTCGCCCTCGAGGCGCCACGCCTGGGTTCATCCTCGTGATCCATGTTTATATGCGTTCCCAGTCCATGATGGGCCTGGTCAAACCCCTTGAAAGGTTCAGCAGCTGCATTAAACACAGTTTCTAGGGGCGACAATCAGTATTGGTCCACAATTTCAATACGTAGCCAGGCATGGATACAGTGCATGCAATGGGGATGAACTCACCTTGGTTTCCATGGCTAGCACTTGAAGGGATAGGTGAGAATGGACTCCAGAGACTTTTCATCTTAGCATCATCTTCCTTCCTACGTTCCAACTTAGCCAGCCGTTCCGAGTGTTCGGCCTGTGTAGCGCACAAGTCCTTCACTTCTTCGTGTACTCGCCAGATATCTTCTCTTGTAGCAAAGGGATATTGTGCATCCATCTCCCGCCAATGGCACCGCCTCCTTCAATCACTACCGTCAAGTTCAAGCCCGACGTTTCTCTAAAAGACAGTATGGCGACGTCAAGGGTCGAGGAACGAGTATGGGCTGCCAACCCTACAGCAACCATCCGGCACGCGCGTAAAATGCGCAGAGCAACGAGCCGGACAACACGGGTTTTCCTCCCTTGCTGGCAGCAGGTATAGCAATAATGCTGCACGGCTCCAGTACTAGCCGCAGACCATATAATTCACTCCGCTACTAAAGACAGTTAAGCCTTTAGACCCCCCTCTTTCTCTAGACAAGTTGAATATCCCAAGTGTATCAAGGCCCCAGGCAGCGGTAATGTAGCAAAATAACTCTCGTCCTTCACTGTATATTCACTTGAGAGCGTAGCCTGATGGCGGGATAGCCCACCGGGGCCAAAATGCGTTCTCCTCCCAAGTTATGTAGCCACACGCCTTTGCTTGCTGTTTCTGCAAAGTGTTCGTTTCCGTATGAAGTGCAAGAAGCCAGTGGCCGCCAGAACTTGCTCAATCAGCCGTAGAATACACAACCAGCCTAGTAAATAGCCAAATAGAAAAGTGTATATCTATTAAGGGCGTTTTTTTGGTCTCGCGCTGAACGTTCGATCGGATGGCGTTGGTAGAACGAAGCCCCTCAGAGGAGAGCGACACTGTGGCGATGGTGGTAGATAAACGCGAATTCGGCAACCTCTAGCAGTCAGCGAAGAGATGAAGAAGGATAAACGGTTTGTATTATGGTAGACGGCGCAAGGATCGAACGGGGAGCTGAGTTGGCTGTTCGAGGTCGCCGTCCTGGTTCTCGATGCAGTGGATGCGGTTTGGTCGTTTTTAGCTGGTTATTTGGTAGATGACCGCAGCTCGGTGTAACAGGCGAGTGGCTAAAGGGCGATTCGAGATCAGACGCTATCTTTCACTCCTTGGACAAAGGCGGTTTTCTTCTGTGGAATTGCTGCTTGTTGGTGTTTCGATGTAGCCGAGATGGAGTTTTGAAGTCTTCGATAAACCAACTTTTTTATGTAATGGTTTAATCTATATCTAAATTTATTTCCACCTTATACAAGCCGGTTTTACATGAAGAACACTCACTGTTTCTCTCTCTTACACAGCCTGTCTTAGTCTCTTATGGGCTTTGGCCGGGTTTACTAGCAAGGGAGAGCTGGGGATTGTTACATACGGACAATGCTTTATCTGAAATCTGAAACCGAATGTACAGCATCTCATTATTTCAGGACTAAGGGTGCCCGGGAGGCTGTTTATATATGTATGCATATAAGCACCAGAGAGGGCGTCATGGCCTCTTGTTTGCGAGCGGCTGCATATGCCAAAACTCCAAAGAAACACATCGCTCCTCAGTATATATGGTCTAGAAAGAGTCGCAGCTATGCGTCTTCGGCTAATTGATACGGCGGGAAATGGACAGGTTGTTTCTCAGGGGCTTCATCGGGGTAGGATTCCCGGATGGCCCTGAGAACTTCGTTGTACATGACTTTGTATCCATCGCCGGTGAAATGGAGGCCTATAACAGGTTAACGCTGGTAGAAAGAGATACCCTCAGAGTATGGGCTCACCATCGACTAGCAGGGAGGCCAGCTTTGAATTCTCAGGGACGTTCTTTGACCCTGCAATTGGCTGGCCGTCAACCCAGCCGGCCTCTTTCATAAATGCAGACCAGATATCGGCAATAGCAACATTTAGAGACTGGCCGACCTCACGACAGGCATCGGCGTACAGCTTGGTATTGTTGGCTGAGCGTGATAAGGGGGTGACTCCCTTTGAAAGGTCGAACGCTGTGAGCTGATACTCGTTGACTGGTGGTGGAGTAAGGAGGACGACCTTGGTGCCTCCTCTGCGAACTACGGGGTGCTGGATGATGGCCTTCAGGTTCTCTCGATATTTATCCAGGGGTACATGCTGGTCCCCTGGTGGGAGGACGGCATCATTAGCACCGAAGAATACAGTCTATCCAGTTAGCTTGGGAGAAAACCTCTTGGTAGAGCAGAGCATAGCGATACACTCACCATCATGCGAACTTTGGCGACATAAGGCGGCGGGAAGAACTGAGGCAGCACATTCAAGCCCTGCGAGGATGTGTATCCGCTACAGTACCAGATAAGCACGATGAATTGTAGCAATTCAAAGAACCACTAGAATCCCTTTTCCGTACCTGAATCCACGGTTGAGGACATCTAGTTTTCGAACATAGTCTATACAAGCGTCAGAAGAGAATTGTATACATCTATCAGGAATAACTAAACTGACCGTCTTGTAGCTGTGGCGAAAAAGCAAACCCACGGCCCTGATATTCCGAGAACTGGGTTATCGAGTCTCCAAAGAGAAGGATTTGGTCGTAGGGAATGTATGAATTCGCCTGGACGTAGCCTTGGGCAAAGGACATCTCTGTAGTCATGACAAGTCCCAGTATCAGGACGAGAGGCAGAAGGGCCGTCGACTATATATGATAGCTTGTAGATTTAGAACAGTGTCTGGTATAGCTGTGTATGTTCAAGAACCATCAAGGTAGAGCAAAACGAGACTATATATCATAGAGAACTCATGCATAACAGTGACAAGTGGTATCGATATTCTAAGACAGAACGAAGTAAAAAATCATGGGCTGGCTGGCATCACTCGACTTCGACCCGTGGATGAAGTTTGAACAGGAACAAACATGAGGAAAAAGGAACGAGAGATATTTTTGCTTTAGGTTGACGGGTTAAATAAAGTCCGTCAGGGACATTAAGATGTGCCTTTATTTACTAGAGAGAGACGTCGAGAGTAGACCTACCTTTATATTGGAAGTACTATATAATAGCATCTTCACGGTCAAGGCTGATATAGGAGGGAAGGGTAGATGGATGAATGGCTTTAGGATGAGTATATTGCCAATAGTATTATAGACTTGAGACTGAAATATCAGACGAAATGCGCATTGTGATGACACTGGGATCAAACATCCAACTTATACTGTCCGCTGAGAGAGTCGATAGGAAGCAAGAGCCCCCCCCCCTGAGATGAGGTAGTATACAGAAGCTGGACTCTGCCGTGTAACCCGACACATCCTCTTTTCGACCACGAGAGTGGTAGTAGATTCGATGTATAGCTTGGGTTGGACGGTGGCCCCCCTTTCGATCTGTAACCGACGAGCATGGCTATATACGCCTCCATGGACTATGACCACTTCCCCGGAGGATGCTTCCATGTCTCGGTTGCAAGAAATGAGCGTGACCATCTATGTCTTTGTTCGGGGTGCAGCTCAAGGTCGTATCGGAGCGGTAGAATCCCCAACTCCCAACAGCTAACTAGTCAGAGGACCGGTGAATAAACCGTTCAAACCGGTGATGTCGTCCATCGACCGTTTAGACCAAGATAAGGTAGATTCACAGTACCTGTCCGAGGCGTCGAGCTCTAGACCAGTCCGTGCCTCAAGTAATACATAGTATCCAGCATGGCAAACTATCGAAATGCTTGTTCGCTTGCCTCTACCAACAAAATATCAGGCCCGACTGAATATCAGCAGGGCCACCTGCATGGATGATCGACAAGGCTCCTGGTCCTGCAGCGGGGTATCTCGACTGCGATGGGCTACAGCTTGCTGTGCTGTCCACCATCTCCGAGCAGGGGTTTGTCATCTTTCCCCAGACTGCTGGGCTGCACGTCATCCCATGCGTCTGACTTGTAATATAGAACATCCTTCTCCGGCAGCTTCAGAGGGCAGTCCGTGTCTTTTGTGGTGTTGCACGAGAAAAAAAGCATCCTTGTCCGCAGGTACATTCCATATATATAATCATCACACTGCATGTTATAGCATGGATATAGCATATACATATATGATCGTCTGCTGAGGTGTTCCCTGTCAAAATAGCAGCCCACAACCACCTTCAAAAGCCTTGCGGAGTGGAAATATTGAATGATATAACTGAGCTGCCCTGCCTTGTAATCGATTAGCTGGTTTCTCAACAGGCTTATCCAAGGCGTTAGCTAGTTAGTCTGCTGGCTTACTGGTCAACTAAACACACACTAGGAACCTTGCGGATGTCCTTCCGTTCGCCCATGCTTTCTGCGCCAAATAATGTGACGTGGGTCTTCTTCATCTTTCTGTAAGTCTCAATCATGGTCTTTTCTACCTCGTGTTTTGATGCTGGTTTGCTGCAAGCCCAAAATATGAGAAAGCAAAAGAAGAAAAAGCGACTCCCACGTGACCGGGACTTTCTTCGTTTCTTCTTCTTCTTCGTCTTCGTCTTTCGCTTTTTCCTTTTCTTTTGCTCCATCTCGTCTTCTTGTTCCTTTTGGGCCAAAAAAGGGGTTTGCCTGCCGGTGTCAGATGATGCCGTTGGTCGCCTTGCGCCCCCCGTTGACCCTCATCGTCGCTCTCTCTTCTCCTCGTTCGGTTACCGGAAGCTGCTTCATGGATGAGATGTAAGTAGAAGCTTTTAAATCCCGTACAAGATGAATGATCTACTGCGTTCCCTTGGCCGGTGGCCACAGACGCGGCAGATGCTCAATCGTGCCGTTTCAAAGAGTTTCGGGGCTGTCCAGGCCTTGTCCTGTAGTTGTCTTTCCCCGGTCAACTGCCTGACCGTAACTCATCTGACCCTTGAGATTGACCTTATGAACACCCCTACAAATAGAGCCTGCCAATCGACCGTCCGAACTGACATTTGATCAATAGAATTTAGAACCTAACGGTCCTCACGTGTATACGTTTTATACTTCTTGTTGGAGTCTCGAAACATGGCTCGAGTGGTCCGCTCGAACACAGATGAAGGAGGCAGAGGAGCTGGTGGTGATGGCGCTAGCAGTGATAACCCTGGCTCGAGGGCCTTGCCGGTAACATCACCTCCCTCGCCTACAGCGTACCGGCATGACAGCACCCCTCGTCTGCCCGATATCCGATTTAGCATCCAACGACGAGACATGGACGAGAGGACTAGCCTGCTAGACGCCAGCAGCCAGCACCAGCGCGGTTACAGCACTAACCCTGCTGCCTCTCCACGCCCTGATGCGTTCTTTCGGCACAACAGCACGGCCGGCAGCCTGCGCATGTCCAAGAGCCACAGTCGTGCGAACTCGCAGGTAGTCAGGTTTGCTCCCAACAGGACTGAATCTTTACCTGCAGAGCCAGATCGTGAACCGACGAGGCCCCTGAATACTGCGCCTTACTCTGATGACCGGGTCTGGTACGACCAGTTCACCTCTACAGACTGGGTGCACGATACCATTGCCGATGGGATACGGTTGCGAGAGCTCCGGAGTCGACGTGATATACGTGGAAAGCTCCTGGCCTGGTTCGATGGCGCCCAGGGCTGGGTTCTGGTTGCTATAATCGGCCTCCTTACGGCCTGTGTCGCCTACTTTGTCGACGTCACCGAGATCGTCATATATGATTTGAAAGAAGGATTCTGCAGCAACAACTGGTTCATGAGCAAGAAGCACTGCTGTCCTTCAGAACATTGCACGGCGTGGCGTTCATGGTCGGAAATACTAGAGTCATCCACAATTGACCGTATGTGGATCGACTTTGGCGCCTTTGTTTTCTGGGCTGTGTTACTAGCAGCTGCATCGTGCACCCTTACACTGCTTACCAAAACTGTCGTCCCGTCCTCGATTTCTCTCACGACTTTGGATGAGGACTTTGGTGCTGTTGCCAGCTCATCGTCGGACGAATCATCACCCCCCAGCAAGACAAATCTCGACGTCCGGCCTGTCCAAGATGCAGTCCCACCGCCTATGGTATACTACTCCGCCGCCGGAAGCGGTGTTGCGGAAGTAAAGGTCATCCTCTCTGGATTCATACTACATGGATACTTGGGATTTCAGACTCTCGTCGTCAAGACTCTTGCTCTAGTTCTAAGTGTTGCATCAGGGTTGAGTGTTGGAAAGGAAGGCCCCTATGTCCACATCGCCACCTGTATCGGTAACATTTGTTGCCGGCTCTTCTCCAAGTACCACTACAATGATGGAAAAAGGCGAGAGGTGTTGAGTGCCAGTGCTGCCAGTGGTGTTGCCGTTGCCTTTGGAGCTCCCATCGGAGGTGTTCTCTTCAGTCTGGAGGAAGTTAGGTATGTATGCTCTATTCGAAACATATTGACCTATCCTCAAAGCTAACCAGCCTAAGCTACTACTTCCCTCCAAAGACCCTATTCAGGACATTCTTTTGCTGTATTGTAAGGATTCACCCTTCATTGGATGTTCATAAACCGCACTCTCTAACGTCGTTTCCAGGCCGCTGCTCTTTCTCTCAAATTCCTCAACCCATACCAGACCGGCAAAATTGTTCTCTTCCAAGTTCGCTACGTATCGGACTGGGAGATATTTGAGCTCGCCATATTCATGCTTCTCGGAGTACTGGGCGGAGCCTTCGGAGCTCTTTTCATCAAGGCGTCAAAGCTCTGGGCACAGTCTTTCCGTCGTATCCCCGTTATCAAGAAATGGCCAATGCTTGAGGTCGTCTTGGTCGCCTTGATTACCGGCCTCATCAGCTTTTGGAACCGTTATACCAAACTCGCGGTTTCTGAGCTACTTTTCGAGCTTGCAAGTCCGTGTGATTATGAGGGAAACACTGAAGCGGGGACCGGCCTGTGTCCTACGAGGGAAGACATTCCTGATGTTATAAAGTATCTCCTGATCGCTTTTATCATCAAGTCCTTCCTCACTACTATCACCTTTGGCATCAAGGTCCCAGCTGGTATCTACGTTCCCTCCATGGTTGTGGGCGGTCTGATGGGCAGAATTGTCGGCCATGTTGCGCAGTATTTTGTCGTCCATTATCCGAATTTCTTCCTCTTCGGACAGTGCCCAAGCACTAAGATTGCAGAATCATGTGTTAACCCTGGTGTTTACGCCCTCATTGCTGCTGGCTCGACCATGTGCGGCGTCACCAGGCTGAGCTTGACGCTTGTTGTCATCCTCTTCGAACTGACTGGCAGTCTGGATCATGTTCTTCCATTCTCCCTCGCCATATTATGTGCCAAATGGGTTTCCAACGCGGTCGAACCTCTAAGTATTTACGATCTCCTAACCGACATGAACTCCTACCCATTCCTTGACAACAAGCTACACCCAATTGCCAACATCGAGCTAGGGGATATCGTGCCCCGAGTCAGAAGGAATCGAGTCATCGACATCTCAAACTCTCCTTTGGTCAGTGCAACCGAGCTACGAGAGAAACTGGACATTCTCTTAATGGCCGGCGAACTCGACGGTGGGCTGCCGATACTAAAGAAGAACATCCTCGTCGGCCTCATTCCTGCTCCAGAGCTAGAATATGCACTTGATAAACTACCATCGGAGCAGGATACGATGTGTTTGATGTCCATGCAATCATCTTACCTAACAGAACGAGAAAACGACGAAATGGACGTGGCTGATTTTACTCAATACATTGACCCAGTAAGTCTATTCAACCGCCCCTTTCTATGGGTTCACAATCCATGCTAACGGATTTCCACGTCATAGTCCCCCGTCTCTCTAGACATTCACTCGCCTATCAACCTGGTCTACCAATGCTTTGTCAAACTGGGCCTTCGATATATGTGCGTCCTTCGTGACGGTCAATATGCAGGCCTAGTGCATAAGAAATCTTTCGTCAAGTTTATGAAAGAAACCGAAAAGGCTTCGGCCGCAATACACTGAACCTCAAGCGTTCTCAACATAAAAGTGGCTTACTCGTTATATGAGAGCCAATCCAGACGTGACTCTTGTCTGTTTATTGACTTTAGTCGATCTTCTCTTTGTTTTCTGCTTAGTTTTGAATTATCGTTGTTGCCCTTCTTTAGCCCCTCCCAGGGCACTATACCCAGCTTCGGGGAGATGGCGCTACCCTACTTATGATATCTATACAACCCTGCTCTACAGGGACGTTGATTTTTCGCCTTAGAATTTGCGCATTTTAGAGGTGTTCTTTTCTTCCCCCTTCTTTTTCAGTGTGATGTTATTCTTGCAATATTGTTATTTATCACATATTCTTACCAGCCGACTATTTATGTATATCTCTATTATTCTTACTGCAACACCTGCATATAGATGGATTCTTTATCCAAAAATGCTTTTTCATATTTATACTGAATTTCAAGAACTGTACACCAATTTCAATACCTATAATTCAAGCTCCCAACATGCCAAAGGCGCTATTGGATCAAGCTCATGTAAATAAACAGCATATCATAGCCTCTCATACCCTACCGTCTTCACAGCACAGTCTCCTTCCCACATCCAATCCTGCGGTACCTCTTCACCAACCCATTTCCCAAGCTCCTCCGATGACACCTCCTTCCACCCTTCTTTCATACCCTGTTGATCAATAGGGAAACAAGTATCGCAGTCAAACCCGTTAACCAGACTCTCAACATCAGACTGTGTATCAGCATCCCCCCGTCGTCGAACATGAGTCATAATAATTCTTAACGGATTATTCTCCCCAAGGACGCTTGGGGTTAATCGTAAACTAGACGCGTATATCTCACTTCCTCCCATGATATATATGTTTCCCAGACGCCTCTTTCCCGCCCCCACTTCTGACGAGGAACTTGAAGCAAAGCTGCTCTGTAAGGTAGATAGTGCAGCCTCCAAGCTGTTCGACACCATCACATCTGGCTCCTCCGTAGACGCTGCCGTGCTGTTATCGCCCTTCTCCAATTCTCGGTTTTTGAACGCGTTCCAGTCTGCGATTGCGCGCTCCATCACGGAACCGGATTCATCACGCGTGATAATGACGTTAAGTCTCTTGGAGAGCGGCCGAAATCTCGCTGGTATCGAGTCGTATGTCTTCCTGCCCATTATTACAGCATTGATGACTGGTGCTCCAGATGCGTTCGTGGAGGGTGGAGGGCGCGTTGTCACGCGAGCAAAAAACCTCATGTCTGTCTTTATCTTGGGCCATGGTAGTGTGCCTCCTTTGCCAATTCCGAGCTTGCGAATGCTAGGGTTGGCTGCTGTTGTTATTGGGGTGGTCGCGACGACGAGGGTGAGGGGCGGGAGTTTGGCGGGCATATTTGGACTTTCGGAGTGGTTGGTCATTTCGAAAGGTCAGATAGTTGTTGGTAGTATCGACGTGATGGATATTAGTTTCTCAATAAAAGCCAAATTATTAACAATACAATATGCAGCGTAGATGTTTCTTCTGCCGTGTTAATGTGGCGGGGGAGTTCGTGACTACGCAAGGGATTTATTCGCCAGCATAGATAGCGGACCAAGCCTTCATAGGAGAGAGTCGCGTATCTACCTGGACGGACAAACTGATATTTTAGTCGAAGAATAATCCAACAATAAGAGAATATCTTGATAAATAACACTGGGGTATCATCTAAATAAGTACACGCAAACGCCCACCTAACTCCTTGTGTATTAACTAAAAGGCACCTTATAGCCCGATTAAATGGTATGCCAGGAAACAACAGCAGAAATCATTGATTTTCCGACTCTGCTTGTAGTCTCTGTTGAATCACATCTCTCACGGCCTCTACATCCTTCTCCAGCCGCTCCCGTCGTTGAATGTCTCTCTCGTCCTCACCGACAGTCTCCAGCTTTCCAAATAGCCATGTTTCTTTCAGCGTGCGCGTAAGGGACAGTATATCCTCGGCAGCACGAATCTAATCATTCCATATGAGTTAGCCTTGAGCTTAATGACAGTAGGATAAGGGTGATGGGCTTCATATTTACTAGAAATTAAATGAAGACAGGGAATACATACAAGAGCTGTTGATTCGACGTCCAACTGGTACGACTCAATGGCTGAGGATGTGCGGCTGGGATTGTTCACCTAGATACCCCTCTGCTTAGGAACAAAATAGGAAGAACAATAAAAATTGAAGATTATATGGCTTATCATACTGTCGCAGCAGCCATAATATTCTCAAACCTCTGGAGAAGCTGGGTTATGTCTGCATTGATTCGTGCTGTATTATCCCCGCGAATTAGACCCATGGCTACAGAAACAGGCTCAGGGAAACGGGCGGCTTACTATGAAGAGCACGGGAGGTCGGTTGCTGTGTGGCCATCACGACACTTGTAAAGGCAGCCTAGTCTCATACAAATCTGGGGGATGAAATTTGGTCGAAGTCTTGGTCGAAAGCTGAATTTCTTTCTGAGCATCGAAAAAGTACAAAATAAGGTTTTGAATCTAATCTTATCTTATCTATTATCACATGATCTAGTTGTATCTCACGTGTGCATATCTTGGCATCAAAAGTCTACGAACGGGTAGATTAGTGCGTCTTTCATTAACATTGTAACTCTCTCTCCCTATTTCCTGTTATTTCTATGGCAAATTCAAGTCTAAAGAGCTGCACGAGTGCTTGAAGCATTGGCGGGATTCACGGCCGGCTGAGATCGTCTGGTGAATTTTGAACCTGACATTGATCGAATGGCCACATTGTCTTCAGTTCCTCACGGTCCTTGTCGTTCTCCATGCTATCCATAATAGTCTCATAGAAATATTGATGGGCCTTCTTTACCCCTTCCCAGCGATTCTCAGAAACCCACCCATCATCTTCTACTCCCAGCGTCTCAACCATATCCTGCCTAAACTCCAGCATTTTATTATAGACATCAAGCTGTTCCTCATAGAAGCTCATGTCATCTAAGGCCGGGATAGGGCAGTTATTCGCAAAGCCAAGCTGTGTCCAAGCATCTCTCAGTCGCATTAACTCGCAGGTGAATGGTACAAATCCGTCTCTCCACGTCCTATGGCAGTAGCGGAATGGCCGGAGGAGTGTTTCGTCAATTTTTCTAGTTGCTCCTAGACGTGGAGCTAGGAGGGTCCAGCCTAACTCATAGGCTTGACTACAGAGAGCTTCATCCGTAGACTCTGGCGCTCCTTCAAGTGGCACCTTGGCAAAATCAGGCGTATGGTCTGCGTAATAGAATGCTGGCTCAATACTTGCACATTGCCAATCGATAATCCCAGTCACGATACTAGGATCGTCTTTGGAAACAAAAATATTCCTCTTGTGTAGATCAGAGTGGAAAATGGTAGGTGTTGAGTTAGAATAGATATCCGGGTGCTGTATTAGCTCAGGGAAGACAGATTGGCCCACTCTGAGCAGACCCCGGTGCCTATCCACGGAGCCTTGGTAGGATGCTTGCTGCCGGCAGAGAACAGGTTGCTCGGCTGGTGGCAATCTTGCAAGGCCAGAATCAATCAAAGCAGCAGTGTATGATGAAAGATCACGCCCTATAATGTTGATGATAGTTAATTACAAGGTAAAATATATCAAGTAGGAGAACTTTTAAGAAAGTCACCTTACATGGCCCTCTATTCGGTCCCTTGAATGCGTAGTATCTTGGCTCACCAACATTGCAGTCCCAGTAGGTACTTCCCCTACAGTGCGGCCCAATACAGTATTTGGGGTCATTATCCAATATTTGCTTAGAATCAGCCTTAAGAAATGATGCATCGGCAAAATATAGGCTGCCATATGCCGGGAAGTCAAGTTCGGATATTGGCAAAACGCTTGTACAGATTGCTCCAATACACTTTACTTTCTTCTCTGTTGGCATATTCATCCATGCCTCTTGCAGTAGGACGCCATCAGCATGCTCCATGATAATGTATTCTGAGCCAATGGGGTTGGTTGGATCATCATTCCAGTCCAGAATGGTTGGAATTGGTAGTTTAGTATGGCATTGCACTATATGTAAATTAGCATTAGATCTCTTGCAATGTTCTAACTTCTCTTACAATAAGTGATTGTTGCAACTTCGGAGTTCGTCACATATCTTGCTGGTCCAGCAACAGATGTGGGAAATTTGGCGACGACACATTTACCATTATCAGTCTTAACAATAAATGCTTTACTAAACCCGCCTTCTAGTTTCTGGAAGCTTTCAACTGAAGTTGCGGAGGGACATAGTGAAACTACTCTCTCACACAGGCGTTCGAAATCAAATTTAACGTAGCGTGCGTCACGCTGAGGTTGGTCAAGGTGTAACCACCGTCCAGCTGTGTATTCAAAGAGCGCTAGATCATGTTGTTAGAATAAACTGATTGAGATATTGAGTGAAACTTACACGTTGGAGGCGTGTTTCCTGACATTGTCTGATAATGTAGCCTGCGAGTTGCGAGTTGTAAAGAAGCCAGTAAAGTGTGCCTAGGCTGAACAGGCCGCAGACCTAATTTTTTAAGAGGGCAGATGAGAAACCTGCCGCATCTCACATCCATAATCACAATTCGATGAAACTGGTCCTTATTTCCACCCTGGTTTTTGGTCTTCGAATGATTATTTTAAGTCACCAAGTTACACGTGACCCCGACAGCGCCCTTTTAAGTTATCCTGACGTCCTGAGCCAATGAATGCGTGATATTACCTCCCGTACCCCCCTACCTAGACCAGGGCAGCGAATCATTACTTGGCCCGTACTCCGTAACTTCCATTTTTAGAAATAGCACAATATACGCGCCGCACCCACTCCACTCTGCTTCACAGCATTTCTCACTTTATTTACCAATAGTTTAGGCAATGCATTTGCCAACTGTACACTGCTCCCTGCAAACTGAGATCCAGCCTACCATGGCTCCTTCCAGGAGCACGGATGTCATCAACCTGCATGCAGCTGGGCAAAAGGATAGGCGCTGAGTTGATGCCAACAACTCGTTGAAACCTCATGCATAGGAAGGCAGTGACGGAGCAGCCAGGAGCTCCCCTATTTCTATTTGTAGAATGAATCCTGATCCAATCGCTCATCGGCTCCTTCAACCTTTTGAAACTGACGTCTTTCTACCTGTTCTAACGCCCCGGTCGTTCAGCGCTGTCATGGCGCTTGGGAAAGAGCATATAAGGGTTGATAAAGTCCCGGATGGTGAATATTTTTTCTCTCTCTAATCCATCACACTCAAATTCTACTCTTGATCACCTGCTCATTTCCAATATCAAATCTCGTTCCCTATTTAAGGCGCCCTGTTTGTTCGTGAAAAAAATCCTATCATCATGTCCAAGGTCATTGACGCTACAAAATCCGTTTTCAGGGGCATAAAAAATGGAGCCTCAAAATTCACAGAGTCTGTTATCGAAGGCTCGCGCATAATCCCATCAAAAAATATGGATCACAAAACACCACTCCGCATCGATGCCGGAAAGTACGACCCTATCACGAAGATGCTTAATGTGGTATTGCAAGTCAACTCCAAGCCACAAAGCCCCGGCCTCCAAGCCTGGCTTAAGAAATTTTCCACCCACGCAAAGCTAGCCACGGCCAGATTCAACACCGCAGCTCCTGATAAAAAAGTTGAATATTATCGTATGTTGGAGGAATTGGCGACAAACGGAAAGCACAACCTCAAGAACATGAAGACAGCCGATGACGAATGAAATATTGAATCATGGAAATGATATTATAAGACTTAGGACTGATACAGCCTTTCCTTACATTTTTCAATTTTCTCTCCTCCTTATATGTATTGATTTGTTGTTGGTCCAACATGCTGGTATTTGCTTTGATAGTCATTGAATTCTACGTATTGTTTATATATACTATAATGGCTCGTCATAGACGAGAGATCTACACCTATAGGAGACAGTGAAGGAATTAATAAGTTGGAAAGAAAGTAAAAGAGAAGGGAATGAAAAGCAGGCCGGTGCGTTTATACCATAGAGAAATTAAGGTGGCACCTCAAACTAGCTACACACTATGTTTCCGATATTTAACAGTTATTACTAGAAAAAGAATAAGCAGAGTTAGATATATATATGGTGTGTGGGAATTAGTGCCGTAAACTTATTCCGTCTCCGTTTACACCATTCAGTCATACTAGTTACTTGTCCATCTTCTATCTGATCTACGTGCCTCTGTTTGCTCGCGAATATTTCTTACTCATACAAATGCCATGAACCTAGAGCCATAACTATATAGCTAGTCATGGATTTCCACCTCTTTGCTCTTTTTTTACAAGGCGTTATTGATAATATTGAATAGACCCATCGCTCCAGTTATATGGAGAATCGTTACACGGCTAGTACGAAGGGTCACCTGGTGAATAAATAACCTCCGGGATAGTCAATTTGATGTCATATCTGATACGTAACTGCAAGATATACGATTGGTTACATGGTTGGAGAGGCATATTTGTGATTCAATAATAACTTCATTCAATTCATTTCAAGATAATGAGATATCCTAGTGACGGGAACTACATTCCATTGGTGGCTGGTATGCGGAAAGAGAAAGTACTGTAGCTGCAGGAGACACCCTTGCAGTATAAAAAGCTTAGTAGTTGGAGCCAGAGCCTCCGTGGCCGCCGGAGAGTTTATCGCCGATCATCTCACCAACTTTGCCGAGGACCTTGGAGGCAGCGGATTCTGCAAGGTCATGGTTAGCATAGTCGGGAAAAAAGGGCATAGTATGAGGAGATAGATATGGGGGTCTACTCACTGTTTCTGCTCTCATCATCATTATCATTTCCGCGGTAGCTAGATCCGGTGTTGTCATTGCGGGACTTGGATCCATACGAGTCGTCATCATTGCTAGAGCCATAGGTGTTGCTAGACTTCTTGGTGGATGAGTAGGTGTCATTGTCGTTGTCGTTGCTGCTTCCGTAGGTGTTGCCGGAAGTGCGAGACTTGGATCCATAAGTATCATTGTCGTTGCCAGATCGGCCAGAAGTGCCGTAGGAATCATTGTCCCTAGACTTGGAGCCATAGGAGTCGTTGCCGGACGAACCATAGTTGTCGCTGTCTCTGGTCTTGGATCCGTAGCTATCATCATTGTTGCTGGAGCCATAAGTGTTGCCAGACCGGCCAGATGAGCCGTAGGAGTCATTGTCTCTGGACTTAGAGCCATAGCTGTCATTGTTTCCGGAGCCGTAAGAGTCATTGTCTCTGGACTTGGAACCATAGCTGTCATTGTCGTTACCAGAACGGCCTGAGGATCCGTAACTGTCGTTATCTCTGCTTCCAGAGCCGTAGGTGTTGCTAGAGGACTTGGTCGATCCATAAGAATCATTGTTACCGGATCGGCCATAGGAGTCGTTGTCTCTGGACTTGGATCCATAGCTATCGTTGTTTCCGGAGCCGTAAGAGTCATTGTCTTTGGGCTTGGACCCATAGCTGTCATTGTCGTTGCCAGAACGGCCTGAGGATCCGTAGCTGTCGTTATCTCTGCTTCCAGAGCCGTAGGTGTTGCTAGAGGACTTGTTTGTTCCATAAGAATCATTGTCGGATCGGCCAGATGAGCCATAGTTGTCGTTTCCAGAACGACCAGACGATCCATAGGTGTCGCTGCTGTCTACGCCAGAGCGACCAGAGGACTAGAAGAGCCCTTGTCAGCATACATCTTTAGGAAGACATAGTAGAAGTAAACAGGGGGCATACGCCGTAGCTATCATTGTTGCCGCTACCGGACTGTTGATGTGTTAGCTTGACAGGATCAGAAGAGCAGTTTCACTGTAAGGCATTGATTAAGGTAAACATACGTAGCTGTCGTCACGGTTGTTGTAAGACATGCTGAATGGAGTGCTGGAAGAAGTGTGAGAAAGAGACTTGGTAGCAGAGAAGATATCTCAAGAGGATGTAAGGTATTTGGATGGTATATAGAAAGAAGATATTGGGATATACCGGACGGAGGGGAGGAAAGAGGGGCCTTTTATATGTATATACGACCACCCTTTATGACGATGATATGACCATAGGGGCCATAATGACGATATTTACCCCTCCGCTAGCAGGAACTAAGCCCAAAACCCAATCCATTGCACGATGAACGTCACGCCTGCCAACTTCGGAGACGCATTGGTAAAGACGGCAGATGGTGGGTATCAGTCCTGGGTAGATGAAGAATGCGAGGGCGCAAGTTCTCCGTGGACGGGCTGGACGAGGGGGCGGCGAGATGTGATTGATCCAACCAGGTCGAACTGGCAGTCTGATACAGGGGGACGAGATCAGAAAGGTGTGCAAGGGTGGGATGGCCCCATGCAAACATACGTAGTGTTGCTTTTTGGCTCGCATAAAGTAGCATGGCGGTTTAGCTCTCGCAGAGGGCTAGGCGACATGCCGCTACAGGCCAATTGCGATACAGCATCTCTTCCGATCGAACCCCGCATCAACGCCATGAGTTTCGTCCTTGATCCACTGATGATTCGAGTTTGTTCGATAGAGGCGCAACACCACTAGAGAGCTCATCGAAGTGGCCGGAGAAATGCGATGTGTCCGTTCAAGGCGGGGAACCTATGGCCCTGGGCTGAGGGAAATACACACGGGGAATCTAGGGTAAAGGGACAGGCCAGTGCTAATACCGCCACTTAGCTTAAGCGTTTCCTGAATATTTCGACACCGGCGGGCCTTCTGTGGCTGTGCAGGGAGCTCGACAAGGGGGAGATGGAGCTTTTGCCACAGGATGAGCAGAAGGCGATGGAATATGATAACTGAGATCTGAGGCTGGGGCTGAGCACAGCCACATAGGGAACCTGATGGGCCGTCAAGCCGAGATATCGGACCATCTTTTGACAACATGCGATACAGGGGCGAAAGGGTCGGTTTGAGTAAACAATCCAGATATAGAAATTCAAATGTTGTACCTCTCGGTATAGAAACACAGGATAAACCTTATGCGTCGCCCCTCCAAAAAAATAAAAAAAAAATCCCCTCAAATAATAAAATAGCGTACAGTTGATAGTGGCGAACTCCATGGCGCCTCTAATGCCCTTATTGGCTTACCGGACATACTTAGACTGCGAAGAAGTTAGCATACCAAGCGTTTGATTCAGGGAGACTGAAAATTAACAAACCATGAATCGTTTGTGGAAATCAGATCGCAGCAAATCCTAAAATAAGACACTGGTTAGCCAGTGTACTATTCTTACAAGGCGGATAATTAACAAGGGATGGAAGAGGGGCTGATGCTAGAATGGCTTACATTGACAAACTCCTTGTCACCCTTGTTTTCAGTTCCCCGGGCTTGATTCTTGAAAATAACGTCGTCATCCCATCGTCGTTTGATATTAAAATCTTGCGGGTTGAGTAATGGGTTCCCTCGAGCAATTTCAACCTCTCGTTGCTCTTGCTCCTTTGCTGCTTGTTCTCGTTCCTATATCACAGTTAGTTGTTTTGATTGCTTCTACAGATTTCCAGCTTACCTCTCTTTCCCTCTGCTCAGCCCTCTCCCTCTTTATCTTCTCCAATTCTCGCATCAATTCAGCTGTTTCGTCTTCCTCGTCATCACTGCGGATATAGGTCAGCAAACATTTTGGGAAATGATAAGGTACTGTTTCTAATATACCTATCTTCTTCACTGCTGTCTGAATCTCCGCCATCCGAATCCGCATCTATATCTCGTGTCTCCTCCAGTATCCTCCGCCGTTTTGCTTCCGGATCTTCTTCCGTAATTCCTTCTTGCCCTGGCGCGGATTCTAGCTGTCTTTTCGGAATAGAAGACTCCGTATCAATGTTAGATGACCCTTGCCCGTCATTCCCTCCCTTGATTTTCGCAAAATGAGCAGCTTCGGCTCTCAAAAGTTCAGCACGTAAGTTGCGTGTCTCTGGTTGGGCATCTGCAGCACCTCCTTGTCCCGGTTGTCTATATAGAATAAAAATTATAATCAGCAACGATAGTAATAACCATGTCGTCGTAACTCCATACCTAACTTTAAGAAGAGTATGGGCAGGAAGAAGTCGCTGATGGTATGCTGGCCCCCTTTGAGCCTCTTTCCCTCTAGCCTATCATAGTTGTAAGTGGATTGAAGCGTAGTTAGGGAGGTTTTGATGATTTGACGTACAGGGTCGAATGTCGGTCTATGAGCTAATATGCGAGTTAGTAATGTTGAACTCCGCAGATAGACTGAATAACATATACCTGTAGTCATTTTTGTAGTTCTCTGAAAGATGTTTAAACCAATTTCTTGGTAAAAAGCGACACAGAGAGAGATGCTTCAGTCATCGTTAGCAATGGAAGAGTGTCCAAGAACTTTTAGTCACGTGATGTAAATATTAAGGTTATAGATCCCAGCTAATAAGTACGCTCAATAACTAAACGAACATCATTTCCAGGCTGTCACAAATCGCAGGGTTTACAAAAATTGAAAATAAGTATCCATTAACTACTCATTAACTAATCACGAACTGCTCATAAACTAATGAGCTATGTTCATGCGAGATAGTCACGTGGTAACGTCTTGCCACAAGCTTATAACTGGCTCCTTTACTCCATAGTTTACCATGAACTATTCAATAACTCCTCACAAAGCAAGATTTACAACATTCGCCGCCATGGCTCACCCACAAGTACAGCCTCCAGAGGTACCAACTGAAATTCGCGAGTCGTGCCAGAGACTTCAGGAGAATGCAAAGAAACTCAAAGCCCTACGGCGACTGGAGCCGAGGGCCATAAACCTTCTTACCGCTGCCGTGAAGATCATAACTGTTGAGCAGTCAATCCGTGCTTCCAAGATATACAACTCCTTTTTACACGATATTCTTCGGACATGTGGGCAGTCTGGACCGGGGCTTGTTGTATTATGCGCCGTTAGCTTGGGAAAAAATAGGGTGATCTCCTTGAGCGAGGAGAAGAGAACGATGCTCGTCAGCTGGGTTACCAACAATCAGGCTTTCCTGTATGATTCAGCTCTCTCTTCTCTCGCGGCAGAGTACGGCGTGCCAGATTCGAAAAAATGTGAGTACGGTCTTTTTAACCTATCATATAGCTTGCTAAAGCTCAATAGGTTGTGGCGATTCCGCCGACCCTATTGCCCTTCCGCTTACTGAAACAGCGGTAGAAGTCTTGCGTGAATACATGAGAGAGGGAAAAGGAGATCAGCTACAGATTTTATGTCCTGATCCATCCATACAAGAACCGTTTATGCTTATACCTTTTGAAATATGCAGTAAGATAATGAAAACTTATACGGGTTGAAAAAAATCAACTAAAGGGTGCTATCCACCCTTTGTGATTAACTTGATCTGCGCTCCCTTCATACACCAACAATAATAACCGGTTGTCAGAAACACCATAGTGGCCGTATATTCTGCATTTGGGTTGGTCTTGTAGCTGGTGATACACTTGTTGCCGACAAGTATGCTGACTGTGCCTTCGGCACTGTTATTTCTTATGACTATAGCCGTCTCGTGGTCGAAGGGCCCTCTGACAAAGACTGGATTAGAGGCAAGCCATCCACTCACTTCCGCATCAGGATATCCGGTCTAGTTTAAATTTCAGATATAGTTATCTGTATGGAAATGATATTATAACCTACCCTTTCGATGTATAGCATTTTTAATTTCTCGTCTTCTTCCGCACTACTAGTCGCATCCAATGTATATAAATCGTTCATTATCAAGAGTGTGAAGGATGTTGATCTGGTTCGATCACCGCTGCAAGGGGGAAGGGAAGTTTAATGGCGGTAAACTCGATCTGGGATCTCTGGTGCGGTCGTCAAGGTGATGACTTGTGCAAAATATGTGTTAATTTAACTTAGAACAAGATCACCAAAGGAGGTGCAGAAATCACTCTTGAAGCCCAGCTTCATGGCGCCCTGGGGGAGGTACCGTACCTTTCATATAGAATCCGTAGAAGGAGATTATACGGTTATCTGGTTAGCTGGTGATCCAAGTGAATAGAGTATGGCGAAATTCGTGATCAACTGGTTTCCCTGCTGAATTAAATGCACTGAAGGACGGCAGAATTGGGCATCCACGAGTGGGACAGGCCTCGTGATACCAAGATATCGACTCGAAGAATAGGAGAAAAGTTTAGATAGTTAGCGAACATAGAGCGCTACTCTTGAGAAGTTGAGTGGATTATAATACAAGTCTAAACGTTAGCTGGCAAATTCCTCTGGTTTTGACGAGAAAGATAGGCCTTTGCGGGAAGATTGGGTAACTAGGTGCTTTCTCCGAAGCTTTCGGCCCAACTATTTCGCGGCCTACAAAATCCGAGGTCTCCGACCACATCAAAATTGAGGTGCGTAAGTTAAGATGACCTAATTCCTTCACGTTATATTGTACAGTCAGATATGGCTTCAAATCGCCCTTGTTGAAGGTTACCATTATCAACTATTCAGCCACGGGTCTCGCAAGAGCTCCCTTGCACTCTGTCGCTCCTCTGGAACCCATCTTAGCATCTTTCGCATGAATTCCATGAAAATTTCTTGATTTCTGCCCTTCATGTATTTATCCGAATCCTCAAGAGAATTATTCGGAATTTCAACAAGTCCTCTCCAAGTGCCTATACCATCGAGATTTAGTAAATTGCTATATATGGCGCAAAGCCTTTGATTCAAACGGGAAGATTACCTGATTCATCCCAGTATTTGAGGCTTTCCTTGCTTCTTTGGAGAAATGCAGGTGGTGGTTGCCCCAGTAATGAGACAATTTCAGCTAATAAATGGGCGTTGGAATGCTTTCCATTAGGGCCTAGACCATCGAACATATAGTCGTCTTCAAATAGATCCCAAATCTTTGGATGGGTTAGAATAAACATAAACCACTATGAAGGTCCCTGAAAGATGAATTAAATCACATACCAAAACACCAACATTCCAGATGTCCACTTTTTCTGTCCATTTCATTCCCAACATAACCTCAGGGGCGCGGTATGGGCCTGGTTGTATAAGGCCTTCATGCTCCCCATCACCAATACGGGCGTCCCCAAAGTCAGATAGTAATGGCAAACCCCAAGCTCCCCAGCCTTTCTTTGGGTAAAATGGCCGAGATCGATAGACTGTGTACTTATCAACATCTTTCCGGGGCGTGGGGTTCTCGTTTTCTTGACTCTCCCATTCCGCGAAGACAGACATATCTTTTGTGCCGACCATAATATTCTTAGCTTGAATATCTATGAAATATGTTAGCGGTAGCTTGACGAAGCATAGATCAAATAATAGATAGTAATCTACCAGTATGGATGACATGGGCTTCAGAATGTAAATAATCAAGCGTAGTAAAGAGCTCCCGGAGTAATGGTTTGAGCATATCTTCTGTTAGCCGTTTATCAAGGAATGAAGCCTGGAGGTGTTGTACGCTCATCAAAAGCGGCTCATGCACAAGACATTGGTGGGGGCCATCTGGCCCACTAATCTCAAATGCATCAAGCATTGTTCTAATTTTGTATTTGCCGGGGTGTGAGGACTTTAATGATGCAAGATACTCTAAAACTTTTGTTTCATGCTCTGATTTTGAGTTGTGTATGAGGATTTTTAGTGCTGTATACTTGTGTTTACTATAACAGGGCTCAGAAGATATCCTTTCTATAGGGCCAGCATGGAAACTTACTGTAAATCGCGACATAACCAGACAGTGGAATTTGCACCATATCCAAGCTTGCTCAGTACCTGGTATCTGCCTTTCAATGTTTCACCGATATAAACAGGATAGAAAAGACCTTTTTCAAAAGCTAGCATATTCTCCTCTTCAAATTTGACTGCTGGATCTAAAATGCTAAATCCGCTGTTTCTGATGATCCGAGGAGGAGAGGGAGCCCTGAATAGGGCCCGGCGCCCCAGTTGAAGCAATTTATCCATTCTCAGGTTGAAGTTGTTTGAATGACAGGTTTGGGCTAAAGATGGTGCACTTATTTATTGCTGTCCTACCCTTGAACTAGGCCTAAATAGTGAGTAGCCAAATTGCCAAGGCGCTAGTTAGTCAGTTTCCGTTGCATATAGTAGTTAACTACTCATGAAATATCTAGTAGTTAATCGATAACTAGCCATCACTATGTCATATATCTATTTTGCTTGCAGGTTACTTGTCTGCCTAGCATCCAAATATAACTGTACATGTACAATATACCCAATTAGATGGATTGTATGACGACTGGCGGTAGATCCCCAACTCGTAATATAGCATTGATGTTGCTTGATCCCAGAGACAGGACGGATTCTTTAGCATCAAATGCCTAGTAGTTAATGATAAACTAATGACAATCTGAGGAGTAGTTTCTTTTATAAGGGTTAAGTAGCCAACCAGAGCGCAGCTGCATGGGCTCTGGGGTATCTATCTAGATTATCCCAGAGATTGTATGCCTCAGGATCCCTCAGACATTACCGATATTATCCAATTCCTGAAGATGCCTGGAAAGTGTCCGACATATTTCGAGGCCAGTCGAGGATAAATCTTGATCTTATCTTCCTGGCCCGTAGGATATAAATACAGCAGCTTGTTCTCTGAAAGTTATCTGCTTTTTAATTCCTAAGACGTCAGGTAACTGTTCACTTCTTAATTTTGAAGCAATTTGTCCGGTTGGGAAAATATCAGTTTAACATGTCCAAAGTTTTTAAACGCCTCTTTACCGTCGTTGGTAAGGTCACCCTTGACCATGTGAGGGAACAGAATATCAACGGCGATGCATGGGTGAGCAGCATCAACGGCAATGCTTCCAAAGCAGAGCAAGCTGTAAGCAATTGGCTACCCCCATTCAGTACCAAAATCGAGAATTATATTAAGATATTATATAGGATCCCCGAATCAAACAAGTCAAAATTCAGTGAGTGATATTGGAATATATATAGTGTCAGCTGGAGGTTGATATCAGTGCTAATACTGCTTTTCAGGGGAGCGATGGCCCACATGTCCCACACCGACCCCGACGATCCATTGAAGGTTATCAGCCTACAATATCTCGACAAAACAGGAAATAGAGTTAGGTCCGAACACGTCCACGAAGACGGCACGGCAAAGTCAAAATAAGGTGCTTTCATGACTAAGATTAGCCCAAAGGATCGGAAGACGATGAAGTTATAAACCATACCTTACGTATGTAATTGGTTTCGATATCTTTTGGTGTGCCTAGAACTGTACGAGAACGCTAGGAACTAAGGGGATGATGGACTTGAAAAGGATGTTATGGTTCAGATGCTCCAAAAAAGGTTTCATAAAGCAAATATCACTCAACTTTATCACAGCTGTCATTGACCACACCAATGGATCTGAATCAACATATATGACAAAATAACCATCGTTAGTGGTAAAATCAAGAGGCAATAGACCCGTCAAGCAAAGTCCTTGCGCAATGGGGGTAAATCGTCTGTTTGTAAGGCACACAAGAGGACGGGGCAAGAAAGTACCATGTTCTAGTAAGGAGATGTGAGTCGGCATCGTCGGGATTTGGAACCTTGTACCGCAGACGGAGCATAATTATTCCGATACCCCGAATTTCTGGGGTACAGCTTGCATCAGAGACATGCGGTTGCTCTATGGCTAATCCTCGACCAAGAAGCCTTTATGCTGGATTCATCCTATGTCCAGAACACAACACCGTCTCGCGTCGCAGGCTGGAAGTTTAAGCAGGCCAATGGCGACCGGCATGTTTGCTCAGAAAACGAAACCATGTGAAAATGACCTCACAATGGGTTCATTGCAGGAAAGCCTCTCGCAACCTGGAAAGTTCTGAAGACCTAAAAGTTGCTCTCATTATGGCTGGCGTTCTCCGATCTGCCATAGCTATATGTCCGCCTCCTCTCCAGTTGAAAGCCAACTGTTGTCAATCATTGAATTTCATATTGCAATGTTCTCCGCCCTTTGTTCTATAATGCTATGTCAAGTCTATAAACCTTGTAGCTGGATTAATCAACAGCCCATCCAGGTCGCGCATATTATATGCTCCTTTTTCATCATCTTGGATGGGTACCGGCTCCGGTGCATTTGGAAGGCGACTCGTGAAGCCGCACGACAGTAGCAAACCCAAAATCCTTGCTACTTTAACTACCCTAACCGTGTCACTGTCCAATCCTCCAGCTTCCTGGCTAAACGTGCTCCAGAACACGTCTTCTAACATAGCGTAGTCATCGTATCTAATCCAACCAGTTTTGAGGTTGATTTCGCTAATCAGTCGCTGGTGCGAATGGAGGTTTAAGCCAAATGGCGCAATCTCAGCTTCAGCCCAATCCACCACTCCAACTAGATTGCAGGACACCTCATCCACTATAATATTGCAGACGCCAAAATCTTTATGGAGTAGAACCATGGGAAGAGCCATGATGGCTGGTAATGATCCAAGTACACTCTGGATCAAAGAGTGAAAGCGGCTGGGGAGAGAAGAGAGTAATAGTTCCAGGTCCTTGGTATACTGATGGCGCAACTTGTCACGATACGTTTGATCAACATCCTGAGGGGCTTTCCATGAAAGAGCAAAAAATCTAATATTCCGAGTTGTCAGCAATTATTTGTATAGTTGACGAAGCATGGTAGTATACCTTGCAACATCAGCTACCAAATTCCTGCGCCATGACGAAAACTCAGGCGAGTTTTGAGGTACATGACTGTTATGCGCCAGAGTAAAGTCCAAGTAAGAAATACCAGGTATTCGGTTCATGACGTAGATGTAAAGGGGTTTTTTGTCCTTACTATCTTCACCAATCTGCCCATGGAAGGAGACATGTGGTGCAAAATGACCGTAGATATTTCGAGCCAGGATCATGATCTCCATATTCAGCTTGAAAGGCTCAAGGCGAAATTGAGCTACTAGCTCGGAATTTTGTCCGGCGTAGACAGTATAGCTGCACACACCTTGCACTTCCACCGGAACAGCAACACCACCACCATCAAGGTCTCTTGCAAAGGCATCACACGCTGAGCGAGTCGCTGTTGTTTGTTCAAAGAAAGTAGCGATTTCTCGGTCAAGAGAATACACGAGGTTGCTAGTACTCATCATAAGACTCCTGGAATGAAGGAAACAAGTGTGTAGTCAAGCGGAAATAGACACAAGAAGGGGTTTGAGCTTTGAATTATCTGAAAACAGACTCTTAAGGTTGGAGTTTGAGGTCGGGCCGAACCTAGATCAGCTGATCTTGCAGGGGTAAAAAGTATGCCAGATATCAGTTCTCGCCCGTTGTTCTTCAGGCTCATGAGATATACCACGAATAGGTCTCAGTGTTTTACATATTCGCTTCGTCCGTCGCCATATAAATCGGCAAAACATATTGCCACCACCTTCGATATCACACTGTGGTAGACTCCGTTTATACGAGTGGGAAATATCTCTGCTTGTGCATTTGCATATGTACTGTGAAAGGCAGCAAGGCTCTCCGATATAGACTAGCCTCCAACAATTAAAATACATACAAGGATCAGAAGATACTATCTACCTGGATATATTTCTAGGCCCTGCTATAATCTATCGATGTATGTAAGTACTATCTCGGACGAGGCTCAGTTAGAGGTATAGGCTCCGCCACCTAGATATGACTGGCCATGTAATAAAAATAACTCTGGTCCAGTTCATTGATACTACACCAGTCAATTACACACTGAATATGTTCCCCTATCTGGCATGCGTTCTAGAAGGGCCTTCCACTAATCTCACTAGGTCCTTTACCTGTTTCCCCCCCCCTTGTTCTCCAGTTCCCGGTAGTAACTCTCCCCTCTCGAGCGGCTCGTCCTTTTTTAATTCAGGGGCAGGGGCAGGGTATAACTTCCCTTCATCCCAAGCAATAATTTTCCAACCAAGTAACATACCATGTAAGAATTGTATAGTATATGCAGTACGTTTCTCCATCTCCCAGTCAAGTTTCCAAGCCCATTCCGGCACACGTAGCTCTCCCCAAATTTGCCGCCATTTCCACCACAAAATAAACGGAATAGTTGGATAGCGTAGCCAAAAGCTGTAGGTATAAAAAATCATTCTCAGCTGAATAATTTTTTTATAGCGTTTCTCTGGCAATATTAGAAAAACAGGCCACGAAAACTCCGTCCAAGACCTTGACCGAAGTACAGAGGGAGGCGTTTGGGCTTTGCCAGTGGTAATAGGCCCGGTCACTGTTTGCGGGAATTGCGATGCAGAATGGGTCGCCACGTTTCGCGAAAATAAAAATAACAGCTGTCTCCATCTGGACCTGGGAGACGGAATGTGGTGTTTGAGGTCGTGATAGGTCGTTGCATGGTGAGAATGTACCTCTGGTCGGTTGGTTGGTATTGAAAATAAGTTGACAAGTGGGCTTTCTAGAGTATTTTCGTGGGAAAGCAAAGGGCCAACGGGGTATATACGTGTCTCGATGCTAGTTATATATAGGTGCCTGTAACTAAGTATCCCTGTTGATACTTGGCCTTGCTTGGTATGAGGGAGAGACAAGTGGCTTTAATCGCCGGTCAGTTGAACCAATGATAAGCGTGAATGTACCCCTTATCCTCCGAGCGAAATTCACGTAACCGTGCATTAAAATAATGAGATCGGACGAATGAAGTCTATCTGCACTTAAAGCAAAGGTATTTCAACCCAAAACCATGAGCCAGTTCTCCTAATTTGCGTTTCAATTCTCTTTGTTTCTTCAAAGGCTCCATGGTTAACAACAATCCAAGGTTTAAATTCCATATTCGCACATGTATCCTGCATCCAGAGCTCCCATATGAGCTTTGACTCAATATGTCGTTGTATTTAAACCCTTCGGGTTGGGCAAAGTACCCTTTGATGGGGTACTAAGACCAGTATATATGAGGTATATACCCGTAATAAGGTTGGTCATCTCAAGCTTTGATAAAGTTGTTGTAATGATGTTCATTATCGCCAGAACCGTAGTTGCCAAGAGCTCCAATATCAGCTCCAGTATACAGTTGTATAAAGATAACCCGGGAACTTTAAGAATGCAATCATAGTCCACCATGGAATGAGAAACAAGACACAATGAGAACCAGCACGTTTATGCAGCCCCAGGCGAATGGCACCCATGTTGACATTCGAAAACTTCCCGCCTCATAAACTAATCCGAGACTAGATAGAGAAGAAAAAATTAGTTACAGGGAGCCATTTGAATTAATTCCGGGCTTATTCCCAGAGGTCTTGATCTTACATTAGTCCAACAACACTTCCGGCTAACAGAGCTTCCAGTGCAGAGACAATTGCGTATACGAGTGGAATAGCCCACATAAGCTTCCAACTTTGTCGCTGCCGGATAGCAGCGTAGAATGCTACACCCATATGAGTCCCGCCATAGAATATCAGTGTCCAATACAATGTGAACCGCCAGACATCTTCCATATGATAGAGATGTTTCGGCGTTTGGTTTAGAGGCTTAAACGGGAGGTATAGGGATGGAAACTCCGGGGTAACATATTCGGCTGGTAGCATATGCGAAGCCATATCTCCGTCGGCACTGCATACTGGCTGGGCAAGATACCGTCTCCGTCGTTGGTGGCTTCAATTGTAGGCGGCGTTGTTTGTTATCAAACGTTGATCTGATTTTGCCTTTTTTGCAAGCGCGCCAGTTTTAGTATCTATCACGTGATATAACTATAATTTGGGCCTCGGCAAGAAATCGACCTGGGGAAGCTTTAAAGACTTGTCAAGGACAACTTCTGGGATAGAGAAACAGTATGCCTATGGAATGCAACGAGAAAAGGGTTAAAGGGAGCCATGGGAACTGAAAGGTCCCTTGCGACACTATTGCGGTCGCTTCAGACTGCAACATCCCCACAAGATGCGCTCAAGTATGACCTTTCCGCGAATGCATAATCCAGAGGAGCGATGCTAACATATTTCTTTACCAGTCTCTTACCGTCAGCTTTGGGTCATCTAACCTTGCTCGCCAATCCTTTGAATGTCACACTTTTATCTACTCAGCTGCTTTGTTCGGAATCACTGTGGGGGCTAGCTCCTCTTGATTTACACTCCTGTCGCCGGATCCTGAGCGTCTTCAACACAGCAGCAATCACTATCGTAAACCATGAATCTGCCTATGATCCGCACTCCCCGAACCTACAACGCCGTGGGCTGGAGCGAGAAGACTGGCTGAAGGCTGTGGTAAACGGCGCGGACGAGAAGTCGCCACGATGGCGGCATCTTCTTCTCCTTGGTGGACTGTTGCTAGGATTCGAAGGCCAAAATCGTCGAAGTCTACCATATAGTTTAAGGAAAAAGTTGGAAGCTGCTCTGGTGACTGGAATACAACTATCCCTCGACGAACTTGCATCTACTCCAACGATAGCCGCGTATACGATCGTACTTGTTCTAAACTATACTTTTGAACTACTATCAGACTGGGAACGTAGCAGGATCAACTACGACATCCTACTTCCTATAATAGCTGATGCTGCATTCCTATCGCCAGAAGGACTTGAATCTGGATACTTTCTCGGCTCTATCGATAGAGGAATCATGGAAATACCTGGCCAGGGCAAGTTTGGCTGGCCAGAAAACTCGCCATCATACCACCAAGCCAAAGCTATATTAGCGAGGCCCTTAGTTGGTTCCTTCGGACCGTTGTCTAGATTGATAGCGCATGCAATTGAGAACACCAATAATCGTGGACAGGTCATCCAAGTACTGGACTCACTATTCGAGTTATCTAGAACACTGATGGTCCAATGGCGCCAAAACAAACTGTCGGAAATTGACCAATCTGAGGAATCTGAATTTCTAGACGCGGCCTCAATACAGACTACTGTTCCTACCCTCTGGAAATTACTAAATATACCGCTCTTTTCTTTTATCATTGTCCTACGCGCGATCCTCGGAAGAGTGCTTAACGATCCTATTCTAGCCTCTGATAGGAGTAAGTATACATCTAGCTTCAACCATTTTACTAGTTACAGCGGCACTCACCATAATTTTCAACAGGCAGCCCCTTTATTGCTTCCAAGTCTCTTAAATCCCTCCGGCATCTTGCCTTTATCACCTCAAGAACCGGATATAGCAGCTCATCGCAATATGTCTTTGTTAATTTGACGGCCATTGATATCCTCGCACAGTATCCTAACTTATCAGAGGACTTCTTAGAAGAGATTCGGCCGTCCGACTCGTCAAAGATCCCTCCTCATCCGCTAGACAGATGTCTAGACCTCTTCTTCCTCAACACAGCTGAGCATTTCAGTTTGATAGTATCGCCTATCTTAAATGAGCGTCTCCTACTATCAGCCGCACAGCCTTATCTCGCAGCGGGGGGGAACAACCATTTATTGGAAATATTTGAATCTGCTCATAGCGTGGTCCTTGCTGTCCTTGCAGCCCCACAAAGCGCTGATATGGCTGCGAAACATCTCCCATCCTATGTCAATACCCTATTTACTGTATGTGGTAGCCTGTTTAACCCAAACCATACTCGGTATCGCTTACTTACTCTACATAGGTTTTTCCGCAAAATCTATCAGCGAGACAATTTCGACTCGCTTTTAAAACTATCCTTAAAATAACAGCTCCCCCTTCTCCTCTTGCTAACAGTCAGCCATATCTACCTTCGGTCCTCCTCCAACTTTTATATGATAGAGCTATAGATGCACCTACAACGCCACTATTACCGCCAGCCACTGACTCAACCCCAAACCCAGCATCAGAGGACCTTTCCGAGCAAGGTGTGCTTACAATGAGTATAATTGATGGCCTTCCTTTTCTCCGGGTGGAGCTACTCGAAGACTGGTTAGACCTGACTGTTGATATAATAAACCGCATCCCGGACAAAGACATGAGGAGAAAATGCCAAGAGAAGTTCTGGGATACGTTGAGCAATGGCGATATGGATGTTGAAAGAGCCAACTTCTGTGTGACGTGGTGGAGTACGCGATCAGGCAGAGATATGCTTCTACAGAAGTCCGAGGAAGAGGATGCTCAGATGTTGAGTATGAGCGGTGGATTACTCTCACAGCCCTTACAGAGTAAGATGTAGCTGTGTATACGAGCTTGGACTTGACCTCAACATTTATTATATACATATTAGCAATAGAACTAATTTAATTATATTTACTATACCCAGTAATCTTCGACAGTTGAAAAGTTTTTACTACATCATCTCAATCCTCATAACTCTTCCAACTCGAGATTTCAACACTTGGAACCAAAATATAGCCCACCAAGGTAATGATATTCTTGGGTAGTGATAGATAAGGAGGTATACTGAATGTATTGGAAGATGTATATGGTGTGTCCGGTAGCCATAGGATTCATACGTCTGTGTTCGGACTCTACACATGGTAGCAAAATTTTGATATTCCTTGCTCCTTTGGTGAAGAATTTTGGTAGATGGTATATATTTTGTATGGGATAAAGCATGAGGTAGTTTTATATTGCCTCTCCCGTCGGTGAAGTTGATGCTATAAGTATCATAGTGATAATTTCCGCTAGAGTAAAAGGTAAAGAATTACCATCACTCTCCGCCTGGCCCCCTTCACTTTGAAGCCTTCTTCTATCCATTCTGGTCACATTAAGTGATATGGTATTAAGTAAAAATGCACCTGTGTGTATGCAACAAATACAAACAAATAAAACACACAAGAAGTACATAAAAGTCAAGTGCAGAATGGCCAAAGTTTGCACAATTCATATTATAGAAGATTATACGTTAAAGCAGCAAACAGTGTCTGTTTGGATAACTGAATGATAATATTTTGTCAAGATACTTAACTCCCATGCATCCATCCTGAATAATAGCAAAAAATGCGGAAAGAGTATCAACTAGCGAATGAACGGGATCCCTACCCAGGTCTTGCTCTTATATTCCACGTACTCATCACCAAAAAACCCGATTAAGAGCTTTTCCTCTCCTGGATAAATGTATTAGTTAATAATTCCAGTCCAACTGGAGGTTAATATACTCACTCTGTATCCGAGATGAAAAAAATTTCCATAGCACAACGGCATATCCAATAAAACAGACGAAATTCCCAAGAACCAGTTGTGTCCCCAGTCCCCACCAGAAGAATCCGAAATAGCTTGGATGTCGAAGGACACTGTATAAGCCGGTCTTTACGAGGACATGCTCATCTCTTCGTTGGGTCTGGACTGTATGGGTGAAGTTTGATCCTGCCTGGACCATGGCAAGACTCCGGATAATTTGTCCAATAAGTACCAGGACTAGACCAACAGTTACTTGCAGTCTTACTCCACCGAAGAGTATAGAAGTCCATCGTAGATAACCCTCCGGAAGTAAAAGGCGATTCAAGAGACATTCAGCCATCGCAGAGCCATGGGCAATATTGTATGCTGCACCATTTGAGCTCAGAAGGAAGGCTGATATTGTTGCAAATGAAGTGCTATAAGCTGCAGTTATGTAGAACTCGAGAAAATGGAAAAGAGCCAGACATGTAACGAAGAAGGGGGCGCGCCATAAAGCATTTGAATTGCAGACCAGTATAATGGTGAGCAATGAGCAGAGCCCAGCCGCTTGACCAAGGAGAAATGATCTGATGGAGATACCGGCGAGAGACCTATTGCCGCCGGGAAGATTGGAGCGGTCAACTGGCCGTCTGGTATAATCTGTGTCTGTACTGTCATCGGAATCGTATGAAGAGTCGGAGTCCAGCGGTGAGGGGCGTGTTCGTACATTATACTGCCCGTCCACTGGACCAGTTCCAGTTGTTCCCGGCATGGTTATATTCTTTTTAATATTTAGTGAGGATGGTATAGCGAGGTGGTTGAGAAGGGAAGAGTCCGGCGAGTTTCCCAGAAGTCGTCTATCCTAGCCCATCTTCCTTTTATCCATCCTCTAACAATAGAACTGTTGAACGAACAATGCAAGCGAGGTTTATATTCAACGACAATTAAGTTATTTATGTGGGTAGAGATTTAAATTTAATTCAATTGATTGGTTGAATTTTATCGCATTATATTGGCTGTCTACAATAACCTTAAATGGATCAACAAATTATCAACCGTCAACATTATTCGTCCTTCATTTCTACATTAAAAGAATATCTATCCCATTTACCTACGACGCTGCATTCGACAGCAGACACTTAGTCAAAGGACGGAGAAACATTTGTTACTGGAGGGGCCAATATACAGACTTGTCGCCAGGGGCCTTTTATACGCTCACCTAGCTGTTTATTTTGCTATCCACTATCTTTGACCAGCAAGACACAGCCATGGCGGGCCCCCCAGAGGAGCTTGAAATTCGCTGCTATCAACATATGTTACATACTCTCCCTCTTCGCGGATGTTGGGTAAAATCTGCCTGAATGAGAGCGAATAGGGTATGGATGGGATAGCAAATTTGCCTGATTACCACTGGCCTTTTATAGCTAGCGGATTCAAAGACTCTCATATAAGATCAGAAACTTGATTAAACAAAATTTGACTGGCCTTAATCCAATAGTTGGTGTTGGAATGGATATCTACAACACAATAACTTATACAGAGTTGACCGCTTCAATCTAGGAATCCCGTCTCTTTCCAGGCCCTGATGTAGCTTCTAGCCACTTCAACGCCCACCGGGGCCAGAGCACGCATAGCAGGAGAATGTTGTCTTGCCTTCATTGTATCTAGTATTAGCCTGCCACACGATAATCGTTCAAAGTTATGTTCCAGAAAGTTCACCAATCTTGCAGCTGGGTTCTCGGTTTCTGACTTAGATGAAGAGGCAACCACGTCCAGCCATTCTTTGAATGGCATTAATCGGCTCTCTGGGATACCAAGATCACTGGTAAATATGGACGATATATCATCCCATGGACGGCCGACTGTGTCGTCGATATGATAAATAGGCCATGGTTCTGGCGCTAACTTGTCTCCAATATATAATAAATCTACAAGTATTTCCGCAACAGCGTCAACAGGGATCCATCTTACGGTGCCGCTGAACTTGGGCCATGCTCCAAGTGACTGCGCCGATTTGACGATAAAGGGTATCTGCTCTACAGAATTCCACACACCGCTAATTGACGAACCCGCAATCTGTGCTGGACGAACTGCCATGGTTCGGAATAGCGTAGGGTGCTTATGCAGCGTCTCCTCTAGCATTCGCTCACACACCCATTTCGCTTCACCGTATCCTGGGGGCAAGACAGAATCCATGTCGACACGATCCTCGGGAACCACAGATTCCTTGGAACATCCAACAACGCTAAGTGAACTGACCATCTGGAATCCAACTCGTCGGCTTGCTGCCATATCACGAGCGAGATCTAGCAGATTTCTCATCGTCTGGAACTGTGATGTAAAGGCAGACATGGGACGGGAACCGCTCAGGGGCCATGCACTGTGAATGATATGTGAGCCATGCCGTGTAAGCCACTGATACTCGGATATTTCGAGTCCCAAGTTGGGCAAGGATGAATCGGTCTCCAGGATACGCAGCTTTGAACGAGCTTCAGGTGTAAGTGTGATGCCACGGCTAGAGAAAGCGTTCTCCTGTCGGGTTTCTGCTGGCATGGGGCGGCGCCGATTGATACAGACTACCGTCTTTACTGAGGAATTCAGGGACAGAGTGGCGACAATGTGAGCACCTAGGCTTCCAGTAGCTCCTGTGACAATGACGGTGGCAGCATCATTAGAATTTGTGACGAACTCGCTAGTATGCGTCGGTTTCGCAGACATCCAACCCGCTGTGTATTCTCTCACGTATCCCTCAGCTTCAGCCTCGCGTGACCTAATATCTGTCCTCATTTGTTCTTCAAAGTCCCCGTTCTTGGACTTGATGGCAAGGAAATCGTCCGTCGAGATAGGAGTTTCTGGCTCTGAAGCGGATGCAGGTGTCGTGGGATGACTTTTCTCTCGGCTCGAATCGCCCACACTGTCTTCATTACTATCATCCGTGGCTGCAGCCCTCCAGGCACCTTGAGATAAGGCGCTGGTAACGAGAGTGACTATATCACCCACGGTAATGGCTGCAAGTAACTCTGGCAAGTCAAGCTTACAGTCAAATGCTGTATTTATTTCTCGCAGCAGCTCGATGCCCATCAACGAGTCAATACCAATATCAGCAGCAATTGTATTAACCGACACCGTATCGACTTCCGCACCTACAACGCTAGCAAGGACCTTCTTAATCTCCACAGTGAGCGCAGACTTTTGTGGTTGGGAAGATACTCCCTTGGCCTCTTTATTCTCCTCCCTTCGCGTCTTCGAATCGCTTTCCACAACACTCCGAGATATTTTTAGCGTAGGAATTTCCGTTGCACCATTTGCATTCATGTTCAAAGCCCACTCATCCCTTGTGAGGTTCATCAATAACCTCTTCATTGACCCAATGCTCATACGAGTATACTGAAGCCCCAATATAACCTCAACTAGCTCCCCGTTTGCGGCATTGAACACGAAGGCATCTGCCATATACACTTTAGCTGAAACTTGAGAATGCCGTGCATATACATGCCATATATCCTGTGTCTGTCCTGGTTGCAGAATACCCCGTGGCGAGCGCATGACGAGTTCAACGTCACTTCCTATATGGATTTCTCCAGGCTTCGCATCCGACATGCAGTTCAAGAAGAGGCCTGAGACCTGCTTAAATGAATCGTGGAGAGCAATATCCAAAAAGCTCTCACCAGCATGTTTACGATGCACTCGCCCTGCACACTCCGTTTTCTTGCCAACTACAGCGTGCATGGCGTTGTATTGATCGGAATATTCAATAAACTCAGAAAAGGCTCGGTATACCTGGCGCCCTTGCAAGACATCTACATCTGGACCACCCGCTTCAGCCAACAGCCTAGCACATTGCTCATATGGTACAAGGCGCTCAAAGCGTGCAAACTGGGCTACGAAAGTAGGATCAGCGGGCGAGCGAATATGGAGTCGGCCGTGAAGATGTCTCCTGGGCAAAGTGCCTTCTGCACTGGTGCTAGACACATTTAGCTGCCACATGGTATGTTCTACATTGACAGCCTCATAATCTATCCACACTTTTCGAGACGAGTCAACACAGATGGGTGTGGGAATATTAGCATCTAGCATCGTAGGGATCATACCCTGCTCCCTCCAAGCCGGATGAAGGCTGAGCAAGGCCTCTACAGCCATATCTGACTGAACGGTTCCCGATAGCACAGGTGCCGTGTGGGCAAATACGTGACCAGAAACTAGTCTCTTGAACGTCTCCGATACTAAATTGACGCGGAATCGTGGGTGCTTGGTATCATTGCCCTGGTAGCCGACGAATTCCCATAAAGGCAAACTCTTGGGATCGTTCACAGATTCGTTTTGAGCCAGACTTGCTACAAGTTCTGATGCGGATTTAAAGTCCATCCAATGCCGCGACTTCTCGAACTGATACGGCGGCAGGAGAATATGCGTGTAGTCTTTTGTCTGCAGCGCGTGATGTGCCCAAAATGCCACACGAAGCCCTTGATTCCACAGCGAAACGGTAGTATCAGTGAGGCCATCGAGGCCCTTATCATTCGTCAGATTGACGGATTCAAAATGATGGAATTTGCGAACCTGTTCTGTAAGCGCACGGCTAGCCATGACAGTAATTGTCGAGCTGGATCCTGCTTCGAGGAAGATTGCAGACGGGTACTTTTTAGCTATACGCTGTATAGCATGGGAGAAGAATACAGGGTTACGCATGTGTTCCGAGACGAACTTAGAGGTCAGTGGACCAGTAAAGGCTGTCTCGGTGGCTCTTTCAAACGGAATCAATGGCTCGTTGAACTCGATATCATTGCCTACCTGCTCTAGTCGATCAACGAGCGGGTCAACGAGAGTAGAGTGGAAAGCGTTAGTGACGTTGAGCCGTTTACTCTTGAGCCCTGAGAATCTATCACCAGCAATAGCCTCCACCAGTGCATCTATAACTGTAACTGACCCTGCTACGGTAAAACTCCGGGGGCCATTGTAGCAGGCGATTGTGGCAGGATTGTTAGGCAATTGTTGGCGTAAATGCTCCAGGAGCCCCTGAACGAGCGACTCGTTGCCATCAATAGCCATCATGGCTCCCGTTTCATCGCCCCACTCATCACGCACCAATTGTGCACGGCAAGAGACTAACTTGAGGGCGTGTTTAAGACTCAGAATTCCAGAGATGCATAAAGCCGTGAGCTCACCAAAGCTGTGGCCAACAACACTCACAACCTTGCCTGCCAGCCCACAGCCAATCCAGGTCTGGGTACTAGCATATTGCATGGAGAAGAGGGCCACCTGTAACGTTACAGGATCGGGTAATGGTGTGCGAGAGAAGATACCCGGAAATATACTAGGCAAACCTAGCTCGCCCTTCACCATCTTGTCACATTCGTCAAGATGATGGCGGAAGATAGCGATGCAGTCATATAGCTTGCGGTCAAGGCCGATAAATGTTGAGACTTGGCCACCAAAACACAGGACAACAGGTCTCTCGGCTTGTGTTTCTACCATGCCAGCTTCAGATACACTATCGAGCGTTCTTTGTAAATCGTTTACGGAGTGGCAGCGAAAAGTGCAACGTTGCGGTAGGTCAGGATTGCTCTGCCGGTTAATATTAAAGGATAGATCTGCTAGTGCAGATCTGGGCTGAGTTCTGATGAGGGCGGCGAGTTTAACTGCATATTCCTTAACTGCGCGTGCGTCAAACCCTGAGATGAAGAAAGGAAACCGTCCTTCTAGCATCTTAATGGATGGTGCAACGCCCTGGCCCTGGTGCTCGCTTACAATGGATGTAGTTGGGGCTGCTACTACCATGGCGGCATTGGACCCAGATGCACCATAATTATTAACCAGAACTACCTTATTCCGACTATCCCAGCTTCTAAGCGATGTCACAATCTCCATCATGTCTGAGTCAGCCGCAGCTTTGATCGTAGAGTTTAGCTTGCTAAAGCTAGCTTGTGGCGGGATATACCCTTCATGCATCATCATAAGGACCTTGATGAGGGATATGACGCCAGAACTGCCCTCCGTATGCCCAATATGCCCCTTAACAGAACCTATTGGCAAGGGTTGACTTCGGATCGGACCGCCAACCGCCTTCCGCAAAGCTGCCCACTCCGCTGGGTCACCCACAGCCGTACCTGTGCCATGAGCTTCGACGAGAGCGATGTCCTTGGGTGACACGCCCGCCTTTCTAACGACATCCCCGAATAGTTGTGCTAGTGATGGTGAGTTCGGCACGAAGATGGGTGTGTGGTTCTGGTTCTGGTACACTGCCGAACTAGCCAGGCGACCGAGGATCGGGTTGCCATCAGCTCGCGCATCTGCCATGCGCTTAAGGAAGACACAGGCAACACCCTCAGCTCGGCAATACCCGTCACCTTTCTCATCAAATGGCTTACATTGGCCCGTGGGACTCAGAAAGCTTGCTTCAGTTAGGTTCTGAAACCAATGTGGATTGGTTAGGATACAGACACCCCCAGCTAGCGCTGCATAACACTCGCCATTTCGAAGATTGTTGCAGGCAGTATGGATGGCGACTGCTGAAGATGAGCATGCTGTGTCAAATGCAATGGCTGGACCTGTCCAGCCAAAATGATTCGCTACACGCCCTGGAAGGTAACTCTGCAAGTTACCCGTGGCCATGAAGGCATTAAGGGGGTGCGTGGCTACGTTGTGCTCGTAATCAACTGATGGCGAGCCAATATATACACCAACATGGCTTCGATCGATGCCTTCTCGCCTAGCTCTCATTATCTCAGTAAACATGCCAGCCTGGTCGGCAGCCTGGTACGCTGCTTGAAGAAGCAGGCGATGCTGAGGGTCCATGGCTGCCGATTCACGGGGGCTGCGCTTAAAGAACCTGTGGTCGAACGCGTCAATATTGTGAACAAAATTGCAGAAGTAATCACGAGTGTCAGGCTTGCGGAAAAGCGAATCAAAGTTCAATCGTTCCCGTGTCACTTTCTCATGCTGCGAGGTGCCTTTGCGGAGGAGCTGGGAGAACTCATGCAGGTCATCGGCACCCGCAACTTTTATAGACATCCCCACTATGGCAATAGCATTGTCATCATCTATGTTACCATTCGTTGGGTTGTCATTCCTCCAGAGATCTGGCTGCTCCTGAACATCCGCGAAATACACCGCCCTTGATCCTATATCGCGGACAAGAGTCGGCGGTAAACACCTATCTGGCCCAAATATTATCATTGATGCCTCGCTGCTATCAAGATATGCAGACTTTATTGCTGAAAACGTGCCATACCAGTCGCACTGTCTTGCGAATAATGTCTCCAGAACATGACTGTGGAGAGTGTTATCTCCAGGCTCAAGGTGTTTTCCGTTCCCAGCATTGGTGAATGTCATTAATGCCAAGCGATTTACTTTTGCGAACTGGAAGTCTTGCCTTTTGTTACAGAAAACAATAAGGTGTTGGATTTCTTTTTTGTAATTGCCGTTTGGGCTATGCAGCTCGCCCTGAAAACCTGTGTCTGATAGCACAATCCCAGCAGCACGAGCCTTTCTAACGAGTCTTGCTGCAGCCCGTTCTGAGACCGTAACTGTGGCTCGAGCCTCGTCAAAGAGCAGTGAAATATATGCATCAGGTGAAATACCACCGACTATATTCCACAGGTCTTGCTGTTGCTTCGCATTTGTCCACGCTACTGCATACGTTCGATGTGGGTTTCGCTTGTGTTGAGTGTCGCTCAAAGCACCTGCTAGCATAGCTATACGCACAGCTACAGCGCCATAGTGATCAAGTTCTTCCATATTATGGGCACTAGCAACTGCATAAGCTCCCAACAAACCCATACAGAAACCGAGTACAGGTTCTTTTCTGGTGACTTGATCCACTTGAGGATCTGACATGGCCCCCTTGCTTTTGTTCTGCAGATATTGCCGGTACTCGGTGAGCTGTGCCAGCACAATCAATGGCACAAACACCGCAGCTGGTAGTGTTCCCCCCTGGATATCTATGCCTTTGTGTCCATCACTTTCAAGCCATACGTGGAAGTTTTCCAGGAGCTGCCTTCCCTCGTAACTGGCTGCGCCTAAAAACATAGGTAGCTCTTTATTAAGAGCATCCCAATAATTTGGCAGTCCTGCCACTATATCAAGCACCCATTGACGACATAACTTGCTTTGAAGTGTTTTCTTGATGCCATTTATTGCCTGCTCGCTGTAGGCAATCTGCGACCCGAATATTAGCAGATTATGGCCTATGTTCTGCATTTTTGGCCAAGATTGGATCGAAAGCTCAACGAGGAAAAGTGTACTGGCGAAATATTCAGTATGAACACAATCTTCATGCGCTTAAATAAATCAACGGCTCGAATTCGATCAAGTATTCAACACAGAAGACAACATATGCGGATTCTAATATTGATTTTACCCGTAAGTTTACAACGATTTTATGTTTTCTAACTATTCATTTGTAGTCGACCCCTTCCACCAGGCCCATAATGTGCCAAGTCTACCGGTTTGAGCCCCAATATCTCCATCGAGCCCATAGCCATCCATTACATTGGCAGAACAGTGGCCACCCCATGCTTACCCCAACCCCAGATTCCCGTCACCAGATGAACAAGCCGTCTTCTTGTAGCTGACGCGTCATACTCTGGTCCTCTAATGGACACACGCTGGTTTCGGCTACAAGTGCTTCATTATTTCAATTGCCGTACATGGATTTAAGGAATCTGCTCTATAACTAACCGCCCCCTGAAGGAAATTACAAGGACAGACCGTCCGGATACGTCTAGCGTCCCGTATACTGGCTGTCTAGAGGCATTACATGTTTATCCTGGTCTTGTAGACACCACGACTCTACACTTTAACTAATACATGGAATATAATCATGTATCACCGATATGTTCTGAGAATGCCCTGCCATTCGACGGCCATAGCAAGTTGTGGTTTGCAGGAATGAGCTAATATTCTGGTCATCATGCAGCTACTTTCTTACATGCAGCAACAAGCCATATCAAAGCATAGTTACATCATTCACCTCCGCAATAACCAGGGTTTCTGCAGGGTGTGAGATCCTGTTTTCCCATCTGCAAATAGCTATCAGCCCAGACATTTACCTTGCTAGCCAATCTCATCGCATATAGGCAAAAAAACCGCGTAACCTTATATTAACCCCTGTTTCCGAGCCGCTATACGATAAAAGACGGATATATCAATTCATAAGACGTACAATCGGGGGAACAGGAGCATATCCAAAAACGAAAACAGTGAATTACTTAGCTGGCTATATATGAGCGAAGAGCAATGGTATCGACCCTTATATAGCTGGACATTTTGATATATTTCTCTGCTGTAAACATCCCTTAACGCCTAAGCTATATTTCAATTAAACATGACCTCAAACCTCGTCTCCACGGCTGGAGAAGCCCCAAATATTGCCATTGTTGGCGGTGGTCTAATTGGAGTTATGCTTGGTCTCGGCCTCTCACATCGCGGGATCCCCTTTACTATCTACGAACGCGCTTCTCACTGGCATGAGATTAGTGCCGGTATCGCCCTGACCGGTATTGCACATCAAAGTATGCAGAAACTCCATCCAGGCATCCTCCCTGCGCTTCGTCGAGTCGCAAATCCCAACCATTTCAGCTTTTGGGACGGTTTCCATCCCTCAACCAGGGAGGCAGGCCAAGCCCCTGAGGCTCTCTACTTTTTGCTAGATGGTCCTGGAACTGATTATTGGTGCTGTATGAGGTCTCAATTTCTCAGCGAGTTGGTTGCTCTGCTCCCCGAGGGATCTACCCACTTCAACAAGGAGCTCGATAGTTATGTAGACGAGCCAAGTCACCGACAGGTAGTTTTGCAGTTTACGGATGGAACTACTGCCGAAGCGGATGTTTGTGAGTTTCCCCTTGGATGGCCCTGGAAAAATACTGACTCTGCAAAAGTACTCGGCTGTGATGGCATCCATTCACGGACCAGGCAGCTCCTTTTCGGGGAAGATAACCCGGTATCACACGCTAGTTTCACTCATCAGCTGGCTTACCGCGCAACTGTCCCTATATCTGAAGCAATGGATATATTGGGTGAGGAGAAAGGAGGCAGCGGTTTCTGTGTTCACATTGGTCCAAACGCTTATGTGCCATCCTATCCCGTAAGCCGTCAATTCTGCTCTTAGGTTATTCCTCAGATTACTGACTCTTACAAAGATGCTGAATGGGGCCGAGAAGATTCTCAATCTAGTGACAGTTATCTATACTCCAGAGCCATGGTCTCATGGCCAAAAAATGGTAGCCCCAGCAACCCACGAGGAAGTTGCCAAAGTCTTCGAAGGTTGGAGCCCCCATGTCTGTGACCTCATTTCTAAATTTCCTGAAAAGCTCATGAAATGGGGTATCTTTGACATGGCTGACCACCCGGCACCGACATATGCCAGAGGTCGCGTCGCCATCCTTGGTGACGCTGCTCACGCCAGCACACCATTCCTCGGTTCCGGTGGAGCCATGGGCATAGAAGATGCACTGGCGATGGCGTCCGCAATGCATGATGTCAGTAAAACTACACCAAGTACTATGTCCATCCCCGCTGCACTACAGGCATTTAGTGCGGTACGGCTGGAAAGATCACGTTGGTTGGTACAGAGTTCGCGGGAGATGGGCGTTATATTCCAGTGGCGAGATTCTTCAGCTGGCAATGATGGCACGCGGTTTAGGGAGGAGGCCGAGCATCGGATGAATGAGGTGTGGGAATTTAATGCTGGTGACATGGTTGACCAGATCCGAGCGGAGTTTGAGCAGAGGGTATCTGCAAAAGTTTAAGGCCCTTGTCTTTCTTCTACATGCTTAAGCGACTTCTCGTATATTCTGACATACTGCATAAACCGCCGAAGAACTTTTATTCCAAAGCCACATTTTGTCCTACAACGTATCATTAGTTTTCATTACGTGTTTGCACGCTCCTAGTGTACATGGTCCTAAAGACCAGCGTAGAGGATGATCATGAAGCAAAACTAACAGGACGACTCCGCTTTTCAAACATCCCTGACTCCAGAGGGCCCGTGAACTCCTAGAAAGCTGCAGAGTATCCTCCCTTGAGCAGTCTTTATAATCCTTGCGAGATATAAACCGTGCATCAAGCACCTCCATGACATCCCGTGCAATGTTGTATATCTACAGCTGAGCGCACGGAGTCCATCGCCAAGGGTGGGTCCGTCCGGGTGGAGACAAGGGGCCGACCCGGCTGGGCGGCGATGTGGAGTTTCGCCAAAGTCAGATTGTATAAAAACGAAGATGACATGGAGAGAATTGAGAAAACGGGTTAATGGCAGGCTAAAGACGGCTATCCAAGAGGTTGAATAACGTCTGAGTACCATTTAGTAGCTCTTAATGTTGATCTAGAGTTATACTAACTAGATCATATCATGTAGAACCCTGTAACGACATTTTCTGGCAGCCGCTACTAAATATAGAGATAGAAGTGTATGCCGAAGAGCTTGAGTTGCTAGTCAGGAGGATATTCGACTTCCATAACTCTGCATAAATTGGCTTTTGCGGCTCTTCTGTTAATTTACAGTATAGAAAAGGTCAAGACCACAGCATGCTATCCCAGGATAAAGAGCCTCTGTTTATACATACCAATGTCTTCAACTGTTTCCAATATGGGTAGTGGGCCGATTGCCATAATTGGTTTGAGTTGTAGGTTCTCGGGTGACGCAACAAGTCCAACAAAACTATGGGCGTTGCTTGAAGAAGGGCGGAGTACGTGGAGTGAGATTCCACTATCACGGTTCAATCCCAAGGGGACCTATCACCCAAACGGCGAGAAATTGAGCACTGTAAGTATTTCATCAGCTTGTCAAATATTGTAGAGCTAACGAATGTCATAGTCACATATTCGCGGTGGCCATTTCTTGAGAGAACATTTGGCACTCTTCGATGCTGCTTTCTTCAACTTTTCCACTGAAACTGCTTCGGTAGGGGCAAAACATAGTAAATCGACTGAACTTCGGCTGACATCATGCACCTAGACGTTAGACCCTCAATTCAGGCTTCAATTGGAGTCTGTATATGAAGCACTCGAGAATGGTATGACACTCAGAGTTCTCATCCGAATTTCTCTCTTTCCTGATCATTCACTAATCTGATTTCTGCAAAGCTGGCCTTCCCCTACTGCAAATTGCAGGCTCCAATACCTCAGTTTTCGCTGGTACATTCTTCCATGACTATCGAGATGGCCTGATCCGTGATGAAGATAATCTACCAAGGTCCTTTATTACTGGGATTGGCTCTGCCATGGCATCCAATCGAATATCCCACTTTTTTGATCTTCGAGGGGCGAGCATGACGATTGACACCGGGTGTTCAACGACGCTTGTAGCGCTTCACCAGGCGGTAGAAAACCTAAGAAGCAGAGGGAGCGATATGAGCATAGTGAGCGGTGCGAATGTGCTGCTGAACCCTGATAATTTCAAATCTTTAGGGTCCTTTGGGTAAGGATATCCACCTTATGAGTTTCCAATCACTCTGACTGTAGCTTAGCTTCCTCTCGCCCGATGGCAAGTGTTTTGCCTTTGATGAGCGAGCTAATGGTTATGGGCGTGGAGAGGGCGTGGCCACTGTGGTTATTAAACGCCTTGAAGACGCCCTCATGGCTAATGATCCAATTCGGGCTATTATTCGAGAGTCGGTCCTCAACCAAGACGGTAAAACTGAAACCCTCACATCCCCCAGCCAGAAAGCACAAGAAGCTCTCATGCGAGCTTGTTACGCTAAAGCTGGCCTTGAACCCTTCCATACACAGTATTTTGAGGCACACGGAACAGGTACTGCCACTGGTGATCCAATTGAAGTGGGTGCTATTGCGTCAGTATTTCAGAGTCATAGACGAAATGAGACTGATGCCCTACGCATTGGCTCTATCAAATCAAATATCGGCCATACTGAGGCTACCAGTGGACTGGCTAGTGTCATTAAGGTTGTGTTAGCTATGGAAAACGGCATGCTTCCACCGTCAATCAACTTTGAGAAACCCAATCCTCAGTTAGCCTTGGACGATCGGCGACTAAAGGTGGTTACCGAATTAGAACAATGGCCAACAGCTTCTAGTCAGACTATGCGAGCGTCAGTGAATAATTTCGGCTATGGAGGTTCCAACGCCCATATCATTATGGAAGATGCCAATGGGTTCACACGAGATGGCATTGTCAACGGCCACGCCAATGGTGTTAACCTTCATACCTCTGAGCCCAACGGCAATGGGTATCAGCTTCTGGTCATCAGTGCCAAAGACGAACATACACATGAGAAAATTATCACTAGGATGATAGAATTCCTTCGCCAAAGACCACAGTGTAGTTCTAAGGATACCGAGAGTTTCCTTCGAAGCTTGATATATACTTTGGGCCAACGTCGTAGCATGTTTCCCTGGATATCCGCATACCCCATCCCAATAACTGAAAATATTGAAGGAGTTACTGGTATCTTGGAAACGGCCAGATTTAAGCCATCTCGGGTGTCTCAATGCCCACGTATCGGTATGGTCTTTACTGGCCAGGGGGCACAATGGTTTGCCATGGGTAGAGAATTGATTGCAGCGTACCCTTTGTTCAAACTATCCCTTAAGGAAGCTGATAGCTATCTAAGAGAACTTGGGGCGGACTGGTCGCTAATGGAAGAACTTGGTCGTGACACAACTTCAAGCCGGGTCAACCAGACCGCCTTTAGTATACCTATCTGTGCTGCGGTGCAGATCTCGCTGGTCCGACTGTTGGAAAGCTGGGGAGTAACGCCGGCAGCAGTAACCAGCCACTCAAGCGGGGAGATTGCTGCTGCATATGCGGTAGGCGCCATCAGCCTCAGATACGCCATGGGCATTGCGTTTTATAGAAGCAGACTAGCCGCTGAAATAGCCCTAGACGGCGATATCAGGGGAGGAATGCTAGCTGTCGGCCTTGGCCATCTGGATGTGAAGCGACATCTTGAGCAGCTGACTTGCAATGCTCTAGCAGTGGTAGCCTGCATCAATAGTCCTTTTAACACGACGGTAGCGGGTGATATTACAGCGATTGAAGAACTCGAGTTGTTGCTCAAATCTCAGGATGTCTTTGCTCGTCGACTTCGAGTGGGCACTGCGTATCATTCTCACCACATGGAGCCCATCGCAGACAAGTATCGCCAGGCACTCAGTAACATGCCGAAAGAAGAACCCAAGATAAAACGTCTAGGAGAAATCGCTTTTGCATCGCCCGTCACTGGCTACCGTCTTACAAATGCCCAAGCACTTGTCGACCCAGAACACTGGGTTGGTAGTTTAATGCAACCCGTTCAGTTCGTTGATGCCTTCATCGAGATGGTTCTGGGGGACATGTCTGACGACGTGCATAGTCAAAGTGTAGACATTATTGTTGAAATTGGCCCACATACTGCCCTAGGGGGCCCTATTCAAGAAATACTCACCATGGAAGAATTTGACGGAATCCGGCTGCCATATTATGGTAGCCTCGTGAGACATACTCACGCAGTTGAAAGCTTCCAGAAACTAGCAGCAAACTTGCTAAAGGAGGGCTGTCCACTCAAAATTGACGCCATCAACTTCCCTCAAGGGAGAAGCAAGAGCGTCCGTGTCTTGACAGATCTCCCTTCGTACCCATGGAACCATCAGACAAGGCACTGGCTCGAACCACGGCTCAACTTGGGACTTCGCCAAAGGGACCAACATCCCCACGAGCTACTTGGATCCCTAATCCCAGGATGCAATCCTGAAGCACCTGTATGGCGACAAATACTGCGTTCTTCTGAAGCTCGTTGGGTTCAAGACCACGTTATCCAGTCCAAAATGCTCTATCCTGGCTGTGGATTTGTTTGTTTGGCTATTGAAGCGATCAAACAACAAATGGACATTACCAAACCACAGGAAGGCTCTGGGGTATCTGGTTACCATATTAAAGAAATGAATGTGCAGCAGGCACTCGTTATCCCAGAAAGCACTGAAGGAATTGAATTACAAACCTCTCTGCGCCCTGTAAATGGCAATTCGGTTGGCTTGCAAGACTGGAAAGAGTTTGAGATTCATTCAATTACTCCAGAAAATAGATGGATGCTCCATGCAAGAGGTCTTGTTATGATTGAGTTTGACAACATAGAGAGCACCATCTCTTCATTTGGTCAGGAGGTACGATACATACGACCAGTTAACGCCATTGATATGTGGACTACCCTAGAATCACTGGGTATTAAGTATGGCCCGACATTTAGGAACATTAGCAACATCCGTCAATCCATGGCCGACCTGCAAGCAACAAGCATTATCACAATACCTGACACGTCTGCGCCCAATGACCTACCTCCTAACCACATCATTCATCCCGCCACGCTTGATGCTGTTGCCCAAGCTGCTTTTACAGCTCTTCCCGGAGCTGGCTTCCACCAGGATAGTCCTCGGGTTTTCCAGTCAATTAGCAAACTCTGGATTTCGAGTAGAATAAACCATCAGGCAGGCCATGAGTTCAAATGCCACACGACACTCGATTATGCTGATGTACAAGGTATAAGGGCTACTGTTGTACTCGTTGATCAAGGCAAGCGTGTGATTGAAGTGCATGGGCTGAAGCTTCGCTCGCTGGGTGAAAGTGGAACTCAACCATTGCCAGGGCTCTGCACCAAAATAACTTGGGAGCGTGATAATGATTTAAATCTTCACTCAGATGTAGTTTTGCAAATGGGCGAAAACGAGGACCTCAAAAAACTGTCCTTATGTTTCATGAAAGATGTCTTGACTGAAATTTCCCCATCTGAAGCGGATGGTCTTCAGGGCCATTATGGTGACGTTTATTCTTGGATAAAAGACAAACTGAAGCTTTCGACGCCAGATACTATACAGTCAGATCGAGTTCGCCTCGCTGAGAGGGCAGCAGAAACAGGCATGAGAGGCCAATTGTTGTGCCGCGTAGGTCCATGTTTAGCAGATATCCTCCGAGGCCAAACGGTTGCCCTAGATATTATGAACGATGGTAACCTCCTCGAGAAGTGGTCGCGGTCTTCCAACCATAATACTGATAATATTGCGCATGAAGCTGCTCTGCTTCGTCAGATCGTGCACAAACGTCCCCAAGCGCGAGTCCTTGAACTTGGGTCACGGGTAGACGGCTTGACCCGTATCTTTCTAGAAGCACTAAGCCCGCTCGGCTCCCTGTATCACTTCACTAATGCTTCCGACAAAGATTTCAAATATGCTGAGCGGGAACTAGGGCCATGGAGCCACATTCTTCGGCTGGATGCACTTGATATTGCCCAAGAACCATCCACGCAAGGATTCGAGCCGGGCAGTTATGACGTTGTGATCATGTCTGGGATGGCGCCACCCTCTACCCAAGCCTTGAGAAACATACAATCCCTGATAAAGCCTGGCGGTAAGTTGCTAGTAATTAAGGCAGCTTGCTATGAGCTTTGTAGGGAGCTTATTTTTAGCCTCCTTCCCGAGCGGTGGGATGCTAATTGCAGAGATCAAAATATATGTTTGGATCTTGTTTCGTGGGATAAGCTTCTCAAGGATACGGGTTTCAGCGGTATCAACATTGCGGTGCCTGACTTCAGTGGTGTAGCCACATACCAGACGAACACGATGGTATCAACAGTGCCGCTGGTTGACTTGGCCCAGTGTCTCCCCGATGATATTATCCTCGTCACTAGTAGCAAGGGAGGCATACCCCCGCCACAATGGCTTGAGGCTTTACAGCATTCCATTTCCATAACGTATTCAGGTAAAGTCCTCACATATATCCCCGAGATATTTGCCCTAGAGGATACACCAGCAGATTTGTATACTGGCAAGACCTGTGTTTTCGTAGGCGAAATGAATCAGCCTATCCTCCGGGACATAGACGCCACGACCTTTGAAGCTATCAAGGCCATGACAACTAGGTGCAAAGGGCTGCTTTGGGTAACCCGTGGTGGCTCCGTGAGCTGTGAAAATCCAGACTCTGGCCTTGCAGCAGGGTTCCTTCGTACTGCAAGGAGTGAATACCTTGGTCGATCATATATAACGCTAGATCTCGACCCCTCTACATATTTATGGTCTGAAGACAATGTTAAAGCGATTGTGCAAGTTCTCAAAGCGAGCTTTGACGGGTCCTCGACAGGCGAGTTTGAATATGCCATTCGAGACGGCATATTTAAGATACCCCGTCTTTTCAGTGACGGGCACCGTACCCAGCTTGTCTCACCCGTTGATGCTACAGCAAGTGACGCAATCAAGATGGCACCTCTATCTCAGGCCAATAAAGCCTTGACAATGAATATTGCTGTTCCTAAGCGACTTGACACCATCTGCTTTACAGAAAATGCATCTCTCTCGGCCAGCAGTGAGTTATCTCCTGAAACAGTCGAGATCGAGCCCCATGCCTATGGTATCAATACTCGTGATGTAATGATCGCCACCGGCCAGCTACGTGACGATTGTATGTTTATGGGCCTCGAGTGCGCTGGTATCATCACCCAGGTGGGTGCCAAAGCTTCCATGCAAGGGTATTCTATTGGGGATAAGGCATTTGGTGTCCTGCCGTGCGGAGGAATCGGGAGTATTGTTCGAACGCCTTGGACAAACATCATGCCAATGCCTTCGAGCCTCAGCTTTGAAGAGGCTGCTTCACTCCCTTTGGCTTTTTGTACAGCATATATTTGCCTTACCAGCCTAGTTCATTTGGAACGTGGCCAGGCCATCCTCGTCCATGAGGCAGAAAGAAGTGTAGGGCAGGCGGCTCTGATGGTGGCTAGATATATAGGTGCAGAAGTCTATGCTACAGTCAGAGCCCCCGAGAACAGCGAGATGATAAATCGCAAATTTGATATACCGGAAGCCCATATTTTTAGCAGTCGAAATACTTCCTTTATCGCTGGCGTGCTGAGTGCTACCGATAGCCGCGGTGTCAACGTTGTCCTCAACTCCCTATCAGGGCCGCTTATCTTAGAGAATATCAATGTACTCGCTCCATTTGGCCACATTATTGACATCAGCCAACGTGACTCCGAAACCAGAGGCTCACTGGAAATGCCGCCCCCTAACCGGCCAGTTTCAATATCAACGTTCTCACTCCTTGCTCTCGCTCAGTACAGTCCAAGTCAGCTGCATAGCGCTATGGTTGAAATTACTCAACTTATTGGGAAAGACAAGATTTCACCAGTCCATCCTCTTACATCCTACTCCATCAAGGACATTTCAGAGGCGTTCCGTCGTGTCCAGGAAGAGAATCATGTTGGAAAGGTTGTGTTGTCCATTGGCCCAGATAGTATGGTCCCAGTACTACAACAGCTTCCCACAATGAGATTCTCACCGGATGCATCCTACCTCCTAGTTGGTGGTGTGGGAGGACTAGGTTGTTCTATTGCACGGTGGATGGCGGACCAAGGGGCCAAGAGTATTATCATATTATCGAGGAGTGCCGGCAAAAGTGAGCAAGCCGCTGCACTTGTTAGCGAACTTAGCCAAGTAGGCTGTCAGGTCAAGGCTTTGAGCTGCGATATCTCACGAAAAGATGATTTGGCGTGTTCTCTTCGTGAATGTCAAGACGATGGAATACCACCCATTCGTGGCGTCATACAAGGAGCCATGGTTCTAAAAGTAAGTTGCATAATTGCTGAAGAAGTAAAGCTCCTCTGTTACTGATAAACATTGAAGGACACCCTTCTCGAGCGAATGACGCTTGCCGATTTCCAAACCGCCATATACCCCAAAGTCCATGGAACATGGAACCTACACGCTCAATTCGCGGATCCAGGCTGTCTAGATTTCTTCGTAATGTTATCTTCTGCTGTTGCTGTTGCGGGTAATGCCGGTCAGGCCAACTATGCTGCCGGAGGATCTTACCAAGATGCGCTTGCTCGCTGGCGAGTATCCCAAGGCCTTCCTGGCGTCTCTATCAATCTCGGAGCCGTCAAGGATATCGGGGTTGCTGCCAATACAGGTGTATTGAGCCACCTACAGAGAGTAGGTTACTTCCCCATCCACGAGGAGCAAGTGCTTTCCATACTTGGTACCGCTATACTTTACCCGTACGAGCCACAGGTTGTGGTCGGGCTGAACACCAGGCCCGGGTCCCACTGGGATATCGGAGGGGGATCACAACTTGGACGTGATATGCGGTTTGCTGCTCTGAAGCCCCGTGATCCCGATAGCGCAGACGGCAAGAACCTGACCGGGAGTTCTAACTCACTCACTAGCAAGCTCGCAACGGCCAAGTCGTTGGAGGACGCTGCTGGCCACATTGGCGAAGCTATTGTGGAGAAAGTATCCAGCATTTTCATAATTCCTTCGAATGATATCGACTTAACCAATAAGCCTGCACAGTACGGTATCGACTCCCTTGTCGCAGTTGAGCTCCGAAATATGCTCGTTCAGCAAGCAGCGGCAGAGGTATCTATCTTTGATATTCTGCAAAGTGTCTCCTTGGCCGAATTAGCCTCGGCTGTTGCTACCAAAAGCAAGTGTGTCAATGTGTAGAGCCACTCCTTTTGAATATAAGCGTGTTCACTTTGCCTTAACCCAAGTTGCCCAGTAAACATGGCTGGCTCACCTGAGATCTCATTACAGACGTAGAATCTAGATATGTGAGGCTGAAACTCACCCTTTAGGGCTTCTATTATCACGTGTCTGTTGACGACGTCCAAATATCCCGATTTCTTCTTACTCCCTCTCTTCCTCAGCTTCATCTTTGGTTCAGTGAGAAGAAGCCTGTGTGTACTCAACCAGGTCCCCGGTTATCGACATTATATCAACAAAAAGCCAGCTGCGTCGCCGGGGGCCTGGTTGAGTACGTTTTTTGTTCTATTCCTACTCCCTTGACTTTGAAAACTGGTGTTAAGCCTCCTCTTAAAGTCAATATATATGAATTTTTCTAGCTCTCCTCATACTAATTGTGTGGTATATCACGGTCGACAGGCTTGGTCTCTCTCTCTCTCTCTCTCTCTCTCTCTCTCTCTCTCTCTCTTTCCCCTCTCTTTTCTCTCTCATTTTTCCACCATTCTCAACTCCATCAGTCGCATACAACAAACGCGCTCACCGTTTGCTCGGTCATACAATGCTACTTCTTTACAAAAGGCCTCATCCATCAATCCGTTAAAACGAGAAGCTGCAAAATGAAAAACTGTTCATGACGTCATTGACCTTCGGAAACGCAGGAACAGTGAACACTCTACGTTGTTTTGCCACAAACATTTTCCTACATATATATACCTGTGTTTCTTCCATCCCCCCTCCTTTGGTTCTTCTTTTCCTCCCTCTGCACTACTGGCCCCGTCTTCCCTCCTCATGATACACGGTCAGATCTCGAATAATCACTCTCAGTCTCTCCAGCGACGTATTTGATTCATCATGGGCTCTAACGAGGAGAAACTGAACAGTTTTCAAGAAGGATTCCCTGCTACCTTTGGAGGCTTTTTCAAGGTTGCTGGAGGCCAAACCAAGAAGGTGTCGTCCTTCTTGGTGAACTCTCCTCCTGATATTACTCCAAATACCCGCATCCTTGCTGTTTGTGGCGTCAGTGACGATTCGGACAAAGCTGCAAGCCCGGAGCATGACGGATGGTTTTATTCAGACTTTTTTGCCTTCCACACTTTGCTACATGGTCAAGGAGCTGCGCAAAAATGGTGTTGTAGTGATGAGCCAGCTCTATTACTCCAGAAATACGGCCAGTACTTTCACGGGAACCCATACATGGAGCGGCGGGTAGTCCTGAATGAATCGTTGATACAGACAGAGCTTCATGACGTTTGTATCTCCTCTGCGTCTAATCTTCTTCAAAACTTTCTGGAGCTCCTCCATGAAGAAGCTACCCACGCCGTCCAGCAGAAAGCTCCGCTAATTCTTTTCCTTTTTGGCCATGGCGCGGAGATAACTAAATCAGTTGAGATTGGTGTGGCTGGTAACGAGCTCAGCATACCCACGGTTGCCAGTGTCGTCGGCGACAAAGTTGACCTCACGATCATATCAACCGCCTGCTACTCTGGAGGATGGGCTGTAACCTCACCCCTTAATGCGACAGTACTTTCGGCTGCTGGGGCAGAAGATGAGAGTGAGTCTTGGCCAAAAAGCTCATCTCTGTCAAGAGCATGTGGAAGTGTATATGCTTCCACCTTGATCAAGTCCCTTGCAGATACATCAAACAATGAACTACTACAACCACAGCCAGAACTTCGCCCATCTTCCTCTTTATCAGGCCAAGATGCACCATCTACTTCAACTGATCAGGGATTAATAACATTTTCCGAATTTGGTCGGACTGTCCACGCATTACTCCTCAGTAGAGTGGATCGGCTCGGTTACCTTCACAATTTATCGTTTAGCGCTCGTGATGACGATTGGGAGAGCTACTGGAGAAAGAGAACCGGAGTTCCCCTCGCAGACTTAAAGGCAAAGTGGGAGAGACTTGACATAGTTCAGCCACAAACTTCATCATCACTTAACAGAGACCAAGACGCTGAGGTTCATGTGCAACCGGACAACATCTCGTTATACAGTCTGAGAGGCCAATATGGATCAATTACCTCTTACATAGGACAACTCTGCCGACTTGCAATCAGCTACCTAGCAAGTTATCCGGGTCGTGACTCGCTTGCTCCAAACTCATTCTTCCATCAAAACTGTCGAGACCTCATTTCAAGAAGAAAGAAATTTAATCTCTCTACACTTGAAGTTATTGAGTCAACATTACGGTACCGAATGTCCTTAAACTTTCTAGCAAATCAGCTTGTGTCTGGCTCTCGGATTCCTCTTCCACATAGGAAGCTTTGTGAAGAATGGGACCCAATTCAGAAGGCCAATTACGAGCTCAATGGATGTAACAGCCTCAACGAACGACTTTACCCCCTGTTTCCGCCACCACTCCCTAACCAAGGCCGAGGCTGGAACAAGCCCCGCTGGTACATTGTCTGTGCTTTGATGGAAGCAAATCTCTCACCGACGGAACTTAATCTTCGAGTAGAATCTCTGCTACATGGTACTACTTCGCCTTTTAATTGCACCATCTTTTAAGCCACATCGCTAACTATCTCATAGCTTCACGAGTCATCGAGCAAAGTCAAGAGATGATTCTACAGAAGAACCCAATGATCCAGTCGAAGCGAGGCCGCCTGCTCAAGTCCTGAAAAAGTCTCATATGTCGAATATCGCCATCAAAGAGAGGAGAGCGATCCAACAGCCCATAGCTTCGGATAATTACGTCATTAACTAGTTCTTCAAGAAAGGGAAATAGGAAAAAAAACATGAGACGTCGAATAAGAATGCCGGCCTCCAGCGCGGTATTCATGTACAAGAACTTATTAAATATATGTCAGGTCATTAGTTACAAGAAAATTTTACCATCACCATCTTTCGTCTTCAAAATGTAGACCTTAATCCCAGCATGGCCTTGGAAAGATGTGTCACGTGATATAGCGCAGAATGTTTTTTTGCAAGTCAAAATCTTTCGTTCTCTGGTAAATATAAAGATGAGCAGTTCAAACGGGCTTGATTGTTTGCAGCACTCAATATGTCTGCCCAGTCATCGTCAACAGCGAATATATTTGTTGTTCTGCGTCAGCTCCGGTCACTATGCTACTCTAATCGCCCAGTCACAACATCACTGTTTGCGCACTCTCTTCCACCTCGATTTATCTCTTCAAGAGCCTATAGCAGCTACACTGCGTCGCATCGCACTCAGTCAACTACCTCGACTAATGCCATAAAAACACAATGGCATTCATCAGCCTCCTATTCTACCGCTCCTCCATCAAAGCCTGAAAAGAGGCCCGTTGAAGACATTGACTTATCACAACCAATGAAATCTAAGCCTAAGAAACCTCAACCAGCATGGGCAGTTCAGAAGAATGCATTAAAAGCGAAATTTAAAGAAGGATGGAAGCCACGGAAGAAGGTGTCTCCTGATACCATGGAAAGTATCCGCAAACTGCATAGCATGGACTCTGTTAAATATTCGACAAAGAACCTTGCGGAAGAATTCAAGATCTCCCCCGAGGCAATTCGAAGGATATTGAAGAGCAAATGGAGGGCCACGGAAGCAGAGGAGATTGATAGGAGAGATCGATGGGAGAAGCGAAAAATACGGATACAAGAACAGATGATGGAGCTTGGACTGAGGCATTCTGATCCTGTTAGCGAGGCGAGGCCCGGTCTACAGGAAGAGTTATCCCGAGGCACCAGTGTTTGGAATGCTACTGAAAAAACTGCTGGTGGATACCTACCTCAAAAAAGTAATCGGGAATTCTTTCCGAAGAAGAGATTTGGTGCTGAAGAAAGGTCAGCCCAGGACGGTGATCCTTGGGATGTTTCTGGGCGGGACGACCTTATTGACACCAAAAGAGACTCGTTTGGAGATAACTGGCCGCAGAACTCTCACATGAGGAGAGGCGCTCAAAGCCGTACTCAAACGGAAGATTACCATCGCCAGGGCTACAGGGGGAAGCCTAACTGGTAGAGCAACTCACCACTTCTTCCGTCCAAACCATAGCCTAGAACCGTCTATATATAATATCTCCAATTGTATAATATCATCCTCTTCTTTGTGCCTTGCTGTAGATACTGGCGTCTAAGCTAGCCGCCAAGCGCCCGCCAAAGCCACATGAAGATCGGCCAAGAACGTCTTGGAGAAAAGCGCAAGTTCGAACGCTCCGCATCTACAACTTTTGATGCTTCGTCCACGCAGCCTAACGAGTGCATCACTCGCTGGATACACTGCTACGTCTACTCCGTATACTAATAATCAATATCCTGCTCTGGCTGAACCCAGAATGCACACTTATACGCCAGAGATGCTCTGAAATCCTATCCCGGAACGACTTTTGACATGCGCCCAAACCCTTGACCACGCAACCATCCATGCTGCAAAACACAGCCAACCGTTATGTTATCGGACATTCAGGTCTTCGTGAGATGGAAAGAACAGACAATATTTGCCGGAGAGGATGTTGAATGCACAATCACCTTCAAGAATGTAACAGAGGAAGAGGCCGGGAATGAGGTTGTTGGAACAACAAAGCATTACCGGGGCGGATCTCGACCCATAAACACCGTCACAGATGGGACAAACTACTCTCCAGCAAAGTCTCTCAACCCATTCTCCTTTAATAATCCGCAGCGTCGACCACAGTCCTCGGGGTATCGACCTCGACAGCCGCTTCATAGGAGTTCCGCCTCTGTCGGCTCCTCTCCCATCCTTAGCCAAAGTTTCCCGCCAACCACAGCGTCACGTACCAATGGGACTACCAATCCGCGTGGCCATTCTCACAAACGATCTGTTTCGATAATATCACTGGAGACGGATATTTCTCATGATCGCAAACCGCTTTCATCTCCGCAGAGTCCGAGGCCTACTGGTCGACATACACGGTCTGCAAGTTTTCAGGCACCTCCGAGGAGATATGACCTTTACAAAGATGACTCTCAACCCGGTATTGAATATCCTTCCTCTACCCTTCAAGTTTCCCGCCCTAATTCCTGATTTAGTATCTCCCCGGACTCCAATGTCGAGATTCTCCCCTATCACCTCACAGTCCAACCTAGCCCTTCCAAACATCAAGGACGGATCGGACTCATCCCGCTACGCGGCCAATAACTCTCCTACAGCTAGAAAAGGCCCGATTCGGAGACCACCCCACAAGAGGAGTCCTTTCCATGGAGACTTCAAGTTTCCCCAAGCACCGCCTTCTCCTGAGAGTAAGACAAATCAACTACCGCAGCCATACACAGAAGGCCAGCCCGCAGAAACTACTACAAAATCTACCATACCCGAACATATCAATACAACCGTGGCAAATGGAAAGTTAGCAGTTGACCAGCCTCGCTGTCTTACGCCAGCAACAAAGCTATCTGCCGTATCCGCAATTGAAGGCAGCACTCGAAGTAGCACTGAGTTTTATTCCCTCAGCAATAATTCCACAGAAACTCTTGATTCTGACTATAAACTGGTTTCCATGAATAGAGGTGCTCCACGGCATCGAAGGCACCAGTCTAGCCTTGAGCCAAGCAGGAATGGTCGAGCTGCTGATTCACAGACACTTCTTATGGGCTACGCACAGATTAATGCTTCATTCACGGTTGATGGGTCACTACTAGATCAATCTATCTTCGAAGAAGTGAAGCGTAAAGGTGTTGTTGGCCATCATGGTAACAGCGAACGGTCACCGAGACAGTCTAAGAATAGAAGTGGGTTCTGGGGGAACATAGGGCTAACCAGCCTCGGAAACTCCCTTGCGAGCTTAACATCTACTGGCGAACTTGATGGACTAAGGGAAATGCGAGGCGCCTCATCGTCTCACTCTATACCTTTACTATCAACGCCGCAATCACTGCTTTTCGTGGACCTTCGTTTAGCACCTGGTCAGGAAAAGGCTTTTTCTTTCTCTTTTACTCTACCCCGCGGCCTACCTTCAAGCCACAAGGGCAAGGCCATAAAGATTTCGTATAATTTGGTTATTGGAACACAAAAAGCTACAGCAATAAAGGGGAACCAGCGGCTACACAAAATAAATGTACCATTCCGTGTACTTAGTGGTGTGGATGGTAAGGTTATCTCCGTTCATTCTTCATGTATCTTCGCATAGTTGCTGACAATGGGATAGCGCAGGGAGGTGTTCTAGGACACGACCTCATGCAACCTTACGTGGTGCTACGAGATGAAGCACGAGTGCAGAGCATTGACTCTGCGGCTCACCGACCACCGACAAAAGAGACGAGCATTAGCGCAAAAGCATGGACGTCAGCACCTCAGTTTCTATCGTATGTCGATGAGATTCTCAAGCAGCGAGACCGCCCAGACTCTTTGATGTCTCCGGTGACCCCTGGCCCACCACATCTTCATCACGACGCGCCCTTTTCCTGCAAAGATGCCATCGACTTGGCCATACTTCGCAGCAATCAGTCAACCGCATCAGACCAAAGTGCAAACCGCTTCGAAATATCACGCAGCGGTCGACGAGTCGCGGTTATCGTGCTCAATCGGCCATCCCACCGGATAGGAGAAACAATCGTGGCAACTGCCGACTTTACAAACGCAGCCATACACTGCCATTCTCTCCGTAGCTCACTCGAGACTCATGAGAAAATTAATCCGGAAATTGCACTTCGTTCTCCTGCAAGCATCATTCGCGCTACACGAAAAGTTCACGCTATGTGTTTTGAAAACACACTCTTCGCATCCAGAGTAGCGTTTACGCCGGCCATCCCAGTCTCTGCCACGCCTACTCTGATTACCTCTGGTGTGAGCGTTGAATGGCAGCTTCGATTCGAGTTTGTAACGAGCAGCGTATCCGATGCTACAGAGAACGTGAGAGCATCAGGAGTAGGCCTTTTGGAGCCCGTTGAACGTGATGAGAGGGGAACCGTTTTTGCAGCTGCTGAAAATATATCTTGTGAATCCTTTGAAGTCAGTATTCCCATTACAGTCTACGGTGGGACTGTGCAAGAGCCCAGTCGAGAGGACTTGCAGGGGATACCTATATAAAATCGCCGGTATGTTGAATCTATACTGAGACTAGAATCTACAGGTGATGTCACTTCTCACTGCATCAATGCTATAATATGTTACATAAATGAATATTGCCATGCCCTCTGTACCTCTTTGGGTTATCCGTTCTCGACTCCTGTCTCAAATCCATCAATCAATAATAAATAACTCGTTAGAGGAGGTTACTTAAATATCACCTTGTCATCTCGTTCTGGGAAACAGGATCTCTCAACATCTCTTACCCTACCGAAACCACAGCCAAAGATATACAGGGGATATACATATTTAGGCATCGCCGCAGGATCCTTTCAGGCAGTACACTGATGCCAACCACATAGGAAATAAACTTGATAGTGGCCTAGGATGGATGAATATCAGAACTTCCCCCTTTGGCAGATGTTACTTCGTACAATGTGTTCCATAGTTATTTCGACTAGCTATTATATCTCGGCAGTCCCTCCATTAGACCTGATAATAAGACCTAATCACAAGCCAGTTGTCATATGCTTGGATATTGACATAATCCTAGAGCTTCTGTCAAAACCACTTGAGAGATTGGGCCATCTTGCCAGCAAGCTGAGCGTGGGGATTTCATAGATGTAGCTGTTGCAGGTTGGTAATTCGTCGTCCTGGCAACGGACACTAGAAATGATATCATGGCTTTGCAGCGATACAAATAAACAACCAGCCAGAAGAAACATTGTACTCCATTTCCCTGCATCATCCAATCAGTTTCATCTTTTATCGAAAAGAAATACATTTAAAGAGCCAACGAGCTGACGAGAAACTGCAGAAAGGTGCGAATCAAAGGTGCATCCCTGTTGGCAGCCCAAAGAGCTCCAAGAGCATGGCAGCCTCCCTCATAACCACCATGTACGTTTCGACGTTTCTTTTGCTGCTGCAGACACTCTTATGCACTTGATTTGATAATTATCATATCAGTTTGCTCAAGACGAATATTGAATACACGACCGCTTTTATCGCTACAAGATGACCCCGCCGCTGACAGACCTTTCTTCAACCAACAGAAACTCCCGCACTCGAGGGCCATTCCGGCCGCGAGCAGCGAATAAAGGTACCGGAAGCTACCAGCTTAGACAGTTTGCAGAGGCAACGCTGGGAAGCGGGAGTCTTCGAAAGGCCGTCAAGCTTCCCGACGGAGAGGATCTTAACGAGTGGCTGGCCGTTAACCGTACGCTTCTACCAATACCCCCCTGATGGCTGACGGGCTGTAACAAGGGATACACAAAGATGCTGGGCCGGCGCTAACTTGGAATAGTGGTCGATTTTTATAACCAGATCAATCTGTTATATGGCTCCATTACAGAGTTCTGCTCGCCGCAGACATGTCCAGAGATGAAGGCAACAGACGAGTGCGTTCTCAACACTTGTTATCGTTTTAATATCGTTCTAACATGCTTACAGGTTTGAATATTTATGGCAAGATAACGAGAACTTTAAACGTCCTACCAAGATGTCTGCGCCTGAATATGTAGAACACTTGATGACGTGGGTACAGGCGAATATTGACAACGAGCAGATGTTCCCTAGCCATATAGGTATGCTGGGCCATTCCATTGCCGTTATCAGGCGTCAAGACATATCGAAACCACAGACGGTGAAACTGACAGCTGCATGTTCCTCCTCTAGGCGTGCCGTTCCCAAAGACATTTCCCTCTCTCTTGAAACAGCTGTTTAAACGAATGTACCGTGTTTATGCACACATATACTGCCACCACTACCCGGTTGTTGTCCACCTTGGACTGGAACCACACTTGAATACCAGCTTCAAGCACTACGTCCTGTTTATCGAGGAGCACAACCTGGCTAGTGGGAAGGATTTTTGGGGGCCGCTAGGAGACCTCGTCGAGAGTATGCTTCGAAGCGATTGATATCGTTAAGAGAGACCCAAAATGCCACTGTGCATCGCCCTCAGGCGACATTCCATTCTCCCTTCTTGTCTTCTTCTCGGCGTTCTTACCTGCCGCCTGTTTTACTGAATATTACCGGACCTGGAGTCCACTCAAACCGCCCCCAGCGAACGTCTTATGATAGATAACATGAATTATAATAATGATACACATACTTAAGAGTTGTCAGCTTCCCCCGTATATCATCGTCATCTAGCAGTTCTATCGCAGCTTTTCGTACTCTTTCGACTTTCATGCTGGAGTGAATTTTATATCACGTGACCCATTTTCCCTCATGTTTCGCCGGAAGCAAATCAAACGCACTGCAAGTCGACCTTAAACCACGAAGAATTGCAAACGCCAACAGCAGCATCTTCGGTTGCCCATCTCCAAAGCCGAAACGACTACCTCAATTCCACGGACCTAGTCCCTCTCTCTCGCCATGCTCTCCTCCCGTGTCGCCCAGGCGAGCCTTCGCGCTTCCGCCCAACAGTTCTCCCGACGATCCGTCGTCAACGGAGCCAGAACCTATGCCACCGCAACCCAGGATTCGAAGCCTCCAGTCGCTCTCTTCGGCGTCGACGGTACCTATGCCAATGCCTTGGTGTGTATACTCTTGATTTTACGATGCGGCTAGATGACAATTGGTTGTTGTCGCGCACTTCAGCAATCACTTCACGAAAAACGCATGGGCTGACGTTATTTATTTTTTTTCGTACCTCTAGTACACTGCCTCTGCGAAGACCGGAAGCCTAGAGCAGACCTCCAAGGCTCTCACTGCTTTGGCCGAAGTGTTCAAGAAGGACGCCAAGTTGGGACCTATCTTGCTCACTCCCACCTTGACTGCGCAGGACAAGTCTCAGATCGTTCAGGAATTGCAGAAGGTCACCGGCAAGAACGAGCTTTTGGGCAACTTCTTGACTACCCTTGCTGAGAACAACCGATTGGGTGTTTTGCAGGGTGTTTGCGAGAAATTTGAGACTTTGATGGGTGCTTATCGGGGTGAGATTGAGCTTAACATCACCAGCGCTCAGGTATGGCTTTCCCCCCTTCACTTATATATAGGGTGAATTATTATAGTATTGACCTTTCGGTATAGAAACTCGACCAGAAAACTATCCAGCGTTTGGAGACCGCCATCGCCAAGTCTGAATACAGCCAGGGCAAGAAACTGAAGGTCGTCACTAAGGTTAGTAGGATATTTGTTCCTTTTATATCCAATACTCCAGTATACTGACTTGATGCAGGTTGACCCTGAAATCGTCGGTGGACTTATTGTCGAGTTCGATGGCCGAACAATCGACCTCAGCGTCTCCTCCAAGCTCACCAAGCTCAACAAGGCTCTCACCGATGCTCTGTAAATAAGTATTGTGCTTCTAACATTATAAACACCGCGAGATCTGCAACAATAGAACTTTTGTATTATTGATTCCTTATATGTCTTGTTCATCTCCCAACAATCAATGCCGGGGGGTCTTCTGTCTAATGTTAGTCAAGACGCCAGTTTCAACCCAATGCAACAATGTATGTTGATGACAAGTAATGGCATTTCCCGATATAAACATTTGACATGCGCTCGAATTCCGACAACTAATCTTACAGTCAAACGGGAAAGGGGGGAAGGAATGGGAGTATTATAAAAACATGCAGAACAAAAAAAAAGTAGTCAAGCGACGGGAAGGTAAGCGAGTGAGCTATTAAACTAGTATATATGTGCTTGTGTTCATGCAAAGATGTAGTTTTCAAAAGAAGGGGAAAAGAAGAGAGAGACAGATAGACCAAACGAGGGAATCGTGTTCCCCGCAACCCGTCATATATTAACCATTCAGACATGTATAGACGGAGCAGCCAGGCATCGAGCGGGTTAGGGTAGGAAATGCCCATGTAAAAGGTATGCGTAGCAACGTCGAACATGATTCAGTTGGCGTCACTGGTTTGACGGCTGTGGGAGTAGAAAAAGTCATGGGTAGCAGGCCTTTGAGCTCGGGTATAAGATAATATATAACATAAAAAACGCTGTGACATAAGGGAGGAGGTTCAGCGATCAGGGCCATCCTCCCTTGCCCTTGGGGCTATCTTCCTGGTTGCGTCGACCATGAATACCAGCATGGTTTTCGGTCTCCTCGTCCTGGTCTGTGGTTGCAGGAGAGGTGGAAGCGTTGGTGGTGAAGCCATCGTCGGACTGGTTGGGCGTAGATAGAGGTGGGAGGCCACGCTCCTTATCTGCGGTAGAGACATCCAGAGGTGTTCTACCCCTGCGTGAGTTGTTTATGCCATTGTTCTGAGCCGCGACATCATTATTGGCACGGTCATCTGCCTTGTAGGGTTCAAGAGGGGCCTCCCCCTTTTGCATCCTTAGCCTGTTCTCGGTCGCTCGAATCCTAGCTTCCAGAGCTTCGAGCTCGCGACTCTGCATCGAGACAATTTGCTGTCTGTAATATCAACGCGTTAGCCGTCTTTTTTCCCCTCCCCCTTTCTTTTCATGCATCGGCTTGGAACTATAACATACTTATAGTGGATGGAGTTGGTGAGGGAGTCCACCTCCGAGTCGAGCATGAAAGCATTATCTAGAGCAGCAGCGAGAGAACGAGCCATGGTCCTGCAACAAACGAGTTAACGTCTTGACTCTGCATAGTTATAGTGAAGGACAGTGAAGAAAAGGAAGAACTGACGATTGAGGCCGTCTACCGTTGGGCTTCCACTCTTTATCAAGCTCCATATCCGTCATCTCTTGAGACATCTTTCGAGGTGATCGAGATTGAATAGGGGGTTGTTTTTATAGATTTCTTATAAGTACAAGTATATATCTGGTTTCAGGAGTGCGGTTCAGTTTCCTGGCTGAGGAAAGACGATCAAGGACGACGGGTCCCCCCCTGAGGTTTATATAACTTTTTCGAAACCAGAACCAGCTGGGACAGCTTCCGTCTGTTCACGAGGAGGCGAAGGAGAAAACGGGCGATGCAGGGCAAAAAAGAAGGTTGAGTCGCAGCAACGGTCAGGCTGGGGAGTCAGCAGAAGCGCCTTGGATGAAGCGGGAGAGAAGTCGATGATGATAAGTTAGCTAGTTAAGGTCAAGGTCGTCCCGTGGATTGCAGGAGGCGGCGGACTATGTATATATATATATATGGGCTTTATGGGTTGGGCAAAAGCAGTGACGCAGTTGACTTGCGAGAACCACAAACCGTCTCCTTTTCTAGCTTTTCCCTCTTCTTCTTCTTCTTCTTTGCTTCTTCCCCCTGAACGGTGGAGTTCTTTTTTTATTAGTTATTACCATTAATATTTGTACTATTTTTTTTTTTTTTTTGCTGTATAAAAATAATAAAAATAATAAAAAAATAACAAACAAAATGTCGATTTCCGATTTGGGAAAGACAAAAGTAGATCGTCAGATGACATCACGTGATGCTTCTTTTTCGACGTCGAAGGAAAAAAAAGTCGAAGACGATGAAGGAAGATGAAGAAAACCGGCGGCGACGACGATATACGAGACATACAAGGTACAAGACAGGAGAGGACAGAGGATAACAAGAGGCATACTACGGACAAAGGACGAAAAGCAGAGAAGAGGAGAGGATACAGAAGATAACCGCGGAGAGCAATGGGATGCCTTCTCTTTCATCATACACCCCCTTCGAGTCGCTGCTTTTCTTCCAGTCTCTCGCGACCCTAAAGACACGTCCAGACAGCTTTGCGCCAGTCTCAGAGCTCCTCCAGAACAATCCGTTTATCCAGCAGGATGTCAAGTACGACGCGAGCCGGCTGAGTCCGCAGGCCCTGGAGGAGCTATACTCGACCCTTTTGGCAGACGGGTTCCGGTCTTCGGACGATGAAGCATCAGACCACAGCCACGGTGCACAGGAAACTTCCAATCTGAGGAAGAGGAAACATGCTCAGACCGTGCAGAATGGAACTACAACAAGGTCACACTCGGCTGCCATGCCAGATTTGGTCAATAAGCTCTACGCTAGGTACAAAGAACGCGTGACAAGGGAGATACGGCGAGAGGAACAGCGGTACGCAGAGATCAAGGACGAGATACGGCGGCTGGAGGCTGGTGAGGACCTGCAGAAACCACCTGCCACTGTCAGTTCGAACGTGGCGGCCGGTCCAAGTGCTGTTACCCCCCCTGCTGCACAGTCGAGGCCAGACGCGGTGCGGGAAAAGGTGCTCGGCAGGATACCACAGGAAGGTGTTCAAGTAGCAATTCCAATACCCACGACCGCAGGCACATCGCAGGGAATACGGTCAGCGCAACCCACGGTAGGACCTCCTCCATTAACTATCCCCCAAGAAGCTCCTGGTCCAGCTGCGTATAACTTCAAACCACTGCCGTTGGCCAGCCAGGCACAGCAACATCCTCCTATACAGACTCCTCCGCCTTCCACTGGGACCATATATCCCAACATACAGCCATTTCCCCCGCCTGCTCATCCTACTACAACCATACCCCAACCACCCACATACCAAAACACCACCCCGCCCGTTCCTCTCTCCAGAGCCCCTCCCACCCAACCTCCAGCGAGCATCACTTGGAATAAGACATCCCAACTACCACCTAAAACGGCTCCCCAGACCGTCAAGTTCCAACCCCTCTTAACCCCGCAAACTATTCCCCAGTCCTCCTACGGCCACGGATCCCCTCGCACAACCCCCAAACCAGGCAGCCAGGCCCGTAACAAAGCAACACCTACGCAGAAAACTCCTGTCCCTAACGTCGACAAACCCAGCGTTCCTCTTCCCCAGAATCCACCTTTGCCAGCTACGCAGCCTAGTGGTTTAAGCAACCTTGCCCCCTCAACACCGGTAGTCCAACCCACTGTCGCGCCGGATACTGCTGCCCTTGAGAAACTAAAGACTCAGCTTCCCTCTTTCGCACAGTCAATAGGCCGGAGGCCACCGAAACCGTCATTGGTCACATCAAGTGGCAATACACCTTGGAAGATACCGGGCCCGATATCTCTGCCGGGTGAACCAGGGTCTCCCGAACGACCAAAGTCTGCGGATATCAGCCCTATCAGTGATCGAGCCTTATCACCTTCAGGGCAAGAAGATGTAGAACAGTGGGCTGGACAAGGTGCACGCCGTAAACTTGATCTTGGCGGTGGCCGAGGTACTGCGTCTCGTGACAGCCCCAGGAACGTTGGAAAGGATGTGCTGGAGGCTGCTTCGCCTACCAATCTGCCTTCCGGGCGGCCTCGGACACGTGGTCAGTCTATCACTTCTCGCGGCGAGGAAACTAGCCGTAATATCAAAAACGAGCTTCCGAGCACGCCAGTAGGTATCACCGGGGATGATTTTGACACCAGCACTTATCGGGCAAAGCGAAAGCGAAGCCCCAGTGGATCGTTTTCTCTAGGACAAGAACAGCGGCCGACAGATTGGACGAGAGACAACCGATATGTGATGTGCTCGCGAACATTTGGTCGCACATGCGGTCCTATAATGAACGACGTAGCTGCTCATAAATATGCGTCCATCTTCGCTAAACCGCTAACCAACCGTGATGCACCAGGGTACAAAGACCTGATCTACCGCCCTCAAGACATAAAATCTATCAAATCAGCAATACACCAGGGCAGTCGCGCTGTTGCTGCGGCTTCAGAAACAATGAATCCGACCCAATCAACAGATGAATCTCCGCCAGCAACAGCAGGGTCAGGTGCAGTCCCTTCTCCTAAGAGCAACGTACTCTTAGCTACGAAGTCAGCTGAACTGCTACCACCGAAGGGAATAGTAAACTCGTCGCAACTAGAAAAGGAGCTAATCCGCATGTTTGCGAACGCCATCATGTTCAATCCAACGCCTGATCATACGTTTGGCCCATCATTTCCCATGCGAACCGATTCCTCTTCCCGGGAGGGCACGCGGAGCGCAGAACCAGATGAGGGAGGTATCATCAACGACACGCTGGAGATGTACGAGGATGTGGAGAAAGCGATTTCGACATGGCGCTCCGCTGAACGCCCGATGGACGATGCCGGTGGGAAGGCCTTCTTGGCTTTAAAACGAGGAACACCGGGAGATCTTAATGACGCAGATGATTGAAAGTTTACTGTTTTTGTCTATTACCTTGTTAAACTTCATTCTGTTTGAATCTAACCAATTTTATAATATTTTATTTTATTATATATTTTTATACTATCCAGCGGGCGAGGCGATAGTAGTACCAGGTTTTGTCCTCCCCAGGCCTTCTTTTGCATAAAAGTCCATGGGATATATGCCATCATTCGCTTTATCCCAGTCCTCCTTTATCCCCAAGGCAATCAACGCCTCATACGGCGTGAGCAATGGTTTGGGGAACGCATAACCCCAATCGATACTTAGCCTGGGACAAGCAATCTGCACCCAGCAGTCAACGTCCGGCATACTCGCCAACTTGCCCGGAAATATCTCACTAAGCAGCAAATTCACAAATGGTATCCCCTTCTCGTTAAGGTGTGCCTCAATCACCCTCATGGTATGCGGATTCCCTTGCCGTCCCAAACTGCCCAATATAATGCCCCACCTCTTCGCCGACTTTGCGGCACTTATCGCCTTGCGGCGCAGATCCTGCATTTCTTCGTGATCGTACCGCTCCCGGCTCAGGGTGCGAGAGTAAGGGTCATACCTGTACGCCGGTATGCACGGGTTATGAATCATAGCTGATTCAAGGTGGAAGCGTCCATCGCCTAGGTAAAGAAGCAGATCCACCTGCTCGCTCGACAGACGGGGCGAAGTACAGCCTAGAATCTCCCCTTTGCTCAAAGGCATTATCTGCGGCACGATGATGCTAAACCCTTCTTTTTCCAGCACCGGTTTCAGCCCATGCAGGGTAGCGTTGAACTGTATCGTGCCTACTACCGCTATTCGTTGGCCAGACGTGAAATTGCGCTTTAGCGTGTCGATAAGATGCTGTGTATCTATGCCGATGTCGACAAAGATGTAGAGTGTTTTTATCTTGGTGACGTCCACGGGTACAAGACATGAGTGCGCATAGTGGACTAGCAGGTCGCATCCCAGTGCTCGAGCGGTGTAGTCGTCTATACAGCATGCTCCGTACGTCACGTCTCCCATTATCACGGTCTCGATTCCAGGACAGAACTGGTTCAAGATATCTGATATTGTAGTGGCGAACAGGAGCAGGCCCTCGGGAAACTGGAGAGCTACACGCTTCGCGCCGGACGAGCGTATCCTGTGTATCGTCTTGGGTATTTCAAACGAGTAGTTGTGTGGCAGGAGGGAGATGGCAGCTTTAATATCTTCATCATCGAGTATTTCTGCGGGGATCTGGTTCAGTGCTCTAGGACCCCGTCTTGTGGATGCTAGATAAACCGTCAGTATATCATATATCTATTCATAACCATTCTCATCTTTAGTTCTCGTTTAGAGCTCTTCTCCTTACCTTGCTGTATAGCTGTGCTGTGCGACCGCTGAGTCTCCCCTCCGGCTCTCTGCGCCTGCGCATCTGCAGTCTTCCTCCCTACAAATCTCTTTTTTGGCACTCTCGTCCCGTTTGCTTGTGGCACAGCCGGCGCATCCACTTTATATATATTATCCGCCATCTTCGCCAACTTCTCTCTTCTCTTCTTCTCTCCGTCTTTTTCATCTTTTCCTATCTTTCTTATCCCCCCCTCCTATCCCAAAAATTTGTATGACTAAGAGATGAGTAATATATTATTAATATCTTACTCAGCATAGATGACTAACACGGCTAAAGGCGGCGGCAAGTTCTTCCATGATTGGCTAGTCCAAGCGGCGCCGGGAATTTTTTTCAACATCGGAGCAAAATAGCCGAAGTTGACGGCCGCGAGCGCCGGCGAGGAACACAAGAAGAAGAAGAAAAGTCGCAGGTTCAGGCAGAAGAAAAGAAGAAGACTTGATATTATTTCGTTTTTCCGCTGGACGAGCCGACCTTTGACGTGCTTGCGCGCAGTGTGATCATGTTCGGACTCAGAGCTGCCTCCAGAGCCTCTCGCCAGGTGGCCTCACGACACGGCGCAGTCCGGTGTCTGGCTACCGAAGCCAAACTTGCTCCCGATTTCGTTCGCATCGTCGAGGTCGGGCCCAGAGACGGCCTGCAGAATGAAAAGAAATCTATCCCGCTCGAGACGAAGCTGGAGTTGATCTCCAGGCTTGCTGGGACCGGTCTCAAGACCATCGAGGCCGGCTCGTTCGTTCCCGCGAAATGGGTTCCTCAGGTGAGTATCGGATCGCGTGCCATGGATACTCAGATACAAAACAGTGGAACGAGATGGCTAATGAACGAATTATCGCTTTCAATTCCGTTTAGATGGCAAGCACATCTGACATTCTATCGCACCTCACCAAGACCCCGCCCCCCGCCCCCCATCCGATTTCATATAACTACCTAGTCCCCAACGTTAAGGGGCTTGAAACGCTCGTGAAAGTGCTGGAGTCAGAGATAGCCTCTCTCCCGGAGCAGGCTCGCCCAACAGAGCTGCCTGAGATATCGCTCTTCGCTGCTGCTACCGAAGCCTTCTCCAAGGCCAATACCAACTGTACAATAGAAGAGTCTCTTGCCAGAATCGGCCCAATCGTCTCGTTGGCGAAAGAGAAGAATATTCGTGTCCGCGGCTACGTCTCCGTTGCGCTTGGGTGTCCATATGAAGGACCAGATGTAGATCCCCACAAGGTAGCGGAGATCACCGCTTCCTTGCTGGAGATGGGCGCCGATGAGGTCTCTGTGGCAGACACGACGGGCATGGGGACCGCACCGAGAACCCAGAAGCTGTTGCAGACGCTGACTGCTGCCGGAATCGCCAGTAACGACCTCGCTTTGCATTTCCATGACACCTACGGCCAGGCTCTGGTGAACACTATCGTCGGTCTAGAACACGGTATAAGGATATTTGACAGCAGTGTTGGCGGGCTAGGAGGATGTCCGTACTCGAAGGGTGCCACTGGTAATGTGTCCACGGAAGATTTGATCCACACGCTGCACAGCCTTGGAATGAAGACCGGTGTGAACCTCGAAGCAGTAGCAAAGATCGGATCTTGGATCAGTGCTGAACTCGGTCGTGAGAACGACAGCAGAGCGGGAAAGGCGACTGTGAGCCGGCTTCAAGAGTAGTTTTTCTTTTTGGTCTTTAATTGAGACGTCCAGTCTTCACAATCTCTTCCTGGAATTATACCATATGTCATACCAGACACTCCCCCCCCCCTCCGTCCCTTTTTCCCCATGAAAGCATTTCTGTCACCACCCCCATAAGTTGACTGAAACTCCATGATTCACGGATGATGCCTTAATCTAGCAGATTGTATATAGTTAAGAGAACAGGCCAAATCCCTGTTTCGGTATAGACATATGTTCCAATCATGCATGCAATAATGTACATGGCGATAGTACCGTGCTGTTACCCGCCGCATCCTTCAGTCCCAGACGGGTGTATATAGCTAAAGCATAGCCAGTTGTAAGTCCTCGGACCTGCATCATGGCAGCCGTTCAACCGATTCAAAAGTCCGTAACCCTCCCATTATAGCTCCAATCACCGTCTCCACCCCATCTCAGCGGCTCATTCTTTGGCCCTCCAATCTCACCGGTCTTTGGATTCTTCTCTCCCTCGAATTCAGGCTTTGCACCCCGGCGTAAGTCTGGATGTATATCTCCATCCCCAGGGCTCTGGAGCACATCTTCAGGCTGGGACTGAGGAGACTGGTTTATCTGGGGCGGCGAGCGCGGTGTGCTGAAAGCCCCTGTTGACTGCTGCTGGAGGTTTTCGAATACCTCCTGTTCTTCTGGATCGAGTCGAGGAGGTGACGGCGACGGCGCAAAGCGACTTGGTTTAGAGTCTCGAACTGAAGAGATGGAGAGACATCGTGAAGCTGGTCTCGAAGTGTGCGTATATATCGGTCGGAATATCGAACATAGACTGTATCTAGCAACGCCTGCCATGGTCTATATATCACTTGCTGCTGTCTTCTATATCGGTTGTTGGTTGTTTTATCACGAAGAACGAGAAAAACTTCCTTGGAAGCTTCGCCGAAATCGGAATGTCTGGTTTTTCCGAGTCATTCATTTTTGTATACAGAAAAAGCGCCTCAACTTTGCGACTGAATAACAGCTTGAGTTACTCCTTTGTCTGGCGGTTTTGATCTTGTTATCAGACAGGTAGAGGACTTATAATATCCCGTACAAGTTAATAGCTGTACTGGTCGAACTGCGTGATGGCTTCTCAGGTAGCGCTGCGGCGACTCGGAGCTAGAGCTGTGCAGCAGCAAGGGGCCTGTCCCCTGTCGCGACGGCGATGGGCTTCGACAGCCTCGAGTCCACAGGTAGCAGACCCTTTCAGGAGCAAGTCTACTGGTAGAGTTACTCGGATAGTATGTTATATGCCTTGTGGTATCTCCCTGGTGGTAGATATGTATACTGACAGCAATGACATAGGAACACGATGACCTCCCAGGCAACCTCTCCAAGCGAAGTGACCGCTTCGTGGAAGGGATTATGCCCTTCATGGTGCCTACATATGTACGACCAGCACCGGTGATGGCCAGAGGAAGCGGTTGTTACCTTTGGGACATGGAGAATAGGCAATATCTCGATTTCACAGCCGGTATTGCGGTGACATCTCTCGGCCATTCAGACCCAGGACTCTCTCAAGTTATATCAGAGCAGGTACGCATGACAGTAACTAGTTATTATAGAGGAAGAGACTAATTGAGACCATTCTAGTCAGAGATACTGATACATGCATCCAATCTCTTCCATAATAAGCATACCGGCAAGCTCAGCCAGGCGCTGATTAGCACCACTCTCACTTCAGGAGCGATGCGGACCGCCACGCAAGCCTTCATCTGCAACTCCGGGACCGAAGCCAACGAGGCAGCTCTCAAGTTTGCCCGGAAAGTAGGCCACAGTCTCGATACTTCGGGTGCAAAGCATGAAATTGTCTCCTTCCAAGGATCCTTCCATGGCCGAACCTTTGGTGCTCTATCTGCTACTCCAAACCCCAAGTACCAGGCCCCATTTGCCCCCATGGTCCCCGGATTCAAATATGGAGAATACAATGACATCGAACAGCTTCCAAGTCTAATTACGGAAAAGACTTGCGGTGTCATTGTTGAGCCCATCCAGGGCGAGGGCGGAGTAAACGTTGCCTCCGCGGAATTCCTCACAGCACTCCGCGCACGATGCGACGAAGTCGGAGCGGTGCTGATCTTCGACGAGATCCAATGCGGCCTTTCTCGCACAGGCAGCCTGTGGGCACACGCTCATCCGTCTCTCAGACCAAAGGATGGCTCCAAGCCCGCCCATCCAGATATCTTGACCACCGCCAAGGCACTTGGAAACGGTTTCCCTATCGGTGCCACGATCATTTCCTCTGACGCAGTTGGGAAGTATATCAAGGTTGGAGACCACGGAACTACGTTTGGTGGAAGCCCACTTGCCTGTGCCGTGGGTAACCATGTCTTGACCCGTCTTGCCAACAGGGATCTTCAGGATTCAGTTAACTCGAGGTCCCGAACCCTTATCCAGGGGCTGAAACGTCTTCAGGAGAGGTATCCAGATGCTGTATCAGAGATTCGAGGTCGAGGTTTGATTCTTGGTCTGCAACTTTCCGCTCCTTACGTTGGCAAGGTTGCTAATATCCTCGGGTCAGCGAGGGATAAGGGATTGTTGATAATTTCTGCTGGAGAAGGTTGCATTCGTTTTGTCCCGCCGCTAGTCATTACTGATGAGGAGATTGAGGTCGGGCTGGGCATTCTGGATGAAGCTATGAGTGAAGTTGTTAACCAGGCTTAAGCAAAAATACATTACATGGCTTTTTCCCCGATGTTTTATGGTTCCCTGTTAGCGGTTATTGTATGTTCTAGTTACACATCACTTATTTTAGGGTTCTTTTTTTTTCAATCTGTTTATATAGATTTTGGGAGATCATATAGATATATCAGATTTATAAGAGCAATCTTTTTTGCTATATCAAGTACCCCGGTCATTTCAAAATACGATGCAAAGTATTAGAGTCGTCTATAGATACATTATTTACACAAAAATATGTACTATGTATATACACATAAATCAAATAACAAATCATCATGGAGTCTTTGCTCCTTCTCCTATCCCCATAAGCCCACCAGCCAACCCGTCCATCCGTCTATTAAGCAAATCTTCATCACTCGGCAGACTCGTCAAACTAGCTTCACGTCGTAATCCAGTTATGATCTGTTTCACCCGTATCAGGTCATTCTCACTATGGCTCGCATTATCGGAATTACGCAAGCTTTCCCCCTTCTTGGTCGGAAAGGTGGAAAGAGAAAGTTTTGCAGCATTCGGTCGGCGTATATTTCTCTTCTGACTCTTGGGGGCGGAAACTTGCGGTTTGGCAGGTGAATTGGCAGACGGCGCGTTTAGCTGAATATCAGCTTGTGACGGTGGGGGCGAAGGTGATATTTTCGTCATCTTCAACATGCTAATCTCCAGCGGGCCATCATCGTCACCGGATGATTCACTCGTCAAATGACGTTCATGGTGACGGTGCGGTGAGCTTCCATTGCTTTGCTTACCCGTCTCGACGTCTATCATCGGAAGTGAAGAGTCAAGATTTGACATGCCTCGCTGCCGGGCTGCAGAAGCTCTCATGTCATTAGAGCCATTGACATCTATTGTATCAAATATTTCTGTTATCCACCTAGCGCATCTGAATAGATGTTTCCAGCCCTCCGGGAAGATACCAACGATATTCAGAAACCCGTGGGATATACCAGGTATCAGTGTCACTTCAACATGCTCCTTTTCGTCGAATCTCCTTCCGGGCTTCTCTAGGCCAAGTTCCTTTCGTTCACGGAACCGGTGGAGCTTTGCTTGCCTAAGTCGTCCGGCAAATATCACAGTGTCGTCTACAAGAGGGTCCCGTTCTCCGGTCATAAAGTAGGTCTTTGGGAAGCGAGCCAGGAGACCTTCTGGAGCACGCATAGGTGAAAGGAGGAAATCTGTGCTGAAGTCTGGGCGGTTGTAAGGGCCAATATATAGGATAATCATTGCTCTCATCATCTCAGGAGTGAGTATTCGATCATTAACATAGGATATCATAGAAGTGACAGCAAGCCGAGTTTGTAGTTTCTTGGGCTGTTTGTCCACTAAATTTTTCATCTGAGATGCAACGCTTGCTTCTCCAGATTGATTCGATTTGCTAGGCGTTGCAGTCGAAGACTCTACAAGGCTATCAGTAAGGTGGTCGTGGCCATTATTTGGAGACGGTTTGTTCTGAATAATGGAATCTTCCGCAAGGTCATCATCTGATGGATGGGGAGTTGATGGCGTCAATTTGTAGTAATCCTCACTCTTTCGCCTTAGAATATTCCGGTTTGTTTTTCTCACTCCCCTTTCTCGGATCAAGGATAATTCTTCGTCTGTCATCCAGCTTCCAATGTTCAGGTCTAGATTCGGGTATATTAGCACAAGGCCGGCGGGGGCAGGTAATGTGTCTTCGCCTCTCCATTTCCGGGAGTCAGTACTGCCGGACTGCAGAATCATGAGGGTTAGGCCTGCTGCAAGGCTACCACCAGCACTATCACCCGTCACAACAATCCTTGGGCATATTTTTCCACTCAGACCCAAAGATCTCCCGCGAGTCATGACAATAGTATGGTACGCATCATAGCATTCGTTTAGAGCATAAGGGTATGGATACTCGGGTGCCTTCTTGTAGTCAAGACTGAGGACTGGGACGCCCGTCTTACCAGCCCAAGCAAGTAACTTATCATCACTCACCCGTGGGCCCATGGCAACAAAGCCGCCACCGGGGATATCAAGAACTATATTTGTTTGATCACGGAGAGTGCTGAGGGGCCCATCAAAATAAAGCCATGCGTCGATAGGGTCTTTATATGACGACTCCCGTGGACGAGGTATCCGCAATGCTACCGGCTCACGCCTGCAAAGCCGTGGCCGAAGCAGCCTTGACAAGAATGCGAGATATGGAGTGGTCGGTTTATTCCACGAAACACGCAAATGCTCCACGGTTAAAGTAGCTCTAACCTTCCGTACCTTTTCGTCCGCCTGTTCAGCAGCGATAAGATAGTATATAGAAAAGACTAGGGACGCCAGGTCCCGTAGCCATTTCTTCTGTATGTTCATAGCCGTCCAAAACCCGGCGTCGAGTGCGGTCACTATCCAAGTTGCCCTAAAATAGGAACGGGAATATAGATTTGCAAGTGGCTCTGGAGACTCGAGGCCGACTAATTTGGCAAAATTGCGAGATACATAGAGCGTCAGCATGGTCATGACGGTGGCCTGCCATGGCGTCATCCGCCCTTGAAGAAAAGAGGATAAAACCCGAATTCCTGGAGGCCCATTCTTATTCCCTCTGAAGTAGAGATCGTATTGATTAGATACAGCCCTCGTAGAAAGAGTATCCCATCTTTTAAACATACCTCAAAAGGTATAATGCCCAAAATGCGACGACTGCAAAGACCTGAATCTTGCGGAATTTGGTTGAAGGCCTTCCCAATACATGGTCTAGAAGGAAAAGTTAGGTACTGGCCTAGAGCAATCAGGGGTACTTCATACCTATCATGGTTTTGACATTCCTCTTATCAACAGCCAGAGTCAGTACTCTAACAAAAATCTTTATACCAGAGTAGAAAGACGGTAAAAACCAAAAGTATTCATGAAATTCATCTATAAAAAAGTATCAACCTCCGAAAAGACACAGGCTGTATAGAAACTATCCGTATTTCCAATTGCTCCTTGCTTGTATCGACTCTAATATGTCAACCGTTTTATCTTCAGCCTCAAATTGTCCATCTTGGGCCAAAATCCCTCCGGTTGCGACTTTACAACGAAAAGTTGAAGGATTTCACATGCGTGAACATGTGAAAATCGACATGCATGTGATACACAGCAATTACGTCACGCAAACATCGCAGTCATGGATAAAAAGACCAATAAAGATGCATATTTATCGGATAATACCTACCAAGAATACGTACGAGATCAAAATATATCCTTGACGCCGTCGCTACCAAAAAGAAATCGCTCGCATAGAACAAAGGATCTATGTCTTTTGGCAATAGTCTCGCCCGTGAGAAACTTGCCAGTTGCATAACCAAACCTCAAAAACCATCCCTAACAGTCCTGCGATGCAGATGCCCGCCGAGTCGCTGACTGTAGTTGCTCCCAGGGAAAATTCACGTTCCTCCTTCGGTATGCGATCTGTGATTTCCGCGAAGGTATTGACATAAACCAAGCCGCCTAGAAGCCCCTCCCAAAAGACAACCAAGAAAACAATGTAGACGTTTGGTATAAAGTTGAACAGTGCATGGAGAGTAAGTAGGATGAGGTTAAGTACCTGAAGAAATGACGGAAAATACAAGTCATGGATACGAAAGAACGGGGTGGAGGACCGCGAGATGAAGACTCCGACTTGGTAGATTGCATTGTAGGTTGGATAGAAGGCACGGTAATGTTTAAAGGGACCCTCGCTGAGCGGGAACAGGAGAGTGGGCGCAACGCCTTGGTTGATGGTATATTCAGCAATATAGACAAGTAGGAGAGGGAACATGCTATTGTACTTTGTTAGTATAAAGGTAAAAAGCAGTAAGTAGGGCCGTCTTACAATGGGAAAAACAGACTCCTAGCGCGGCTCAGGTTTGCCTTGAATAGCTGCCACGACAGGCTCGAGTCTTGCGAAGGTGTCTTCTTCAGATCGTTAGTACCAACGGGATCTGCGAGTAAACCTTCTATTCCATCTCGATGATCCGATAAAGGTTCATCTAGAGGCCGTCGAGCTTCATTTTCTCGTGGATCTTCTCCTCTCTCCACCTCCTCAATAGTTTGATATCCATGACTAATTCGCAGCATCGGTCCTCTAGGTAGAATTCCGAAGAAGCTTATCATCATAACGGCAGGCAGAAGTGCTGAAGCCAGCAATGTTGCTTTCACCGAGAAACCGAACGAAGTTGTAGCCAAAGCGTATGCACCAGCTCCCACCAACCCAGCAGCGCCCGTGCCGCTACCCCACGCAGCAAGACTAAACGGTCCGTAGAAATGCGTGAGACCGAGAAAGCTGAGTTCTCCACCTCCGCTTGATAGACTCGCTAGCATTACTCCCGCCAACTTGGTTGTGATCGAACTATTGGCGGTGGCTGAATTGTAGGCTGGCGATAGGGCAACTAGAAACATTCCGAAGGTGGATAATGCAACGAATATAAACATTCGAACCGGATAAGGGACGACATGGATAAAGTAAGGAGCGCATAATTTCGTGAAGAAAGATGGAACCACGTCGGCGAGCAGGACTACGCCCTTAGGTACGCTGGGGCCGACAAGGTCAAGTGCCGCGGAGAGAATGATGACATATAGAACATTATTTATTAAACCTGAGATAACTAACGGTTAGCGAAGATCTTCTCCTGCTAGGACACTTCTCTCTGCCCTTACCGAACAGCCAAAAGGCCGTGAAGACTCGAGGGTCGACGCCGTTGAAGATGGAGCTGAGATGGTGACGGAACCTGCTCCAGTTGGAGTTCGGGGCGCATGGTAGAGGCAGCATTGGCGGCTCGGGTGTCTGCAGAGGTTCAGCTCATCAAAGTAACAACAAACAGCTGCTCCCCGTCGTCTCTTATTCTCATCCTCCTTGCCTCGCTTTTACACTCGAAGTTGAAGTTGAAGTTGGAAATTGATCATGTGAGGCTCAAAGACGAAACGCTTAATTCAACAAGACAAAATATCTACAAAGCAACAAGACAACAACATAGATAGCCACCCCACGCATGAAGATGATGTATATCATACAGGACTCGGCATGTTGTCTCCCGATACAAATGCTGTTAAACATGGACAACCCATGTTGTGAAATCGGGCGTCTTTCTGCAGTCCCTGCGAGGCGCGATCATGCGCTACGGGAATCTTCAGGTACAGATTCATCCCCGACCAGCATCCGAAATAAGGGAGTGTACAATAAAATAAAGAGAAGACGACGGCATAAGCAGCTTTATGGGCCTATGGCACTGCGTTGGGGTACTCTTCTTGCCCGCATATTCCGGATACTGGCTGCTGCTAAATGAGCTGTCTATAAAGAATGTCGTGGATATTTTTGCTAATGCCGCTATTTAGGCGTTAAAATCGCGTCACCGCACATTAAGGGAGAGCCGAAATTGCGGTAAGATGTGTGCAAAGAGCATTAGGCTAAAAATAATATAATGACGGCGGCGTACGGATTATTTACACAGAAGGGTATTTCTGCAACATGATGCGGCTTGCCACTACTCCTGTGTAACGGATACATAGCAAGGAAACGATGGGACACTCACTGTGCAGTCAAGTCGATCCCGAAAGACACGCTGGGGAAATAGAATTTGGACAGGGGAGTAAGTATCGGTATTTATCTCCGCAACACTACGGGGGACAGGGAGACTCGGTTTCGTTCCTGTGCTGCTGCTGCCGTGACGAGTGTGACGCAGTACGGAGGAGGGAGGTACAGGGTAAGGGAGGCTAGCATGCGGTCACCCTCGTCCCAGGCGTGGAGTCCCGTTCTCCAACGTCGGGCAGCGATCAAAGTGCTCCTTGCGCATAGTTACTGGACTATGTACATACATCGCAGTGCAGGCGCATATCTGCGTGTACCGTATGTATGCTTCGGCTTTGGTCTTGCGCGCACTATAAAAGAGCTCTCAGACGATCTGCAGATGCTGCGAGCAGCTATGCTGGGAAGAAAAAGCTAAAAATCCGGGCGCCCTGCAATGCTAAAAGATTATTTGCACCTTGTTCCATGTCACAGTTTTCGATGCACTGTACATCCCCCTGGAGCAGGTCGAATAAAACGAATATCAAGCTCGGGCATCAGCAGGCCACACGACCCTATCGCATCGTACACAATGCGGTGATACATAATGTTGCTGGCATAGTATGTAGGATGCTGGGAGGCGAATGGCTTGCCTGGCTGGGCCTCTTTAATCGAACCTATACGAAACGAACAATTCGACAGGGATCAAGCTAGATTACCCGTTAGTTAAATTTAGTGCCCTCCAGCGATGTGCTCAGGCTCCACCACCGGCTCTTAACAACGCAACAGACGAGGAAAAGAAATCATTGGCTTAAAATAAAAAATCACCAGCTTGTTCGAAATTATTTCTCTTGTTGCTCTCGCCCGTTTTTCTGTCTCAGCCAGGATCCCTATTACCAATGCCTTTTTTTGGATCACTTCTCTGCTTCCGGCGCATTCCATGCATATTTCTGGGTGCGGTGAACTTGCCACAGACAAGGCACTACAAGATATGGATGCATCAGGTAACATGCGGAGAGGGAAAATAAGACGCAGCCGCATTATAAGCGTAAGGTACTTCCTAAGCTCTTCTATGGGTTCGTTCAACCTGAATAGATTGTGAGATGGTGCGCCTTGCAGTATACACAGAGAATACCTACCACCAACATGGAGTACGGAGTACATATAGTTGGGATGATTGCACAAGCATACCTATAGGCTAAGGCTAATATGCGGTGGCTCCCCTGCTGCATCGCTAACTCCACCGGGAAGCAATGACAAGTTTGCCCGCAGCTTGCAGCTTGCATCTGCTTGTGTGTCACCTCCACACTCTTCTTTTTCTTCCTTTTTTTTTTTTTTTCCACTTTCGCTCCAACACCCTATTTACCCGTGTTTTCTCTTACTCACGCCATCCTACTTCCACATATCTCCCACTCCCATCTCTACAACCCAGTCAAACACTCTGGAGCAGCATTGGCGACACGTCTGGGATAAATTTACTGCATGGATAGCTCCAGGGCTGCAGACAAAAGCCAAACGAGTGTCAGAATCCCCGGCCTTGCGCGCAAGTAAACAAACCAGAGAGTAAGCAAAAAAAACGAAAATCAAAAAGAACAAAAGAGGGCGGAAGAAGAAAAGGGAACGAACAGAAGGAAAAAGAAAGGAGAAGGAGAAAGAGAGAGAAAAAAAGAAAACAACATCCTTACCTAACTGCGCTGAAAATCTCTCGAGCTGAAGCGGCTTTAGTTGGGAAGACACACTCAAGACATATACAAAACCCATATATCTCTCCATGGATCCGTCACAGTCTGCGTATAGCCCTCGACATTCGGCATATGGTAGACACCACGAAGCCCACAGCTCGTCTCTTCCGCCTCGACACTGTCCGCCATCCTCTCCACCGACGAGCCATGCTCAACAGTCGCATTATAGCGCAATAGCAAGCTCTCGACGGGAGCCCGGCAGTCATTTCTCGCGCCATCCACCGCCTCCTGCCACACCGGCATACTCTCACGACATTATCTCGCATTCATATACACAGCAGCAGCACCATGCGCCGCGACAGAGAACCGATGGCCCAGCACGTGAGCCGCTGGTTAAGCACGGCGTGGAGGAAGCAAACAGTCTTTCGAATGGGCTGGGCGTGCGCAGAGAAGGTAAGCGGAATAATGTCTCGTTCATTTTCACGCCCTCTTTCCCCATTACATCTTTCCCATGCATGAGCACTCTTCCGTTTTTTTTAAGGTTTGTTCATCTATTTTCTGATCCCGAAACGACGGGTACCTTGATGTGCATTGCATCGCAGAGAAACGGCAAGTCCTGCAGACACCACCGAAGACCAACAGACGAAGTGCGGCGGGATATAGCAGCGGCGGAGAGGAACTCGCTCTCCGCCCTCCGCTCCTCCCCTTCTTTTTGTTCTGCACTCTGCACCTTCCGCCATCCACTCTTGCCCCTTTCGGACTCTTGGCACGGCTCTCTTAGGTGGTCCGTGCCGAACGCGCTAGCCGCTTAAGGTTTCCCGCGCTAGTCTGCTTTTAGTGCATAAATGCTTGGCGTTTTAGCGCTGGTCCCGTGACCGGGGCTTTTCCCCCCCAAAAAAAAGTGTTTTTTTTTTTTTTTTTTTTTGGCTTCCAAGGTTTTTGAACTGTTTTTGAACGTTGCTTTCTTTTCCGACTCCCTAATGATTTGGCCTTCGCTCCAGGTCCGTCTTCGATCCTAAGAGACATGCCTCACCCGCCGCAGCAACACGACCAGACACGCCGGAGGTCAGTGGGCAGTGCTGGCAGCTCGTCAGCTTATACAGGTAAGCCCCCAAGACCGGAACGCGACTATGTTCGCCTCCCCCCGTGAAGGAGAAAGAAGAAATATCCGCAACCGCGCTTCACCCACGGGGATGGGTCGCATTGATTTATTGGCCCTGGAGCCGCTGCTATAGCTCCCTGATGCGTTTTCATGTCTGTCGCAGTGACGTTTATATGTTGTTGGTTCGCACCAGCTAATTCGCTTCTCAACGAAAAAAACTTAGGCCATCCAGAGCAACACCCAGCTGTATCCGGGCCGACAAACACATATTCTAGCCGTCAGATGCCTCCTCCGTCCTCTCCGCAGCACTATCACCACCGGGGACCAGCCATTCAGCCCTCTCAGCCATCGTCGATACCCCCGTCCTTCGCCTCCCGAGAACTCGCGGTCACAAACCCGGCACACAGGCCTGGAAGCAGCATGTCGATATCGTCGATGCTCGGCTCAGATGCTGATCGTCCGCTGCGGGAGAGCACGTCCGGCTCTATGTATTCACGCTCTCCCGCAACGTCGATACCTGCAGCCAGCACCGGACCACCGCCGCCTCCCTCGCTTCCCCCTTCCATGTCTCCGCCGTCTGGCCCCAGCAGGCAGCCATCGTCAGAGTATCCTCCTTTCCGAAGATCACATACCCCGGATGGCGGTCCATTTTCAAAACCGCTCACTCCCCGGCCATACCGGTCAAGATCCGGGGGCAGTTCCTCTGGAAACCCCCAGGCAGCCACGGAAGATTCACGGTTTACTGGGCCTCGGCAAGGGTCCAACGCACCCCAACCACAGCTAGGAGCCCCTAGATCCCCACGAACGGCTTATTCGGAGTCATCATATCACCATGACCGACGTATGAGCCTGGGAGGCCCGGCGCCACGAGCCAACCCCCCAGGTCATCATCATCGATCCGAGGAACCTCCGTCACGACCGCCGTTGTTTAGTCCTCCAGTAAGATTGGCACCGGGATTTGCTGAGGGGACGCAGAAGGAGTCGAATAACCAGCGGGAGCAGCATGGGTACCCGGGTAGTTTAGAACCTCCTCCGCGACCATCGTCTAGGTTTAGTGATCCCTCCCAGGATCGACAGGAACATCGTGACCAGCAACCTTACCAGCAACATGGCATCCAAGAACATACGCACCATCACCACCACCACCATCACAACCAACACTCACAGTCACAGCCACATCATCAGCCACATCGATACGGACCTCATGCTTCGGAGCACGAAAGCGATCGACCTCAGCGGCCTCCTTGGGAATCGAATTATCAGCGTGTATCTCCCGAGTCAGCCCGCTATAGCGCCGCGGAGTCAAGCACAGGCTACGGATTTGGATCTATTCAGAACTACACGAAGTCGCTAGGCTCCCAACTAACCGCACCACGCTCCATACCCGGCCAACCTCAACTCCACCCACGACAAGACGCAACTCCTTCAAGCGACTCGTCGCCGATCATGAGTAGGAGCAGACCACCACCTTCAAACCCGCCTCGCCTGTTTTCGCCAGTACCAGGTTCTACTGGCCCTCAGTCGTCGTTTGGAGGCTCGTTTGCGGACGAACAGCGTGCTCGCGGAGGCACGGAGGAACCGCCTCACCACAAAAGTGTATTGAGTATAAATGCGGAAGCTAAACGGGGCGGGAGGGCATCCCCGCTTCCACAGGCCGTGCAGGGTGCCCAGGCCCAGATTATTGACCCGGCTACCGAGTCTGGTATAAAGAGTGAACTAGGCCGAGTGTTCTCCGGCATTGGCAGCGGTGTGGGAGTATCCAGTTCGGTTTCTCTGGGCGGAAGTGGGCCTTCGACGCCGCTGTCGGCGAGTCCGTTCAAACGGAACCATGGCGACCGGCCCATGAACCAAGAGCTAAACGGCGAGGGCTCGTTCGGTACCGGTAAAGGCACGGCTTCTGCGCCAGGCAGCATCAAACGTGGCCGAAGAGTGAAGGAGGAAGATGGCAGGGACGAAGCTGAATCTGCTACTGCTTCTCGTGGACGAAGAGGACGGCACGTACACCACCACCACCATCACGGCCATCAGTGAGTATTTTTTTACTCTACTGCGGGATATACAGATGATGCTAACTATAGTCTAGTCACCACCATAAACACCGAACCGACGATGAACAATCCGTCTTTTCTACCGCAAGCCAAGGCCCTCAGCTAGCAGCCCCCTTCCGGCCGCAATCCGGTCCTGGCGATAGCCCAGCATCTACCGGAACAGTCTCTACCTCCCATCACCACCATCACCACCATCACCATCACCATCACGGCCCACGAGCAGCGCCTGGCAGCGGTATTCCGCATCACCACCACCCAGCTCCTCCCGCAGCACCGATGAAAGAGTACAGCACAACAGTGAATCTAGAACCGCTGCTGAAAAGTGTTAGTCATCTTCCTCGCTACCACCTAGGCTCTACGCTATATGCACCGCGCATCGAGATGCCATCCTCCAGAGCGCCTCCTGAATCTTCGAAATTCGGGTACAACTCAACACCCATACCGATTCCGCGATTTGACGGAAAGGAAAACTGCACCTTCACGATCCGTGTTCCTCGATTCCGGATTGATTCCAGCCATCGCGAGGAAATATGTGCTCGCCGGGCTCTGTGGGGAACGGGCGTATACACGGACGACTCAGACCCGGTGGCAGCAGCCATACATTCCGGCTTCATCCGCGGCGAATGGGCTGAAGATGTCGACGTGTCGATGCTCAATCTGGAGCTCAAGAACGGCCGCCAGTCTCAACCAGCGGCCACTACCAACGGGAGCAGCACGGCTATCGCCAAGACGACGTCTTCCAACGGCAACACCCCGTCAGCGCACAGCAACAGTACCAAATCCGATCCAGCATCGACGGCGCAGTCGGATGCTCCCCATCAACCACCCGCCGCCGCTGAGCCGTCAGAAGACAAGCAGCTGCCCCCTATCCCACCACCAGACAAGGACCTGCACATCAAGCTGCTGATCCTACCTACGCTGGAACGATACGAGAGCAGCGTGATGTACGGTCTCAAGTCCCGGTCCTGGGGCAAGAACCACGACGGAATGAGCTTCAAGGTGGAAGAGATCTCCTGGGTCGACGAGGGCGCCTCCAAGGGCGAGGAGAGAGGCGGAGAGGCTCGCCGTAAGCGGCTGCGAAACATGATGCGCAGCGGCCGTATCTGCACGCCTGCCGGCCTCCAGGGCCGCAAGGGAGTCGAGCTGCATCTCTCCTCCAACCGCGACCCTGACACGACCATGAAGGACGCAGAGGAGGCCTCCGTCCCAACCTCGACGTCGACGGCCGTGGAACCTGTATCCTGACCTCCACATCTCTTTTACCATCTGCCGCTTGATCTTCTTTCCTTTCTCTCATATCTCTACATCTATGTCTGTTATTCTGCAAGCGATCATCCTGTCATATTCCCATCATTACAGCCATCCTTTCTTCTCCCTTTTTCTATCCCTTTCCATCTGCTTGATATCGTCTTTAATCGCTTGTGAAGTACAAAAAATTGTATTACTAATAAGGTTTACAAACAGCCGAGGCTCGGAAGTTTTTTCGGCGAAAAGTCAGCTGACCGGCAAGTTTTGGGCCTTTTTTTTTATTTCTTTATTTACTAGGAAGAAAAAGGTGAAGACGAAGACGAAGATGCGATTTAAGAGGAGCAACGAGGAGTAGAATGTCTGATATGTAGAGAGCCAAAGAGCGCGTCATGTTATCTGGTCATCTGGCGTGGCGGGAAAAGCGCAGCGCTGGCATATAATTCCTTTTTCCCACTGTATTACTGGGGGTTTGGTTATATGGGAGGGCAGACGCCCTTGAGCCGAGGATGAATCCCTGTAGCTCTTCTTCTTCGCTCTCCATAAAACTCCCGCTCAGCTTCGTCTTCTTCGTCTTCTACTTCTTCTTCTTCTCTACAGACTCTGTCTGCTACTTTGCATCTTTCCCAATAGACTGATTTATCTCTTGGGAATGTTCACTGCTGCTGTAAGAGGCCGTCTGACTGCTCTTGGACGTGCTTCCGTGACTCGCCCCTCTCCCCGTCTCACAGTATGTAGCTATCAAAGCCGGTCTGGCTGAACAAAGAACATGAGCCTGCATTGCTCTTGATATGCGGCTGCTAACTGTTGATGCATAGGCTCTGCAAACAATGGCTCCTCGACGTACGGTCTCCTCGGTACCGGCAGGTGAGTTGTTGGACCAGGACGAGATAAAAAAGAGAGAGATCGTCAGGCTGACAGGTGTTAAACAGGGTACAAGGAGGACTTGTCAAAGGGCAAGATGCTTCGGTTTGAAGACTCGCTGCCACAGTTGCCAGTCCCTACTTTGGAGGAGACCGGAAGACGGTATCTCAAGTCGGTGCACCCGCTGCTCACGACGGAAGAGTACAAGAAGACGGAAAAGGCGGTTTCAGACTTCGTCAGGCCAGGTGGTGAGGGAGAGGTCCTTCAGAAACGCCTGATTGCTCGGAGTGAGGATCCCAAGATCGAGAACTGGCTGCACGAGTGGTGGAATCAGACTGCCTACCTTGCCTACCGTGACCCGGTCGTGCCATATGTCAGCTACTTCTACTCGTACCGGGATGACAGGCTACGACGTGATCCTGCAAAGCGAGCCGCTGCCATTGCCACCTCTGTGCTGGAGTTCAAGAGACAGGTCGACGATGGCTCTCTTGAGCCGGAATATCTGCGCAAGGAACCCATGGCCATGAGCTCGTACCAGTACATGTTCAACTGCTGCCGCATCCCTGCCGACGGAGAAGATTACCCCCTAAAGTATCCAGCCAAGGAGAACGAGCATATCATCGTCATGCGCAAGAACCAGATGTTCAAGGTGCCAACCTCGATAAACGGCCAGCAGCTCAACACCTCCGAGTTCCAGAAGCAGTTCGAGACCATCATCAAAAAGGCTGAGCGGGTCCCAGCCGTCGGTGCCTTGACGTCTGCCAACCGTGACTTCTGGACTGCTGCTCGCAAGAACCTCCTGGCCGCCAGCCCTGCCAACGAAGCCGCCCTGAAGACCGTCGAGGGTGCCTCCTTCATCATCTGTCTCGACGATGCATCCCCCGTCACCCTCGAGGAGCGTGCCCACGTCTACTGGCACGGTGACGGCGCCAATCGCTGGTACGACAAGCCGCTGAACTTCATCGTCAACGAGAACGGAACGGCCGGTTTCCTAGGCGAACACAGCATGATGGACGGCACCCCAACCCACCGTCTAAACGACTACGTCAACCAGCTCATCTTCAGCAACAGTCTCGACTACTCCAACCCTTCTATCCGCTCCAACCTGCCCGAACCCCAACCCATCAACTTCGAACTCAACCCTTCCGTCCTCAAGGACATCGCCACCGCAACCCAGGACTTCGAGACCGTCATCAACAAGCATGAGCTTCGCGTCCAGGCCTTCCAGGCTTACGGCAAGGGCCTCATCAAGAAATTCAAATGCAGTCCAGACGCCTACGTCCAGATGCTCATTCAACTCGCCTACTTCAAGATGTACGGCAAGAACAGACCAACATACGAATCTGCCTCAACACGCAAATTCAAACTTGGCCGTACCGAAACCACCCGTTCCGTATCAGACGATAGCGTTGCCTTCTGCAAAGCCCAGGCTGACCCGTCCGTCTCGAGAGAGGAGCTGGTCAAGCTCTTCCGCACCGCAGTGGCAGCTCACTCCAAATACACCGCCGAAGCCAGCGTTGGAAAGGGCGTGGACAGACATCTCTTCGGCTTGAAGAAGTTGATCCGTGACGGCGAGGATGTTCCTTCGCTCTTCAAGGATCCTACATATGCCTACAGCGGCTCCTGGTTCTTGAGTACCAGTCAGCTTAGCTCAGAATACTTCAACGGCTACGGATGGAGCCAGGTCATCGATGATGGATTCGGAATCGCCTATATGATCAACGAGAACAGGTAGGATCTTATCCCTTTACACGGTTATTTTATCCAGACAGCTAACTAACTACTCCGTAGCATCCAATTCAACATCGTCTGCAAGAAGATTGGCGCTGAGAGGATGAGCTTCTATCTTAATGAAGCTGCCTGCGAAGTTAGAGACATGCTATTGCCCGATCTTCTCAAGGAGAGCGAGAAGGCCAAGCTCTAAAAGAGCCCAGATATATAGACGTAAAACTGTTTCGTGCATTTCCTGAGACTGCCGGAGTTCAGGCTTCCAGCACGAAAAAAGGGCGCCATAAAAAACCCGTTTCTTCTGTACAATTTAGGTGCTATTTACTTTTCTTCGTTTTCTTCATATAGATAGCACATATTATATAGCAGTCTTTTTTCTAGTACTAAGATTAGTCAATCAATTGCTGATGGACAATTTATCTTGATGTTGAGATATTCTTCATTGCTTGGGACATCAAGTTTGATATCTAATCCACATGGGCATATCATAATTCAATTCTGAGAGGGCCGTAGGTTATTTCGCCACTCACTCGGATAAGCATCAGGGCTCTTGAACATATCTCTCATTTCCCTCCAGCCAAACCTGCAATGGCAGCTTCAAAAAAAGGTCAGAGGTAAAAAATAATCATGTAATGTTACATAGGGGGCCGTAATTCGCTTCTCCTTCCCTTTTTTTTTTGTGGTTTGTTACTTATGTTCGATCACATTTACGTGTCTCGTCCAGACCATTACTTAAGAGTATTGGTGATCCCAATGTACCCCAATGGGCCACTTCTTTCCTTGCTGCCTATCCGGAACCGTTTCCTGTCGCTGGGGGTTAAGTGATACTTGTATTTCCTAGGCACACATTGCCGTTTTCACATAGGTTTCGATAAAAGACTCCTTTGGTAAGTGGCTTCAGGGCTTGTCTTCTGTCGGGGTTGCTGGTGTCTGTGGGCCGCTCTCGACAGCCGAACCAGTTGTTGTAGCAGGTGTAGTGGTAGATGTGTCGGTTGGGGTCGGCTGAACATTCTCGGCTGGCTGGGAGGCGGGTTGTGGAGGTGGGTTGGTGCCACTTGCAGTCAGTTCGGCTACTTGTCGCTCTATAAAAAAGGTAGCATGTCAGTGTATTGATTGTGAGGTAGGATGATAGCGTCTCAGTGTAAATCACTTACCCAACTCTCTTATCCTAACCTTTAACATCTGGTTCTCCCTGGACAGAGCAGCTGTTTCAGCTTGGTAGTATGCGCTTTCATCTCTGCTGCCTCGTCGGCCGTTGGACTCTGAAAGTTGAAGCCAGTCATTGCTACCCGTGCTAGTCCCAGTTTCAGCCTGGGATCCAGAAGGATGAATAGGCGCATGTGGTGTCATGGCCGTGCTCGAGCCCCTCCGAGCGGAGAGACTAGAACCCATGGGAAAGGAGGCTCTTTGGCCGGGAGCAGGCAGTGGAGGAATCGCTGGGAATGAAAATGATCTTTCTGAAGTTGGAGTTGAGTCATCGATGGCTGTTCCACCAGCTGTTGGTGGCTGTTGCTGGGATTGTTGAAGCTGTTGGAGCTGAGCTTGTTGGTTGCGAATCATCAAAAGGAGCCGATTCTATAAGTAAAAGGGTAAGTAATGAGCTTGAAAATAAAACTCAGCCAGTTACTGAATACTAATACTTACGACTTGTGCCTCCTGCTCTTGCTCAAGCTCTTGGTGCAGCTCGCCAAGTGAGGGAGTGCGCTGGTGGTGGGGGTCTCCGGTAGCGATAACAGGGCTTCCAGCTATGCTTGTAGGGCTATGGGTTCTGAAAAGACTCCCAAACGAAGACCGGTGGCGGCGATTCTGGGGCGATTCAGTCCCTGTAGGGTCAGAATAAGAGGCCTCGTGGAGATTGGCATTCAAATTAGCTCCCGAACGACGACGCTCAGAAGGTCTGGTTTGAGGTGACCCCAGGTGGGCACCAGACGAAGAACGACGAGAAGAATCTGCGGCTGCATTCATTGTTGCTGTTGCCTGCAAAGATATCGAAGAGGATCGAGGAGAAAGTGATCGTGCCACGCTGCTGTTGCTGCTGTCCATTGAGTTGCTGACTCTGCGAGTTTGATAGGGCGAAGAGGAGGTCGACCGTGATGGAGGCAGTGAATTTAGATCAGGGGGCATGGCAACGAGCGAGGTTAAGCTAGTAGCTAGACGTATACCGTGTTGATACGTCCTGGATCAACGCATGAAGGCTCTGATATCTTCCTGTTGCGAGCGTTGACTGAAGGAAAAGCTGAAAGCTCGCGAGCTTTTGCAAGTTTTCCCTTTTAGGCACACAAACGTCACGAGATCTTCATCTCATGTGCTTATGTAAGTGTATTACGTCATGATGAGTCCCGCCAAAGAGTTGAAAGATGTTTGATTGTCATTGATTATATCAAAGAAAAGAATGATTCATTCGGGATAGAAGACGGTATTACTAGCTGTTTCGTCGTCTACGTACAGTTTAGTAGATATCTCTAGCCGGGGCGTTTTCCCTGCCTTTTCTCCCATCGATAGAAGTACAGCCCTTGCAGAATCTTTAGTTAGCAGAATATGCGGTAATCTTGGATATCCATGCATCAACAAGGAAGAAATATACTATTCTTCATACCTATATGAGTGCCACGCAAAGTTGGAGCTCTTTGGATGCAAAGTCACATGACTAAATCTGATCAGATTAGATTATCAGTCTTGGCGCGTCTTATCTGATTAATAGTAAAAAGAGAACTCAGAGAGCAAAGAAGGAAGAGAACGAGCTGAATATTCTACAGAACAAGATGGAGCAGCGGTTAGGATAACAATGTCATTTCTAATTCGCCATAGGCCGTGTTATCGGTCTACTTCATTGTTTAACCGGTGTCTTAACCGCTCAACAAACCGTTCCCACTACGGCAATGTTGCGCCATCATCATCACGGCCGTTTCGGGTTGCGGTCGTCGGATCTGGACCGGCTGGGTTCTACGCTGCTTATAGGCTGATGTCGAAAGTACCGGAAGCTATCATAGACATGTACGAGCAACTCCCAGTGCCATTCGGACTTGTTCGGTACGGCGTTGCTCCCGATCACCCCGAAGTCAAGGTAGGCAAAATGTGATCCATCGGCGACTTCATAGCTAACGTTCAATCGGCTGTAGAACTGCCAGGATAAATTCACCGAAGTTGCGACATCGCCGCGTTTCAATTTTATTGGCAACGTCGCGCTAGGTAGTGACCTTTCGCTGAGCTCGCTGAAACCGCATTATGATGCCATCCTCTTCTCCTATGGAGCTTCAAAAGATCGTAGGCTAGGGCTTCCAAACGAGCAAACACTTTCGGGGATATTTTCTGCCAGAGCGTTTGTTGGCTGGTATAATGGGCTGCCAGAGCATAGGAATTTGCTGCCCGACCTGGCGAGCGGAGAGGATGCTGTTGTAATTGGACAGGGAAATGTGGCCCTTGACGTCGCAAGAGTGTTGCTATCCGATGTGGATGCTCTACGGAAGACAGACATGTGCGAACATGCTCTTGAAGTGCTTGCGAAAAGCAGGGTTAAGAGAGTGAGGGTGGTTGGCCGCCGTGGACCAATGCAGGCAAGCTCTTCTCCCAGTAGTTGTTTTGATAGCTCTCTCTCTCTGCTAACACTCAAATATAGGCTGCTTTCACCATCAAAGAGGCTCGAGAGCTCATACAGCTGCCTTCAACTGGTTTTGAACCTATACCCAAACAACTCCTGCCCCCCGACTCAATCATATCCGGGCTTCCAAGAGCCCAGAAACGAATCATCCAACTCCTAGCCAAAGGTTCCACTACTACCTTTGAAAATTCAGCCAAGCAATGGTCTCTTGACTTTCTCCTTTCTCCTCACTCATTCCACTCTTCACCCGAAAACGCCGGTCGTCTATCACATATTACATTCACACGGAACCAACTAGATCCGGCTGACCCCTATTCGCCTACCGCGTCTGTTTCTCCATCTATAGCAGAGGATGGTAAAGTTGCTCATATAGATATGCCGGCAGCTTTGTGCTTCCGGAGTATAGGATACAAGTCGTGCCCACTTCCAGGGCTTGAAGAGCTTAATGTTCCGTTCGATACTTCTCGTGGCTTAATACCCAACGATGGACAGGGGAGGGTTCTAAATACCGTGTCGTCATCTGGTGCCAATGACGGTCTCCCGGCTCACGTCCCTGGTGTGTATTGTGCAGGATGGGTCAAGCGTGGCCCCACGGGAGTCATTGCTTCAACAATGTCAGATGCATTTGCCACTGCAGATGCCATTGCGGCAGATAGGGAGATACATCGCGATCGAGGGAGTGATAAAATGAAGTTCCTTAATTCAAGGGCTGGAGAAGAGAGCACAGGGCTTGGATGGGACGGTGTTCGTCCTGAGGCTGAGAAGCGCGGTTTGCGACCAACCAGCTGGAAGGACTGGGAGGAGATAGATCGAGTAGAGAAAGAGCGTGGGCAGGCCAGGGGCAAGCCTCGAGAGAAGTTTGCTCTGGTCGACGATATGCTTAATGTTTTGGGATAGAAGAGAAGTCAATGTATACATAGATATGTAATATATATTAGATGTACAACAACGCCAATTTTGAACGATTTACCGATGTTTTACAATCATAAAAATCATGAGGGTACTCCTTCATAATCCCATCCATCAATGACCCTTCGCCTCCTCGAATTTCGCCGATTAGCATTACATTTAACAAACAAAGTTAGAGCAGTGACAATAAGAACGATGATGGCCGCGATTGTAGGTACAAGAATCGCCCTCCTTTGAATTTCGTTACTGTCTATTTCATATGGACACTGCGCTTTCGGGCCATGCGTGACCCAGCAGGCAGGTACGTCGGCAGAATTGAAATCTATCCACAGCATCTGGTCGCTATAGTTGTCGTCAGTATCGGGTGAGATTATCTCGGTACGATTAGACTGCGAATCAAGCTTTGCATAGAGATAGATGTTCTCTAATGGAGTTCTAGGGACAGAAAATACGGTATTGTCCGGGCAAGCCTCTTCGGCATCGAAGTAGGTAGCTGTGCGTTCGGATATAATCCAGTCATGTGGTGAATTCCCTACCCGACAGGCGACGTGAAATTCATCAGTACATTCATGTGCGCGCCATCTACCTGATGATGCCGCATCCATGGCCGCACATCGATACGAGTTTTTTGTTTGTGAAGACGTTGAACCGGTGGAGTTGAGGGGTTCATCTTTGGCCCAAGTCCAAGTAGCAGAATAAGATACGTTTTGATAAGGACTAATGTCATTATCTGCCGTCACGTTAAGGAGTGTATGGTTAACAACTGGTGATATACCACATGATACCAACTGCCGAGTCAACAACGATAACTCATCCGACGAGTTCCGTTGAGGAAGTGCTGCCAAAGCCCAAGGGCGGTCAACATCCGACAAGGCTGTCGTACCGGGGTCATAGAGGCAACCATTTGTGAGATTAGCAGCGGAGTCAACTGTGATATCTATGTGGGATTCGAGTGAGTTCGGCGAAAATACCAATTGGTCTCCTGTGAAGTTGTAAGCTGACATCTGAGGGTCGACGGTGCCCCAGCCCAGGATAAGCCTCGTAGCTCGAGCCAGAACGGCGAAACCAGTGGATGGCCATCCATTAGCTGTGACAAGATGGTTTCTATCATCCACCGTCGTTGTAAAGTATTCAGCAATGGGTTGATGAGGCGGGGAGACGGAAAACCATGACTCATTAAGATTACGGCGGTTTTCCATCAGCTTAAGAGGGCTGTAGATGTAACTTCCCAGCGATCTCTCCAAGACTCTGCCAAGTAGATTCGGTGGAGAAGGAAGGTCCTTCAAGCTAGGCTTTTCTGGAGGCTCTTCTGGAGAATCAGGTGAAGCGGCAGCATGCATGTTGATGATTAAAAACAACATCTCTGCGTTTATGGTATTTGCAGTGCTTGAAAAGTACTCTTCGAGTATGGCTGAAAGGGAGGATATGCCGAGTGACTGTGTGCATGAATAAGGCCCCAGATTATATATCTGATCCCTTTTCCTGGCACCGGCAGCCATTGAAGTTGAAGTTGGGGAGGCAGACGTTTTGCTTGACACAGGGTCTCTGGACGACGTCCCGGTTGGGGTATTTGGAGTCGGAAGAGCGCCAAAAGTGTCTATCGGGCAAAACCCCCATAAACCCCCCGTAGGCGACCAATATACATCCACGTATAGGCGTCTGTAGCCAACCGACAGAAGGTTGGATATGCACTTCCTCGCCGCATCGTCCTCATACAACCCTGCACCAAAACAGGCCGCAGAAAGCGACACGGCAGGGAACGTTACATGGTCAAGAGGTATCTGGAGTGATACATCTCTCTGAGACTGTAGAATAGAGAGACAATTAGCATATTTCAGCACAATATAACAGCTATCTGCCTAGCTATACGACATACCAGCTCAACGGTGTTCCATGGCGGGAGGAGGGAGGCACTCTTATCAGGTATATAGTTCCGCATGAGCAACTCTCAAACAACCTCTACGGATCAGCCAGTCTAAGCAGCAATTGACCATGGTAGACGCTGGAGTCGGCGGCTTGCTGAAGCTGGCTGCAAGTTGATGCTGCTTGATGCTTTTTTTTTTCTCCGATCTCGAAGTCCGGAGAAGGCATACCACGTGACCTGCTTTCGTAATCATCGATCTGGCCACTGTTGAACTTCCAAATTTATATGCATCGTTGAAGCGGCCATCAGTTTTTTTGTCCAACGGACGCCATTTTGTGACTCTCCGTCTTTAGGGCTGTTTTATATATCTTTGGGGGGAGCGCATAAGTCGAGGATTCCGTCACCATGGCCGCCCCAGGTCCAACTCCAGAGCAGATTGCGATGATGCAGCAGCAGATGGCTGCGGAAGCGCAGAGACGAGGAATGACAGTCGAGGAATTTGGCAAGATGCAGCGAGAGCAGATCGCGGCAGAGGCTGCTAGGCAAGGTCTTACTACTGAGCAGTTCATTCACCGGCTGAAGGCTCAAGCCTTGAGGCAACACCAGATGCAGCAGCAGCAGCAGCAGCAGCAGCAAGAAGAGGGCCAGCAGGGACAACAGCAGCCTCAGCATCAGCACCAACAACACCAGCATCCTCAGCAGCAACAGCAACAGCAACAAGTGCCTGTGAACTCCGCAGCGCCACCGGACCCAAGAGGTATCGCTGTGGCGCAATTTCTGAAGGCACAGAACCTGAAGCCTAGAGTCTGTATCTTGGATGGACGAAGAAAGGAGCTGTTCAAAGGTAACCCCCCCCCCCAACAAACCCCCGCGGGCACCGTATATCAGGGAGAGATCGATTGCTAATATGTCATAGTTAAACGAGCATTGCGGGCACTCCAATCTCCCGCCTATGCTAAAGCGTCCGCTAAGCCTAAATCCAACCTGCCACCTGTCACCGATCTAGCTTCCGCCGAAAACGCATTCAGACTTCTACCAATGTCTCTCCTTGCCTTGAAGGTCTCCAAGATCGATCCCCATGAAGGATATAACCACGCTAAACCGCCGTCCAAGAAGGGTAGGGTCAAGGGCCTCTGGACTGTCCGCATACAACAACACCAAGATACGAATCCCATGTCGCACTACGTCTGGCTATATGAAGGACCTCAATGGAAACAGAAGGCAATGGCAGCCGGAGTCCTGGCTGCTATCATGGCCGTTGTCATGTTCCCATTGTGGCCTGTCATGCTTAGACAGGGTGTCTGGTATCTCAGTGTTGGCATGATGGGACTACTCTGCTTGTTCTTTGCCATGGCAATCTTCCGCCTCATACTCTTCGCGGTCACCTTCTTCGTCGCTTCACCCGGTCTATGGCTCTTCCCGAATCTATTTGAGGATGTTGGCTTCTTCGAGAGCTTCGTACCTGTATGGGGATGGCAAGAGGTATGTTACTATTACCCCGCGTGTTCAGGGCAGCTCCTTTTTTTTTTTCCGGGATGTAAAAAGTGGCTGACTTGTTTCATTCTACAGACCAAGAAAAAGAAGAGATCCAAGAAAACAGATGGTTCAACGTCGAAGTCTTCCAAATCCAAGCCGTCTAAGTCCACAACTGCCCCTGCTCCGAGTGCCACCGAGAAGGCCCCTGCCACAGCCAACCCGCCCGCGCCCGCCGCTCCGGCAGAGCAGGCCAAACCCGAGCATTCACCCGCCAGACCTGCATTCGCTGCCAGTGTAGAAGACGCTGAGGAAGAGTAATCTTGATGTTCGAAGTAATACTGCTAAAATGAAGAAAACTTTTCCATATACCCATCCCTTGCCTTTATATCAACCCGCTTCTTTTGCTTCATCATTATTCATCCAACTTTGGCCTCCACCTGCCTTTGACTCCTATTCGATTCTTTCGCTTCTTCATGTTTTTTACATCAATTTCTTTTTTGAGGGCTTGGTTTATATGTTACGATGTATGAATAATTACCCTAAAATAAATCCGGCATAACTCTTCCCATCTTCATTATATAATTTCATGCCAATCCGTGCAGGCATGATACATAGTTTCTCGTGAACTACCAAAGTCCGGTAGTTCAATGTGTAGAGAAGAAAATGTATGTAATAGATATGGTATTGTTTGTATAACAAGGAGTGAGAGACAGAGAGACCAATCTATACAGTGCCATAGTGCAAGATCAAATCAAGGGCCGAAATGATTAACAAAAGCCAAAAAAAAAAAAAAAAAAAAAAAAAAGAAGGAATATATGAAATCATGGGTTCTGGGTAGAAGCTGTGTTGCCAGCTAAGTTTCCCCTGCGACTCCGTTTTGATAATATCATCATCTTAGCAGTGGTATCCGAGGAGGAAAAAGAGACCAAGGAAGGAAAAAGCAAAAGAAGGGAGGATATATAGAGTATATCTATATAAAAAGACAAGGCAAAGAAATAGGGGTTGAACGACGCTGGGTGTCGATGTGTGTGAACTGGCATAGTAGACGCAAGGAGAGGATATCTGTCAAAGAGTGGGCTCGGGGGTTCTGGTATTGGGATCAGTTAGACTGGAGTTATTCCCTTTCGAATGGCGTGAACGTAAGATATAGGTAGGCATCGGGTATATGGTTCAATATAGTGGGCGAGCTATAGTACATATATGCGGTTATATGTCCAATCAAATCAGAGAGCGAATGAGACACGCTGTTGAATCCTGAACAAATCAAAGAGTAGTGAGGGTATCGTGAGTAGCATCCTCCTCCATATTGGCAGATGGTTATTGATAATGAGGAATTACTCAACAGGATCGAACCAGCAGGATTAACAGGAAACAATGCAATGCTTTCAAAGAATAAACAATAACACATGCAGGAAAAGAAAAGGCAAGGAAAATATGCAGGCCAGCTTTGGAATTTGTTTTTGTTTTAAACATAATATGTGGTGCACAGCTATCCCCCGACGATCTCTATCGTTCGTCTACTGGGGGCTAAAGTGACGTTAGGCGCTTTTTTGTGGCAGCGGCTGGCAGCTAATGATGCTAAGCCGTGATGCTTCACACGGAGACGACTCGGGGAATATACCTGGCGGGACCTCTGGTAACGGGCAAGTCGGAGGTGGAGCAGGAGGAGGGCCGTGTGGAATATGTGGCATGCTCTTCCTACTTGAAAGAGAAGTCAGGGACGACCTCCTACTGTTGCACGACTTCGTAGTCATAGACCGTTGGCGCCGGACCGGTTCTTGACTGGGCTCCGGATTGGGGCTTGACTGGCGGACACTCCGACATGTCCTAATTCTGGGTTCGGTATAAGCCCTGGGGCCCAAACTATGTGGCCTTTTGCGTACCTCACGTGGGCTATTCCTTGACTGAAGTCTTGAAGGTTGGCTGGGAATATCTAATGGGTCGTCCTCGAGGATCGACAGGGCCGGTCGGTATTCAGAAAGCGGAGGATTGGCGTTTTGAATGCCATCCGATGAGTATCTGCGTACTTGAGAGACACGCTGGAGATTTGACGAACGCACGAATGAAGAAGGTACATCGTGGTCCAGTTCCAGTTCCTGACTGTTGTCTGTTCCTGCGAAACTGTCGGCCTCATCAGGTTCGTGTATTCCGCCACCAACGCTTTTCCTTCTTCCCGGGCGTGGGGCCTGATTAGAATTAATGAGCTCATCAAGTTTGGAGCCATCGACAGTTTCAAAAGTGGGAATAAGATGTGAAATAGGGCTCTGACATGCCCTGCCGTCGAGTGGAAAAGAGATCGTCTTAGGGCTAGTCGCAATCGAATTTCGTTTACTGAGAATAGGATGGCTAAAGTTTGGTGTTGAAGGGATGCGGCTTTCGGCTCGGGGTGGTAGGTCTGGCGTATCGCTGAAAACATCTTCTAGATTAGCGCAGGAGCCGATATTAGGCCTGCTCCGACCCCCTAAATCAGCACTTGCAACCCGATTAGGGCTGCGTGGAATTTTCGGCGATTCTACGCCTGGGGGTTTGGAGGCCGTCGTTCTAGCCGTAACGGATGAAGATGATGATTGGGAACTTGGCATGGTTCGAGTCCCAATAGAAACACAAGATAGCCTAGAGTTACGCTTAAGGCTGTCAAGTTCCGGTGCACTTGCCAAAGACGATGGTGAGGGCACCTCAATCGACTGGTGTATAGATTTCTGGCATTCTGGTTTCACACCATCTTCAAGGTGCCCAGGAACGAATATTTGGCTGTCCCTTACGCTCAACGTGGGCGACAGAGTCTGGTCTATCATGCTGTTTCGTATGTCCCCATGAGTTTGATGGGTCGTTTGTGGAGGTTGGAACTGATTGAGCCCAGGAGCTTCGGAGGAATAGTCCTTTCCCCCAAGGCCTTGTATTTCACGCCGGACGAACATGAGCCAGGAGGCCAGTTCTTCCGCGCTATCCAGGACCAGTAAGAAGCTGCTTGTTGGCTTTCGTGGCTCTGTATTAGTACGTCGAAGCCGATCCAATATTGTCTTCTTCGGCTCCATGCTCGGTTCAACGTCTTCTTGAGTTTGCGATATTTGTAGAACCCAATGCTTTCCCGGAATAGCATCGCATGCAAAAGCGACTGATTTCTCTCCCAGAGTTAATACTTCTTCAGGGAGGCGATCAAAGTTGCCATCAACACTATATTGAAGTAGATGGCCGCTCGCTAACAGAATAAATATCTTCTGGGACCACTTCATACCGCTAGGCTGGCTAGACTGGCTCCTGGCGTGTAATCTCGTCCCTTTCTGCCAGTTCTTCACTTTAATAACACCATTGGCCCCAGAACCATCACTCTTGCTATCGGTGTCCGTAGACCGGTCCCTGGCGTTGCCAGCTTTTAAATCCCGGCGCAACTTGCGACGCAAGATCTCTTCTGTAGACAAAGTAGGGCACGGAAGCGTTGCATACTTTATAGCCTGGGGGTACACCATGAATAGAGGTGGAGGATCCAGTGATGATGCAACTCCCGTAACTTCGCCGGCCAGTGTATTGTCGTCATTGGGAAGGGGAAATTGAATTGAAGATTTAACTGATATCGGGGTAGCATTTACGCTGGCAATCGGCGGAGTTGCTCTTGACAGAGGACTGGTGACTCGTAGTTGATCAGGAGGTGCTGTGGCAGGCGTCTGGGGGTTTCTGCTTGATGCGGGTAGGGGATGAGGTCTTGTTCTAGTAAACAGTTTCTTTAGAGTGAATCCGTGAGACTTGGGACGTAGAGGGACCCGGTTTGCCCATGTATCGCTATCGAGTTCCTCTGGGAGAGGCGGTTTAACACGAACAGTCGAGTTCCTGTTTGTTTGAATTGGCGGCAGCCGCACCCCCCTTCGAGAGCCGACGGTAGTAGGGGATTTGTCGTCCATTTGTGAATTATTCGGGGTTTTCAACATCTTCGTTCGTCAAGTGTAGTCACGCATCGCCAGTACGAAACCATGCGTGGTTATCAACCTGGAAACTCCATCGACAACACGCACTGTCAACAAGCAGGGCTATATGTCCATTGCCAGGAGATGTGCCACTCAACCACGACTTCTCAACGGGGCATGTATCAACCAAGAGAAAAAAAGGGAGTGTTAGACGTGACACTTGAATGTCAAAGGGGCTCGATCTGGCTGTGGAAGTAGAGGGGCAGAGGTGTAGGTGACAGCAACGCTGGTATGACAAGGTTAAAACGGCCGTTGAACTGAGGAAGGGACTCGGCCTGGCAGCAGTGAAGGAGAAGGGCAAGAAGAAACAAAACCTCCTGGATGTGAGAAATTTGGACTCGTAGTGCATATGAGTAACCTCGATGCATGCAAGAAGGGGAGGAAAACTGCTTGGTCACTTTGTAGACAGAACTGGGCGTGTTGATCAGATGGTTAGCGGGTGAAGCTGCAAAAGGAATTCTTCTCTTTTAGTTGGTCCACATCTCCGATTCGCACGGGCTTTGGGGCCTGAAAGGAATCCATTACAAACAGCCGTTAGGGGGCAAAACCTGAGCTTGGGAAGTTATTCCCTGCGGCCAGCCCCTACACTGACTTTTGGAGAATGTGACAGCCAAGTTGCCTTCAGCGATCTTTGGCGCCCATCAGCTCGCACACGCCTGGAGTTTGTGACCATCACACGGATACCTCATCCCATCCTGGAGAAACCCCTGGTGCATGCCACTCACTCCTGACTGGCCACTAAGCGGCGCTAAGACCAATACTGTTTGGATTCCCAAGCAACACAGCCTTGCATGGAGAAGCTCTCCTTTCGACCTTGCAGAAGTAGCTCTCCGTCAAGCCGGAACTGCCAGCAGGTATGCAGGCACGGCAAAAACCGACAGGGTCAGGGACTCCGTAGAACCGTTGGAACTCTAAGCTCTGTTGTCCACAGGATGAACAAAGAATATTAACAATGATTATGGCACTGGAATAAATAAGCAGAAGCTTGCTCTTCGCACGGGAAGCATTGAAATGTCCGTCGTCTTTACCATCCCCTCGGCAGCAACAAGAACCGCATATGGTTTCCGTAAGCCCCCGGATCGTAATCCGCAGCCTCTCCCGAGGTTTAAAATTCTTTCTTAAACCGACAGACGAATCCTCCCTTTTTTTTTTTTGGCTTTGGACGCGGACGCGCGAATGCTATCCCTTTTAAAGGGCAAAAGGGCCTGGATCTCGACGGAGAAAGGGACTGATTATCAATTCATGCTCTCTGCAAGGCTTGTTTATCATCTGAGACACTCTAGGGCTCGACTATGAAGTTATCGCGATGGTTAGTTCGGAGTCCGCCGTAGGTACAACCAGGTTTCCCGATCCGGTATAGCGGGCGTTTGTGTATGTAAGCAGCTGCTAGGCCTGAAAGGGTAATGTCTTTTCTGACAGCCATCTTGACGGCCATCTTGCTGTAAGACAAGCCCAGCGACTTTTCACCAACAAGCACCTAGCTTTGTCTGTTGCCCTGCGGACTTTGAAGCGCAAAGGCCAACTCATCCGCCTCATCTGAGCTTCGTTGGAGGAGTCTACATCTCTGGCACTAGCAACACTAACAGCAGCAGCAATGGCACCAGCGGCTCTCCATCAACTTGATAAACAGAATGGAGCATAATACTTGAACGCTCATCATACACTGTTCTCTACTTAGAGCTTACCGTATATCCACTTTGTGGACGCGGTTCTCCTGCAATGTCCTCTGACCCTCCGTGCCATATTATACTCAGCAACTGAGGAAGAGTTGCCAATACTTGGGGAATCTACCTCCATATGGCCTGGTAAGTGCTCATCAAGTTTTGCTTCCGACCCCGCTAATATTGATTTTGCAGCATGCTAGAGACACCATATCTGGTTTTACTCGAGGTATTTTATACTCATCACCGTCATCTGGGGGGCGTAGGGAACCGCGACATTTTCTGGATTTACGTTGCTCCCCCCATTCGGACCGGTGCTGCTCCACCATGAAGGAGGATGTGGATGTATCCAAACGTCTGGGAACGATAGTTTCCGTCTATGATGGAATCGGTCCCAGTGCTATTATATATATACCCCCAAAACACATACATACTGTTGTATTTTTACCCCTCTACATGTAGGTACCCTAATGAACCACGACTAGTACCGGGATTCCCGAAAAAGGCCACTAAAATGCGACAAGAGGCCTCTCACACGCTTGTGAGGCCAATTCAGTGATACCAGTTACTCGGTACTCCGCCACTACATAAAGTACGTGATGGTTTTGTCATACTGTCAGCAGCGCAAAGTATAGCTCAGGTAATAGCTTCGGGGACTTACGACAACTGGAAGGTCTTAGGCCTTTACGTGGTAGTTTTATGTGTCATCAATTACAATGCGCGCCTATCGGTCTCGATTGTTTGCATTATTAAACTGATTTCTTTTAAATTTGAGAGATGAAACCTAAAAATATGCTGAAAATTTTGGCCTGTCTATAGAATTGTTAGTAAAATGCAAATCAAAAGGGGTAGGGGAAGGTCTAACAAAATCATCGCTTCGATGTAACACTCTAACGCTAGTTTCCCATCCCCATTCTATCTAGCGAATTTAGGACGTTTCAGAGCCATCTTGAAAGAACCTACTCATCTACATAGTACATAATGTACTCCGTTAGAGGTATATGACGTAGTAAAACGGAGGCTGTTTGACATTTATGGACTTCTCCTTTTCTCCGAAGAAATAGTTGTTAGATCTCAAGTTTCACCAAGAACTACGGAGTATATCAACAATTCATGCATCGATTAGCGACCAGCAATCGTTCCAAGCGTAGCTGGAATAAAGCTGGCGGAAAATATCTCCTTGGGTAAGTTTATACACGTGTGGGAAGATCGCGGGAGAAGATCCTTTGGTTTAGTTGTATAGGCCAGGTGTCGCGGTTTGGCCTGTTGTAAGGATCATTAAACAGTCTGTGGGACCTGAATGGTGAGGCGGGCTTCAGGAGTACGGAGGTTACGTTGATATGGTACAATACTATGTACTGTGATGTACGGAGTACTACGTGATGCGAAGTACCTTGGGCATAAACGGCTCGATGAAATGCTGCAACAAATGTCCTTTGCGGCCGAGTTTTGAATGAGGTTTTGAATGTTGTAAATCTTCCTCCATAAGAAGTCATAGCTAGCAGATTACACATAGGCCATTAATATGTTCAAGTAATAGGATCGGAGCAATGTCTCTTCATATTGAGTTGGCATTGTGCAATAAACATTGCCATATTCGAGATCAAGTAATAAGTAGTACGCATCCAGTAAGGTCATAAGCAAGCGGGATGCATACTCTAGCTCTCTGGACCTCGAAATGAAAGCTTCTAGTTACTTTTCAAAGGAGAATTAGATAAAAGCTAGCCCTGTCTATGTAGAGTGTTCTACATTCCATTCCTCTCCACTTGGGCGTGGTAAATAAATAACAGGTGAAATGCTGACGTTCACCCTGCTCCTCTTTTTACATCTTAAATCCGATGTGGTTAAATAAAGAGACGGGGTATCAATCATACTGAGCATGGTGAGACGTTGTTTCGTGGAGTAAAGAACCTCAACCTGATGTGTTGGTTCAAATAAGCTCATCGGGCAAAAAAAGAGCCTCTTGCCTTCTTTCGGTCACCGCCTTGCCAATATCAACCAGCATCCAGCTTTACTATGGCACGGAGTACAATATTCTGATTCAGTTACGGGGAAGAGTACGGAGTACGAAAGTGAATACTGAAGGGATGGCCACATCATCAAGTGTCTCTCTTCCAGCCAAAAATATCTAAATATAGCGAAAAGAGAGGCTCATGCTCTGTTACTTTTAACGGCGCTGAGCCACCTGGCGGCAGAAGAGTCATAGCACCCTTTCAGGAGTAAAAATGGCCAATGAAGATTAATAAATTCTCCCCTCAGAGAAGGCGGAACTACCTACGGTGATCACTGGTCTAGCCTCGAATGTGAAATCATGTCTATCAATTAGGCTATGAATAACTTGTGTATGTATAACAAACACACAGCCAATGAAGTGGAGCATCACCTCAGGACACTGGCTTTTCATTTTTCTTTTCTCTTGTCATACAATGTCCTAAGCATTGCTTTATGGATATGGGTATGTGCTGTATGGGGGTGGGCGGGAAATTCTCCTCTATTTTTCTCTTGTCACCCTCGTTTGCGGATCTGATCATCATTTCAAAATAGTTGGATATGATGATGGGTATCATACGCCGTCCTCTGCCACTTCCACCACCATCCGGGCTTAGGAGACATGCTTTTGCTTTGATGTTGATATTTTTGCAACCTATTCTCGTGGAATCTAACTTGAACATCGCAACGTTCACGGATAAAAACTGCTGGAATTTCCAGTCATCATTTGACGGGCCAAACGGATGCCCAAACGGGACGTATACAGAACTCGGACGCAGCGTCAACCATAGTAGCTTCCAAATTGTTAACCCCGCCGGCGGTTTGCCGGTAGTGGACACTTTTTTCTACCTAGCATTCAATCTTCCCCCTTCCTATGGCCTACTACATGACCTGGTAGTAGGTCATCAGCGTTACTCTACTCGCAATATACACTATCTCTCACTCTCACCGTATATCTTAAAGTAACCATATATCCGTATACGGTATCAACGACATTGCTGGCCAACTCTGCTTATCTCCGGTGCTCCAAGTTGCCGCGACGGCAATATCTAAAATACCTCATGGAGTTGTATAGAATAGACGGATGTACAGCCCTCGTCCCTGGCCCAACGGCAACATCATCAGCAACACCGAACATGGCTCGCGATTATACCGGTGCAATTGTTAGCAGCGCGATGGGTAACGTGTTTTTGGTTGCGATATTCTTCATCTTAGGCTGGTTCCTCTTCATTTATCGTCCTCGTCGGGAGCAAGGCGGGTGATTGGAATAAACAGAGGTGCAGGAAAATATAGAAGATATCTTAAGCCAAAGAAATTCCTGGAGTTATTGGTAGCCCAGTGATAACTATCAAGATACCGGATGAAGAAGCAAGTCGTTACTGGAGAACAATGCCGGAATTAGCGGAGTCCCAAGCCCCTATCAAGACAGAAGCGCAGAATCCAAACCCTCCTTTGTCTTCGCTCTCAAAGCAAGAGATAAGAAGATTGCGAAAATGAAGACTCATTGTCACCGGAAGGAAGTGAATTGCGACAGCCAAGAAGCGACATATAACTAAATGCCAAGTGCCCTTTGAAAACAATTTCTTCTCAACATTATAAAGAGTTGTTTATCAGAAATACCTGATCTCGCCACCGCATACAGGCGCAATGGTCAGCGGGAAGTTAAGTTTAATACATTCATTCCTTCAATGGATATCAATGGGCTGAGAGCCATGGCAGCGTCGCCAAGTTGTTGTCAAGATGCCCTACCTTCCATCTCTTTCGCAGTCCTGAATACCGGTGCAATTTCCGGTTAACGTTAGTTTCAATGTTGAGTATGTATTCCGTATGCACTTCATCAGAGAGGAACCACATAGTAAAACAAATGCATCAATGTTCGTTCATATTGACCATATAAAGCAACGTGGTATGATCTACAGGAGACGGAGCTTTCCTCCATCCAAATCGAACCTAAAGCTGAGCAGCTGCAGAGATAGAGTATGGAATGATTTGCAATTTAACGAAATAGACAGGGTACATAGTAGAAATGCACAGTACGCATAATACTTCATGCAATGTCGTGATAAAGATACGGTATGCAGCTCATTTAGGGTGAAGATAGTGTATACAAATATAGCACGGGGTAGCTCTATTCCCGAGTTCAGGCCGATGTGAGTATATTGCAACATCGGTAACTCTGAGCGATTGCATGCCGGGCCGGATCCGTCGAGTGGGGGGAAAGTATATGTATAGTACGCTCCGCAGTCTACCAAGATAAGCGGAATGATAGATAGATCGGTATATAGAGACGGAGTAGAACTTCGTATACTCGAAGCCTAGACGCTTGATCATGGAGTATGGGTTGGCAGCCTCATTGGTATTTGTGCAGTGGACCACTTGGAAGCTGCATCGGACGCAGCATTCCGTTAACAGCCAAAGTGAATTCAAAGTTCTTAGTCACTTGGTAACATAGTAGGGTATCATTTATGGGGACTTTATTCCTAGTGGAATATGCGTGAATATTGGCCATTGTCGCTATCCTTTGAAGTAGGTAGAAAAAGCGATGAGAGATATTAAGGGCCTAGCTACATTGCTATCTGTCAAGGAAGCTGAGCAACTCGGCGGCTAGCCAAGTGGAACAATTTTCCGGACAGGCCAAGGTAGCATGGCACTAAACAGAGCTCCCAGGCTTCGTTGCAGGGATGTGCGTTATATTTTACACTGAAGATGCCTGTCCTCTTTGTCGGAAATGGACCTGCTCCTCCCGTCCCATAAAGTAACTGTTCCGAGACAGACTGCTTCTGCGAGGGCCCATCCCTCCAAGCGGTCCATGTATACAATGTACATCGTAACATCTCCGGAGCAGGGAGGGTTTTGAAGCCGTCTATTGAAACCGATTGAGAAAGAGATATGGGAAGGTTATAGCTGTCCGCAAATGGAAATCGGGCTATCGACAAGGCATAGCTGGTATCATATATAATACGAGATGATATATATCCGGGTGTCGTTAACAGATATGCATGTCCTCATCCATATTTGATATTATTCGTGCTAATAACCGCATCCCACAAATGGAGCTATCCTATAAGATATAGAAGAGGGTGTAAGTATGGAGCACAGAATACTTCTATTTTTGCAATAAGGATATATGCTTCAGAGATGAAGGAGAAGACTCGCAGCCTGCTACCCCCTAGTCTCCACCAGAGACGAGTGGATATGTAGTTAGTATGTGATTTGCTTCATTAGCGTCGGACAGGGGTAAGATGCAAGAAAGCAAACTATTGAGTAACGAAAGCGTCATACGGTCAAACCTTTTTCCGCTAACATTTCTATTGTAACCCTGGAAGGTTGAAGCGAAGGTCTCAAGAGTACACGAAGCGCAGCGACTTAGCTCGAAGTTGCGCCAGTCTGGTCCCTGACACCTCAACATGCGGTTCAGCTGGTCCTTTTACTCGATACAGATGGAGTTGCACAAAGCTGTATACAGCGTCAAAATATTCCGCATTGGCGCCGTCGGGCCGAAATTCTGGTGCCTGAACCAGCTCGGCTCGGCGTCCAGGGAAGTCATTGACCATGAGTCAAACTCTGCACTTTGGTAAACTCGCCGGGCGGCATTTATAGAACGCCGGAGGTTTCTCTTTAACGTTGCTCTGGAGATAGGGACGTTGAGAGAGTCTAACTAGAAGCCTCTTTTGGCACCTGGTCCGTCTCTGGAGAGCTAGCTAGCCAGTTCTGGCTGAAGAATATGTGGTGGCATTGCATATGTAAGAGCTGTGGATAAGAAAGGGAGACTGCTGCTCCGCCAGGTAAGGAGAACAAGAAGCCCTCGACCATGGTCCTGCGTACGGGAAGAGACGGAAGACTCGAAGAGGATGGAGCATCCGTGGAATATCCCGCCCTGCGAAGGCATTGGCACTGTAGCCGAACGTACATTGTGACTGTGGCAGACAGCGCGAGGACAAGAAAAAAAGAAGACTTAGTTGACCAGGACGAACGCCAATGCTTGAGCGTATGCATTCGATGCCATATTCAGCTCGCTCGTTTCGCTTCACCTTGCAAGCTATGCCTGTAGGAAGTTGAGCTCGCGTGCGCTGCGGTGGCCATGTTCTGAGGGATCAAATGAAACGTAAACCTCCGTCTTGTCAAGCTAGAGAGTGTACATATCTTGTACGACCATCCTGCAAGGCGTTCCCCCAGCCTGGTAAGAGTAGGATTTAAACAGCAGATCGCCACATGCTGGCGGGGGAGGATCGGGCTATGTTTAGCAACAAAAGGAAAAGAAAAGAAAGGGTGGCGCCATCATGATACATACATAGTACGACTTGAGCAAGCATCGTGACGAGCAAGCAGCTTGGTATCTTGCTGCTGGCATGTTCGTGGTTCATGGACTGCATATTGACAGAATATGAATGGCCATATGCACGGTGAGATTCTTGGCTTGCCTGGATGAAGATGCATGGCTGCGCGGGAGTTTACGTATCAAGAAGTATCAACCAAGACTAGCGAAACTTGCCCAGAGGAACAAGGACATACTGTACAATGTAGTTGAGAGGCAGAAATGTGATGGGCTAGAGCTGAGGATAAGGATTTCGGGTCAGCCCGAGTCCATCCCTCAAAAATATCGAGAAGAGACCGCCAGTATCCAGGATTTCTTGATGGTTCCACATATCAAGACGGATATTATACAGATGTAGTAATATGTAGATGTGTATGGAGTACAGGATGCAGATGCACTGCGCGCTCCCTGGCCATCTTCAACGGTTTTCCACGACTTCTTGGAAATTGCATGGGGAAGATTGCGCACGTCTATCCCCTCGTCCTCTTCGTATGATAAAAAAAGAAGAGATCAGGCCATAATATCAGAATCGAAACCGAAAAAAATAGAATATACAAAAAAAAAAAGGTCGGTGCAGAAGCTCTCATTATCGACATGGCAAGAACTCTGTAGTCTGTTGATGTATTGACAGGGGGAGGCGGCCATCTCCCATCTTCCCCCATCCTATGAAGGAGAAATGGTGGATAACTTGCTTCCAGGTGAAGAAAAGTCGGAGTCGTTCGTATCGATTGACTTCCTTGGGGCCAATCTCTCGAACAGGGGAACGAGAATAAGGTCAGGGATCAAAGAGCCATGGGGGAGGAGGGATTAGGGATCTTGGAGGGCGTCTTTCTTGTCATCTCTTGCTCCATGGGCCCCTGAAGATGGTGGAAACAGGAGATCCCCTAAGTGGTGGATAATTTTCCCTTCCCGATACGACCTCTCAGTCCGCCAACTGAACAGGCAGATCCGAGCTAGGGAACGAAGACAGACTAATTTCCAGTTCGCTCCAGGGTAAGGTCAGCATCTTCTGTGTTTGATCATCCGGAGACGAGGATCGTTCCCAGGATTCAGTATCAAAAACTTGGCTTGCTGACGGTTGAGATAGGTGAGATTCTCTGCCTAATGGAGGTGTTCACTGCACGGTCCGTCGCTGTCCCCTTCCATCCCGCGATCGGGCTGTCAAAAAAGTCGTAGTTCGATGCAATATGATGCAAGCTGAAGAATCTCGTTCCTTTTTTTTTTTTTTTTTTGTATCTTTTGTAACTTCGTATTATTTTTCTGGATGTTTTCTTTTTCTTGGTCGTTGAATTTCTTTTATTTTTATTTTATTTTTATATTCGGTTGAGCCTCGGGTTACCACGTGACTTCGGTCGGGCAACTTTTTTTTTATTTTATTTTATCTTCAAATCTTTTTTTCAACGTTGAAAGAAAAGAAAAACCAACAATAAAGAGCAAGCAAAAAACAAAAGAAGCTATAGAAAGTCACAAACTACTTCATCTTTTGGTAGGGAAAAGCTCACCGTCGCTGGATACACAGCAAGAAGACGGACTAGGGTTCTGATACCTTTGCTTCTTCTCTAGCCATGCATACCAGGGCGGACCCTGGTGACTCCCCCGGCCAGAGGATAGCCGAATTTACCCCTTTTCTTTTGCGCCTGGCATGCTGTTCTGTGGCCATCGCTGGTTCGTCCTCGTATAGTAATTCACCAGCCCCCCCAGAAACTCCGTGGGTGGCCACTGACGATACTGAAGCATTGGCTGACGCCGCCAAGTTACGCCCAGCACGTCCGAGCTGGGTTCATGTACATTTCTCACCACACAGACAAGGAGATGAAAAAATAAAAATAAAAAATAAAAATCAAGAGAGAGAAAAGACCAACCCAGGCGAGCTTCCAAGAGCCAAAAAAAGAGTCTGCTCTTCTTATATCTACCATACTGACTCGGGCAGCCTTGGTTGATGATCCGAAGCTACCGAACGGATTCCCACGGCAACTTGTTTTCCTCCCTATGAACACCCTTGGAGCATCAGTTTACGTAGGCAAGCAGAACGGGAGGGCCAGGGGAACTCCTGACCTGCAGCGATGCCGAAGCTCTTTGAACGCTTCCGTGTTGGGGGAGAGAGACATCGTGTTGTCTAGTCAGTTTAGGTCGTGTTCATGTTGAACGATGTACCCGTTACCTTGACAATCATGATACATAATGCTCTTACTACATACGGAGAAGCGGAGTTTGGTCCTGTGTATGTCGTAAGTGTATAGGCGCGAGAGGCGATCCTAACTAGTTACGCTTCGCTTTCTACTTCAGACGCCCGCAAAAAGGATGCTCCCTGGCCGAAACTCCCTCCTTTTTCATCGACTTCCATAAACATCCAAGTCTACTAGAGCACACAGGCAGTAACACCAGCATCTCCCACCCTTCCAGAAGGTCAGCAAGGCCCATGGTGACCCTCCAAGGCCATGGCATCCTGTCACGTGGAATTGTACTTCGTTGCAAATCAGACTGAGATTTGCCGACTCCCTGGCTTAGTGTGCTATCTATAGCCCGCTCGCCAACCATGTGGAGGAACCCCTCCAGCAAAATGTGGAACCGAAATTGAATGGGATTAAGTTGAAACAGCAGGCTTAAAGCTTGAGCCTAACGATCCCCGCCACATATATACAAGCCGAATCTCCCACAACCCGTACCGGTACCCCTGCCACTCTGAGATGCAAAAAAAGCGAAAGAAGAAAAGTGTAACAAAAAGGAAAAAAAAACCCAAGAAAGCCTAACGGATTTAGCAAAAAGACAAACTTTACAGGGTCGAAAATATAGCTCCATGCTCCAATTTTTCCTTTCTGGCTGATTTTAATGAGACAGACACTAGGTGTCTCATACGACTCTTACTCACAACGAATTTGCTACCAAAGTCTTGAATGCCTCTTGGTCTTCCTTAGCACTCGGGCTTTTCCTTTTCCTTTGCTTTTTTCCCTCTCTTTTTGGCTTTCTCGGCCGCTTTGGGCCAAAATTCGTGAGCTGCGTTTCCGCGGGCCGACATGCTGTTTCAATCTGACTATCAGAGAGCAAGAACGTTATTGGCATGGGAACTAGGGTGGAGAGAAAGGGAGGGGAGCGTAGCTAGGCGCATGATAGGCCCTGCCTGGCGGATACCAGTGGCCTTAGCCACGTTCGATACGGAGGCTAAATATATATATAATCTTCATTCCGCTGTCAACAGATTTTAGATAAATAACCACTCATCCAACCCATCAACAACAGTTTTGTGGAACAGAATTCACATCCATTCCTTCGAGGATATCGAACTATCCAACTTCCCTCCAGCACAGCTTAGGCAGGACAAAAAGGATCAAAAGGAGGATCACAATCATTGAATAGACAAAAAGTCGGGACAGTTTTTTCCCCCATCACACAGCACAATGAAGTATAGCACAGTGTTGTTGGCCGCGCTTGCTGCCATCGCAGAAGCTACCGTTCCCATCCCCAAGGGAGGAGTTGTTGGTCAGCCCATCACCGAGAACGGAAAGGGAGCTGTCTTTTCTGGTATGCATATTCACCGTTCCCAGTGTTACGGAAACCGTTATATTTCTTTTACTAACTTTGAATGACAGGTGGTACCAACCATGAACTTGACCTCCAGAACCCAAGCAACATCAACGGTCAGCCAACCAGTGATAACGGTCTTGTTCCAAACATGAAATGGAGTTTCTCTCTGTCCAAGGCACGAATGTTCTACGGTGGTTGGATCCGTGAGCAGGTTATCCAGGATCTACCAACAAGTCACGACATTGCCGGCGCCCAAGTTCACTTGATCAAGGGTGGTATCCGACAGATGCACTGGCACAGAGTCGTATGTTTGCGCTAGAACTCTTTGTTTCTTATTCTGATTCATGTGGTGAATATTTTGCTGAGACTTTGACTCATAGGCTGAATGGGCTTACATCTACGCTGGTGGATTCTTGATATCTGCCGTCACAGAAGATGGCCAGTTCCAGCTCGACAAACTCGGCGTTGGTGACATGTACTACTTCCCCAAGGGAGCTGCTCACTCTCTGCAGGGTCTTGAAGATGAGAACGAGATTCTCCTTATCTTCGATGACGGTGACTTCGACCGTGTCGGGTATGTGCATATCTCGCCGCTCTTTTGGTTCTTTCATAACTAACAGCAATGTAGAACCACCTTCATGGTTGCAGACTGGATCTCCCACACCCCCAGAGACGTTCTGGCCAAGAACTTCGGCGTCCCACTTGGCACATTTGACAAGACTTACAACCCCGACCCAGCTCTCATTAACTCTACCATCAGTACCCGCAACGTCACCGGCCCCAAGGGCACTCTCAGCGGCAACAGCTCTTATACCTTCCACATTGACCGTGCTCCGGAAATGGAGGTTCCAGGAAACGGTGGTACCATGCAGGTCGTTGACTCCAGGAACTTCCCCGTCTCCAAGACTATCGCTTGTGCTGTCGTCCGCCTAAAGCCCCGTGGCATGCGAGAGCTCCACTGGCACCCAACTGTAAGTTTCTGACTCTGGCTTTCCCCATGTCTCCACGATTTTATCTAACCATGTATGAAATAGGCCGAGGAATGGCTCTACTTCCACAGCGGAAATGCCCGTGCCAGCGTCTATATGGGCGGTGGTCTTGCCCGAACCTTCGACTTCACTGCTGGTGACGTTGGCGTGTTCCCAGACAATGCCGGCCACTACATCGAGAACACTTCCGATACTGAGGAACTCGTGTACATTGAGATCTTCAAGTCCGACCGTATCGCCGATGTCTCCCTCAGCCAATGGCTTGCCCTCACCCCAGCCGACATTGCTGCTACTGCCATCAATGTACCAATCGAGGTCATTGAGCAGATCAAGAAGGACAAGCAGTACCTTGTCCAATAAATACTGACACATACGGAGGTGCAGGCACCTCAGACACCTCTGAGAACACACGCCTTCTTTTACTTTCCCTGTAATTTTTTCCCCAAGCCCTTTTATTCCTCTCTTTTCCTCTCTCCGTCCCTATCCTTGATACATTAATGACTCCTCATTTCCTCTATCCCTTTTACACCTGCATTTTACTGCACATAAGCTGTTTTGTCTTCTGCTGGTACATTTTTCTCTTTCCTCTATATATATCCTCCTGTTTCCTGCCATGTCTACTAGATTTTGCACATATCCAACCTTTTTTGTCTTCTCGTCTATATTTTCAGAGCAAGATATGGTTTCCTCAGCTGTTTGTTTTTTTTTTTTTTCTCCTTCTAGGATCAAAACAAGAAAAATTCAGAAAACACTCAAAAAAATATCAATCTCCAGTATATAGAACCAAAATACTACATCCATCGTTCAAAATATTCACGTTCCCTTGAACAGCGCATAAAGCAAATCTGCCCCTGTCGAACCAAATCCAAATATAACCATCATTTTTTCTTTTTGATAACAAGCTCTACGCTATCTTAATTTTTATCTGGTTCTATAAAGTTCTCTCAGAGTATATGTACATGCATACATTTGAACATCTTGTTCGGCTTTAGTTCCCGGCAGCGCAAGGTATCTTCGACATCCAGCCATCTTCGACTTCTGCTAGTTGGTGATGGAGTTGGGGATAGGCCAGCAGCCTTGTCCTTACACAACGCCCCGTCAAACACGCGGCTTAATCGCATCGCCGCAAGTCCCAGATCCTTTAATGACGAAAAGCAATATCTGACAAAAAGAAAATAACTAACGGCTCCTTTTTCCTACCGGCAGACGGAGTACCTCCGCAGGGGGCGACATTCCTCCCCAGCTATGTACCTATTTCTGGCTGGAGGATCGCATACGCATGATGGCACCCAATGAGGCGGTACATAGCTATATGTATCCGTACTTCGTATATAACTGGCCCAGCTGGCTTGTCCACATCTATCAGCTAGCCTCCGCACGCTCATCCGCCTTGTCTCAAGGCAGAGACACGAAGGTAGCAGGGCAAGGCCGTTGCCCATTGTCCTGCCTTACTGGGTGTTACGCTCAAATTCTCCGCTGTATAATCCTCTGCTGACCTTGCCACCGGAACTCTAAGCCTTGCCCCGGGCCGGAATATCTAGCGGTGCTTTTCGGCTCATGCTGGCTGCAGGAGAAAAGACAGGGCAGGCCAAGTGTATGCCTGCTATGTATATGTATGGATATATGTATATATTGCTTACTCCCTATAAAGGCTTGGTGCGATGCATGTCTATCGGGAACTAGGGTAGGCTTGAACACGCATGCAAAGGAGATGCATATACACATGCCATTACGAGGGAGCAACCCGTTGATTGTGCCAGGTCGGACTATCAATGTCGTACCCGATGTACCAGCCACCCCTCAGGGAATGATGCTTATACTTGTCCACATGTGGCCATTTACCTGCATGCATGCCACCTTTAAAAAAACAGAAGATAAAACAGGTATGCAAAGAAATACGAGAATGCAGCAGGCAGGTTGTAGCAGGAGGTTTCCCCATACCAGCATGGCATGGCAGCGCTGGGATGTTCGATAGTGAGGAAATCGACCCACAGTTAATACTTCTGGGACAAAGATCATATTCGGTTCATCATAAGCAGGTAATATTATATATTTTTTTATCGAGATTGGCATTTAGTATTATAGTCGAGAACAAGAAAAAGCAACATAAACACCTTCGAACTCCTGGTAAAACGATCCGGCCAAACATAAACCCAACATAACTGCATCGTCATCGGAACACGTTAGCTATCAGCATCTGTAACCCCTTCCCCTTCTCTCCACACCCTTCGCAACAACTATACCTAGCCGAAATCAACCCTGTCATAAGCAATCAAGCATCAACTTCAAAAAAGGAAAACATGGCATGAGATATAAAAAGAAACATATGTCGCGACAAGTATCAAACCATATCCACGGCAACCCTCGGGAAAAAAACAGCTTGCATATCACCTCCCCCTACCTCACAAACCCTTCCACCGTGCCCAACCCGCAGCTTTAATCTCCTTTGATTTTGAAGGTTGACGACCTTTGTTCTTTGACGGGGATGATTGACTCTCATCCTGGGCGAGGTCACCGCTCCTCCCTTCCTCTGCAACTTTCCCGCTGACCTCGCGGCGTCGCCCAACTCCCAAGCCGGCAAGATAATTTCCGTACCCTGGCGAGCCGGAACCTAGATCGGTACCAAGGTCAATACCCGTGTTGCTAACGACTCGCCCTTTGCGGTCGGGTAACTCCATGCTGCCGTCAGCATCATAGCTGTCGCGAAGAGACTCGTAAGCGGAGAACCGGCCACTCTTACGTCTCCAGCGGGATGACAATTTCTTGCTGCTTCCGGGGGATGGGTTGTTCTTTGCCAGTTCCCCATACGAACGAGTCTTGCTTCCAGATGTACCTTTGGCCGGTGTGGTAGATGGATTTGGAAGAGTTGCAAGAACCTCTCGACGCACAGCACTACTAGAAGTTTCCTTGGTCTGCTCTTCTGCCTCAAACGGACGAGGAGTTGGCGGGTTCATGGACAATGGGTTCACCTCCAGACCGGAGTTGTTGAGCTGTTCAGAATTCCCTTTGGCGTAATAACGCTCACCCTGGTTTTGTTGATAGCCAAACACATTGTCTGACTCATTTGGATCGAGTATTGCTTCGTCGTCCTCATCGTCCTCATCGTCCACAGCAGCATATGCTCCGCGGTGTCGCCGAACTGTACCGCTGCGTTGATTCAGGCCATCACCTTCAAAATCATCGTCCCAGATTGCATCTCCATCTTCCAAGCCCGGGCTACCGATAGGATCTCTGAATGGCGAATCCTCATGATCCTCATGAGCATTGAGTTCGGGCGACGGAGGGTTCGAAGGATATGCCGTCCAGTTCTCATCTCCCATAGAGGACACACCACTTGGTTCACGGGCTTGAGTGTTTACTGATAATGGTTGAGACTGTGCAGTTGAAGGCGGGGTGTGGAAGACAGCAGACTGTGGCCTGGATCCCCCATTACCTTTTCCTCTGGCGGTAGTTCGGGAAATGGGAGTCTTAGGGCGGTTAGTCTCTTCATGCTGACGAAGCTGCTGGCTTGGAAGGTCGGAGCGTGAAAGACGGTGCGAGTGAGCGGAGTAGTATGATGACCTGTCATCGTTCTGCTTTTGGAACTGGTTACCCGTGATTGTCACGCTCGAATTATTTCTCGTATGTGCGAATGGCACCGTACGAGTGGCTGGCAGTATTGTGTTGTATGGATCTGTCTCAGCCGATCCTATTGTACTCTGGCTGAGATGCTTTTCGGCTATCTCGGATTTGGTGCGCTTATGGGGACGGGCAGTCAAGTTCTCCTCAAGTGGGTTCATATCTGGTGGCAACTTTGTTATTTTGCGGAACACCACGGCCAAGTAAATATCCACAATGAGTGACGCGATATGCAAACTCCCAACTATTGTGGCAATAAGGACGGTCGCATATATAATTTTTTCGGTAACGTCGTCTGCTCCAAACAATGTCTTCCATCCATAACTCTTCGATTCATGCTCTGTCCGTGAGATGAGAGCGGTGAATACGTAGAAAGGGATTAGACCCGCATCCACAACTGCAGCAAACAGCATATAGCTAGCCGTAGAACCGGGGGTTCGAGATGTAGCAGATCGACAGAGGTGGAAAACAGCGTAGATCGTGTGCACCATTGAAACAGCGGGCTATCGGATGTTAGCCAGATCACTATAAAACATCATAGAGTGCCCATTAACTTACTCCCACACGTATAATCCATGCCACCTGAATCGTCGTATTGTTGATACATATAACGCAGAACAGCAACCCCATAACGCCGATCAGGGTCAGGACTCTCATCACGAACTGAAAAATCCGGGCATATTTAACATATTTCTTTATGTTCGGGCTTATATTGGTGATTGGTTTTCTTCCAGTTGGGATGACCACGTACTAACAATAAGACACATTAGAACTCTTTCACGACCGAAACATACAGGTGATAAATGCATACAGAGTCAGGATGCCGGTTAAAATTGACCAAGGGGGCATTTTTCTGTGGTTTCTGTGGGCGAGGGGCCCAGCTGTTCAAGGTAACAGCTTTGGGATTGAAGTCAGCGACCTGTGCCGATTTGGGATAAAGGGATGGCGGGTCGTAGAGAAACGGCGGCTCGATCTTCCCCATGGCCACTCTGTAAAGTTGCAAGCATATAATGTTAGAAGATAGATAGCTAAGCTGTCAATTCTGGCGTTGTGGAAAACGATTTGCCTGTTGTCTTGAAGCTGGGATCTGGCGTTGTGGACAAAAACACAGCTGTCAGGATTGTTGCTATGGCAACAGGCACATTCTTCCCGCTCGCTTCGAGCCTCATATTTAGCCGCGCGATCCGCATTTGCTAGCTTACTTAGAACAGGCAGCTATAAATCATCTACTAAGCGAATTTGATCTTGTAGTTATATGAGATGATGGTCGTAGCATATGAAGATGTTTAGCAGGCTGAGTGCGGTGGTTGAATTAAGCTTATATCATACTAATAAAACCCGTTGCCGACGGGTTTAACTCAACTTCAAGCCATTAAACAGAATTATTACGGGTAACCTGCCATGGACAAATTGGATGTTATCATTATTTACTGCTGAAAGGTTCCTCCATAGTAAATATTTTGAAAGATTCACCTTTGTCCGTCGAAAATCGAGTATCAGCAACGAACCTATGGTTTTGGGGAGTATATCGGCCACCGCAACAAGATGTTTGTGAAACCGCGGAGATGCCAACGACGAGCGGAATCAGTAGATGGTCTTGTTAGAGACCAGCTGCAAGAGTCGTAAGACCAGTGAAGACCAGTGAAGAGTTTCGTCAACCGAGGATATCTGTTCGATCTCTCCAGTAAGTGTGGAGGCCATCTCTGACCAAGTTCTTCTGTTGGCCTACGTCAGCGTCAGCGTCAATTCGTCAGCAGAGCAAGCCTAGATGTTGCAGCAAAATATTATCTTGGACTTATCAGAGTTGATACAAGATGGGCATGTGCGCGGGAGGATCTCCTTGGTGCTGTCAGAGAATTTGGAGGCGGGTATGGAGAACATCCCCAGAGCCTCAGCTTGTAAGAGGTGACCGTGTGGCGATGGATTCTCAAGAATTTTTTCGTATAGCACAGGAAGAAGTGCTATATCATAACGATCAGGTGTTGTTATACCCCCATCATATCCAACAAAAAAAAACAGGTTTGAACTTTCCACGAATTTGACCATACCTCGATCGTGGTTGAGCTTGTTCCATCGATGCTTGCGACTTCTCACCAATTTTTCAACCTTGTTAGAGAATATCAAGTTTCAAAAGCAAAGGTTGTCTATATATCTGACGTAAGTTCCATCGACTGGGATTGATGATCTACAGAATCCCTGTTATATTACCACAACTATACGACCCAATCCCCTGATAATCTCGGTCGCGGCATGAGACAGGCTACGGATTCCCGACCGAAAATAGTGTGCTATTGATCATGGATATCATGTTATTGGAACGGGTATGTGGATCTCCACAACGCTTTTCTGGTTTGAATCCTCGACCAGGGTTTACAAAGCAAGGGGTTCCCTACCACTGACAACGAACGGTTCAACCCCTGGAGGACGCAGTTCGTGAACAGACCAACCACATGGGGACGATGTTAGATTTGAGACTTGTCACCGTCTTCTGGGAGAAGAAAGCGAAAAAACAGGAAACAAACACAAAATTCCCGGAAGAAGTTTGGAAGAAAACATGTAACCCCATTTACCAACAGCTGGGTCGACATCGAAGTCGCAACATGTTCTTGTAAAACAATCAACATCTTACGAAATTTGCAACCCCACCGTTGTGTTGGCCCGGTCGTTGGCCCTCCCGCTATTAGCTGCAAGCCAAGGGCCGACCCTGTTTATGGAACTGTTTTCCTTATATTTCTATACTAATCGTTCTCCTGGTGATTTTCGGCCGATTCTTCCACGAACAGACAGACAACCCTCAGGGTATCCCAAAAAAGATAGCCATTTAATCCGTATATTCCCTTTCGAGATCACCCGATAATCTCTTGGTATACGGATACATGAGCTCCGTGCCCCCCCCTCCCCCACGAGGCCTTGTCGCCTGCTGCGCAGAAATCCGGGGAATATGCCAGGTTACAAACATTCGGAGTCAGTACTTCCCGAACCTGTAACACAAGGGGCCAACGTCGGGCCCAAGGGGGTAAAAGCACTGACCTTTCTCTTGAAACGTCTGGCTTTCAAGTTCTCTCGACCGAGTTCAAATAGGAATCAACTGCTCTGAAAGGCAGGGCCGAGTTTTGGTTTTCTTACGTTTCCTTGAGAGGAGTTGGGCAGAGTAGGTGGTTTTGGGAGCCGAATCTTTTTGGCTCCCAAAGAGGAACCTGCATATAGTTTACTTTGCATACGGAGTCTCCGTCCATATGCAACATATGGACATGGGCAGCGGTGAGTTTTATTTTTAGAACCTCGGATATAGAAGCCCTGTTCAGAGGTTATGCAGGCTATGATATACGGTGTACAATTTGGGAGCATACATATGCACACATGGATTAATCTACAACGGACATGCATACCAACGGAGGATAGCCGATTCTATATTCGGAGTATGGATATGCAGAACGGGGAGGGATGTTCTGTTCAGTGTGGTATGATGGCTTTCAATGCGAGCCGGAAGCCATTGATTATGGTTACGTACCAAAAATTGATTTCATCTCCTTCCTTTTTGGCAAGCGAAAGGGAATCTCAAACAAACCATGCACCAATGTATTGATTGGAGTGAAAGCGGAAATGTAACTAGTCGCATTTCACCGCCATGGAGGTCACTGTCAGACGGCTCTGTCAAACTATTTCAAACAAGCCTTGCACCACTCCGCAGATCAGCCGGAGCTGAAATGGTTTCGCCTCACTGTTGCTCTCTCTCTGCCTTGACCCGCTGTAGCCGTCACAAATGCTCTATACATCGTCCAGCAAAGCCATGAGCTCGTTGTCTTGAAGGAGTCTCAACATCTGCACTCTTCCATCTCCCTTCTGATAGCTATCCTCTTGTCAGATTGTGCAAAGCGCTCTATCTCTGAACGCTTTGCACGTGGTATATGTTATGGAATCCTTTAACACCTACGGAGTACTTCTTCAGCACTCTCTCTGGCAAGTCGACAGCGTTTTTGTACGGTGTGTGCCTCGAGACAAAGGCGGATATCAAACCTCGTCCAGGCCCATCCGGGAATCCACAGTGATTCTTCTACCCGTTCGTTCATTTAACTATTTGATCGATCAATATTTATTCTGCGCCAAGGAATATGGGACAAACTAGTTAGCGGACAGCAACATAACTAACAGGAATAAGAAAAGGGCCTGTCTCATCGGAAACAAGAAAGGTTTTCTATGGCTTTTGAGCTGTAAATATTCGATTAATGCCATCTGCCTATCCCCTATCTAGCTTGGGAGGACCGGAAGATTCCTGCTCTCTGCATGTCTTCGGTGTACTTAGCCAGTGAATGAATCTAGCCTCGTTCTTTGAGGAAGAAAATTTTTGTGTGCGCCTGAATTTCCCGCTGGCTTACTTATAAAATTATAATAGCGCCTAAATTGGTTCAAACTCCTGCGAAAAGTCGGTTGTTGATAATGGTCAGTCAAAGAAGCAGTACTTTCCGCTTGGTCACTTCATTGTTTTCGCCGTTTGCTATTTTCTTGTCCTTCTGCTTTTTCGTGTCTTCGCCTACGGTTTGGGAGAGGCTACCACACGGCCAACGTACCTACTGAGTTGCTACGGAGAGAGAGAGAGCGAGAGCGAGAGAGAGAGAAGGTCGTATAATATTTCATCAGTATGCTAAGCAGACAACATCCTAAAAAGGCATTTACTTGCTTCTACTGGGTAAATGGAGGCTGTAGACACAGTGCCGACCAGTGCAAATTTGTCCATGAATTCACAGAGAGAGTGGCCAAACCCCCAAAACCTCCTCGATATGGTGAGAAGAGTCGTTCAATATACCCTTCAAGAGCCCGTTCCCACGATTTTTGCTTACTTTGGCTTGCAGCATGGAGAGACGATAGACCGGAGACGAAGAATCTTATAGACTTGCTGTCTAATGGAAGCGAGACCAGCGACTCAAAGGTACCTGAAAATTACATCAAAAGATATTTACGAATTCCATATACAAGAACATCTTCTTACACGGTGGGAAATGGTTGTTTAGGAGTTTGACTCGGTTGATGCCTCTGATCAGGCCGTTGAGAATGTTCGGCCTGCACAGATTGTTGTACGGGCTATAGAGGCCGGACATGGCTATGAGCTTGTCAAAGAGCTTCTCACAGATTACTCACAGTCGAGGGCTAAAGATATGATGTCACCAGATGAGAAATTAGACATCTTGATATCAGTCATTACATGTGATCGGACTGATCTGGTTGATCTAGTCATTGAACATGGAGCAGACCCAAATGGCATGGTGCTCAATTCTGAGATCTCGCTTCTCGGATCAGCTATATTAAACAAAAACTCTGCATCAGTCTCGATAGTCAACTCTCTTCTTGCCGCGGGTGCTGATCCCCATTCGATTCCAAAGTCACTGTGGGAAGATGGAATCTACACGTACCAAGACCCAACCGCCGAAGAGGATGATGAATCGATTGACTCCGGGTTAAAAGCCCTAAAGGATACCCTTGCAGAGAGTGTGAATGTGTCAATCAGACACAGTCTTCTCCAGGCTTCTCAGACATTGCCTCCCCTTCCGGCAAGCATCGAAATGTACCTGTTGCCATTCATCAAAAGAATAACTCGTGCTGAACATACCTTAATCGGACAGAGAACCGCGATCAAGTGGGTGAGAATGTTTTTGATTATGAAGTTCATGACAAGAATGAACTCTCCGTTGGTTATGGCTTTTGTTGGACCAGCGGGTCATGGAAAGTCGACCCTTGCCAAAGAACTGGGGACCTACATACTCTTCTCCGACCTGCGGAAAGTAGATGCCGCTAATGAGGAGGATGAGGAGCTTTCCAATGCTGCCAGCTTTACCAATGCACCCGGCGAACTGCAGATTGTCTATTTTGACCATGTTGACGCAGCGGAGTACCACCGGCTTCTCTCGTTTCTAGACGGAAACAGTACCTGTGAGTGTTTATACCAGAAATTGCTATCATGTTGGTTGAAATCCATGGCTAATAATGCATATAGACTACTATCTAAAAGAAGGGAACAAAGTGGTCATTGATAAATCCAATGTAGTCTGTATTATCGCAACTGCTATTGGTCATGACAAGGTCCTAGAATATCACGAACTTAACTCGAGAGCCCTTATGGCAGAGCTTGCGGATACGGTATCCTGGGAGTCCCGTTTACATCACGAATTGGAAAATTGTCTTGGAGGTGAAATGGAAAAAGGGATGGGGGTAAGACCACTCAATTGCTTTCCCAGTATCAGGCTGTTCAAGCACGTTCTAACCAGATATCTATCCAGACTTCTCTCGCTGGGCATGTTGGATGTTACATCCCATTCTTTCCATTCTCTAAGCCAGAAGCGGCAGTACTCGCGCATTCATATCTCCTAAAGGCCACCGACGGACTCGCCGAGTTCCATGATTCCTTACATCACGCTAAACACGGCAAGCCGGACTGTGTCACTTTCTGTCTGGATGCACAGGTCGAAGCTTGTGACAGTCTAGCAACGGCAAGCTATATTGTTAACCTCGGGGCTCGCTCTATCGAGCAGGGTGTGTTCAAGGCCGTTCAATCCCAGATGGTGCAGCAATACTTGAAATCCGACTTAGTAAATGATAATCGCAACGATGGTGAAGATGCGGCAGACCATGATGATAAGTATGTTACTATTACGGTGGGGGAGGATTTTTCTATTACTCTAGATTGAAAAAAAAAAAAATAGTGCGGTACATGGGTCTAGAATGTTAATTGAGTATGCAAGTAACTGGGGCAATATCTATGCATAATGCTAGGTAGTAATGTTTAGGACGTTTAATTCAAACTAGAAATAATTACGTATTTATTGCTTATGCATTGGGAGTGCCGGAAAAAATTGGTGAAGGCAAGGGACAACTTATTGGGAGCCGGGATAGTTACCTGCTGCTGACACCAGAGACATACGTACATATGTAGCTATCCCTTGCACTTTGATACCATATATATAGCACATTGAGAGTTAAAAAATAGACATATATCAGGGCGGTATTAATATTAAAGTAAGACCGCGTAAATTAGCCAGATGGGAAGCGAAATTTATGGACATGGAACATAAATTGATAAAGCGTAAAAAAGTTCAGAAGTGTAAATAAATATGCATCATTTAAGAAAAGTCCTCCCCTGTTTCCTCGATATTATTTTTTATCCGGAGGAATATAGCCGTTTTCCACTTGTCTAGTTTGCTCAGCTGGTCGTATTCGTAGAGTCTGTCTCCAAAGGCATCCGTGTCTCCCTGCTCAACTGCCTGAGCTAGGTCGGAAAGAAGCATAAACTCCCGCGTTCCCTGGAACGAGTTATCAAGCTCACAGTAGCTTTGGAGAGCACGGTTAGTTGCAACAAGGTCCTGGCATGGGAAGATCCAATTAGCTATCTATTTTGAATTGTTGACAGGGTAGGAAGGTGTATTAATATATATACCTTTGAAGCAAGGTGGCACATGATAGCTTTCATAAAGTATTCCTTTACAGACCACTTCATCAGGTTGTTGTTTATGGAGGATTTGGCCACTTTTTCAAAATTGGTTATCGCTTTCGCGTAATCGGCCTTTAGAGCTGCGAGGTCTGCAACCTTGAGGAAATGCTTGTTGGCCAGCCTAAATAATGTACGCGTTAGATAGTTAAGTCCACGCTCAACATGTATCAGAAAGGGGGTACACACGCTTCGGCATTATCACCCTCAAACCACTCAGCAGCCTTCTCGTATGCCGCAAGAGCTCTGGTTTCATCTCCGATTTCAACCTCGAACACCTCCGCAAGGTTCTGCTGGTGTGATGCGGCGCGCCTGAAGTTTCCAGTGGTAATATAGTGTTGTATGGCAGTCTGAAGCACTCTGGCAGCGTCCTCTGGGTCACTCTTCCTGTATACCTTGAAGGCTTCTGTCAGTGTGTTTGCAGCGTCTCCGGGCTCGTTCAAGTTCAGCGTGAAGATAGCAGCAGCCTTCTCGAATGCAGCTCCAGCCTCCTTGTCTATGTCATTCGAAGAAATCGTCAGTCGTCTCTACTCCCAGCTTCATTCCCATTGCCAGCCGTTTGTAATATATAGACAAATGCGGGGGGAGACAGACTCATCTTCTGTACCCTAAAGGAATTTGCGGCTTGTGTGTATAGATCTGCGGCATTCTCGAACTTTTCTGTCTTGTTTCCAAAGAAGCTGAAGCCTCCAGACGCACTCTGAAGAGCTTTATCTGCCTGGAAATGGAACTATTAGCAGTCTACCCAGCGTTGAGTCGCGGGGCAAAGATGGTTGCTTACTTTCTGCAGAAGCACCCGGGGATCCTGTTCAGACATTTCTTCGGTAGTCTGGTCTCTGTAGAGCTATGCAAGCTAGTACCAAGTCGCTCTGTGTAGATAAAAAAGCAGCTTCGCGGTGAAGTCGAGGCTTGTTGTATGAAGGCAGTGCAGGACGAAGTTAGAGAGTGACGTTTTTGGCCAAGCCTCGCGCTGGGCCTTTTGGCTTCGTTTTCAAGTCTTTGACTTTTCTTTTCATCTTCTTCCCATCTACATCCTTAGGATTGATCTCGCTATACTGACGGTGATTAATATATAACAAGTACGATGATGACACGTCTAAACCTTCGAGGAGCTTTGCTACGAGCCAATTGGCTTGTTAGGAGGCCAACATCCGGTCCAGCACACTATTCGACTGCGGCAGCTACGGACGTGAATGCGCTCCTCTCGAAGCCAACCTGGTCCGTCAAGTCTCTTCTGCCTGCTTCGCAACAAGAGAATGGCGCCGAGATCACGCCAAAACAACTGAGGCACCTGCTTCGACTCGCTGCCCTTCCACAACCATCGAGCCAGGCCGAAGAAGAGGACATGCTCAAGACATTGGCGTCACAAATACATTTTGTGAAAGAGATACAACAGGTCGATACTACGGGCGTATCCCCACTGCGCAGCATACGTGACGAAACCGCCGATGCTCAGAAGGAGAATACAATTGATGTTGCTCTGTTAAAGTCCGCTTTGGAACGGGAAGAATTCGTCGGACGGACCAAGCGCATTCGTCGTAAACCTGCCGAGAAACTAGATAAGCCAGACGGTGATACGTGGGATGGAGACGCCCTCAAGGCTGCCAGCAAGACCATGGGCCGGTATTTCGTCGTCCAGTCCGGCTCAAGCTAGTTTTTTCTCGTCTTCGTCTTCTTGTCTTCATAATTTTTTTTTATACATCAAACTTCCATCTATCACCACCACGTGACCTCACGTGCTACCGAAAATGCGGTTGCTGGCACAAACGGTGTCGCTTTCTCCGAGACATGCTGCGAGCACCTGCGAAGGCCCCTGGTCCCCTTGGCGAAGTTGTGAGGCTCAGGGGGAGGAAGAGAGATTCTTCGGGAGCGTTGCACGCCCTCTTTTACGAGCGATCTTCGTCTAAAACTACCACCAGAAGCTTCTTGGGATCTATATACATAGTAACTTTGTCTGATGGCGAGCTACAGATCAGGAACCGGCGGCCAGCCGACACTCCAGAATCGGAGAGATGGTTCTCAGGCTCCTTCACAAGATATTCGCGAGGTTCTGAGTGATTCGCAGTGTAATGACCTAGTTGACTTGGTCCTCAACGCCACAGACTCCATGGAAGCATTGCTATGTCCCCGTTCCGAGCCAGATATGAAGGAGAGTCTATCCCGTGCGAATACCTTTGATAGCGGGAAAGAAGAGGTTGACTTCCTAGGTGGCCAGACGGAACAACCACGGCGTCCAAGAAGGCCAGTGAGGTCAGCAACGACAGTTGCGGCGATAAAGACAGAGGCAGAGGCATCTCGGCATTTCAACTCGTGGAGAGATGCTGTTTTAGCTAGGTTGCGAGAGGCCCTCCAGGACAAAAAAGGGAGAGCACCGCTGCAGCCCAAACAAGCACAGCAGTCTTTAATTGATCTGGATGAAGACGGTCCCGGAGCACAAGAGAACCTGCTCCAAGAGTTACCAAATGAAACCAAGGATATAATTGTCAACTCCCTTCTTCTTATACTTCTAAGTTTAGAACACTATAATGCACATTCACGCGTGCTCTTGGTCAGGGTGGCCTTGCAACTTGGCCTACAGGCTGCCGATGTATCAGAGCATGAGATGAAGGTCGCACACGTATTATTGGATAGTGTGAAGGAAATGAATATGGCTGAAGAAGAACTCAAGCGTAAAGCTGAGAAAAGCAAGGCCAGTCGGAGGTGGAAGGTTGGCCTTGCATCTGTAGCTGGCGCGGCACTCATCGGGGTGACTGGTGGTTTAGCCGCACCATTGGTTGCTGCTGGTGTTGGGACCATACTAGGAGGTCTAGGCCTCGGTGCAACTGTTGCTGCTGGATACCTTGGTGCTGTTGCCGGCAGTTCCATCATCATTGGTGGATTGTTTGGCGCTTACGGCGCCAAAATGTCTGGCAGGATGATGGACCGCTACGCTAGGGAGGTTGAAGACTTTGCCTTTCTACCACTTGGTTCCACTCCAAAGCCTGCCACTGAGCCAACGGCTACGGAGCCTCCATCTTCTGATAATCGGCTAAGGGTAACGATTGGAATCAGTGGCTGGCTTACCGAAGGGAAGGACGTCATTGATCCGTGGCGAGTTCTCGGGCCTGATTCGGACGTTTTTGCACTTCGGTGGGAATTGCATGCACTTCTAAGACTTGGGAGTTCCATGACTACCTTCGTAAGGAACACAGCCTGGTCGTTTGCTGGAAGAACCGTGCTGAGCAAGACCGCCCTTGCGCCCGTTGTGGGAGCAGTGATGCTTCCCGTTACTATCTCGAGAATCTCATACATCATCGACAATCCATTTAATGTTGCCAAGGTCCGCGCAGACAAGGCCGGCCAAATCCTAGCAGACGCCATCATCAACAAAGCCCAAGGCGAGCGATCTGTCACTCTAGTAGGATACTCGCTCGGTGCCCGTGTGATCTTCTCTTGTCTCATTGCTCTTGCAAAAAGACGGGCTTTCGGACTCGTGGAATCCGTTATCCTGATCGGTTCTCCAACTCCCTCCACCACCTCCCATTGGCGACTAATGCGATCCGTGGTAAGCGGCAGGCTAGTCAACGTTTATTCCGAAAATGACGGAATTCTCCAGTTCCTTTACCGCGCAAATAGCATGCAACTTGACATCGCCGGTCTTGAAGCCATATCTGATGTTAGGGGAGTAGAAAACTACAACGTTACCGATATTGTCAGTGGCCATTTACAGTATCAGTTCTCGATTGGTAACATACTGCAACGAATCGGATTTGATCATCTGGATGAACGTGAGATACAAAGACAAGTCTACAAGCTTGAAGTGAATGAAGAAGAAATGAAACATCTTGAGGAGGAGAGGTTAGCCACAGCTAGAGCTGCCCAAAGGTCCAGTACAAGCTCAAAAAAGATTAGCGCCAACACAGATGCCACTTCTAATGATAGAGTGAACTCTAGCCCTGGTATCAGAACTAATACTGATGCTTTCTCTTCTAGCGCTGCTACCGTTGCTGCTACTGGTGCTGCTACTACCGCAGCTACTACGGCTGATGGTGCTGATAGTGACCGCGGTGAAGATACTGATGATGAGGCACCCGCTGGCATAATGATGGTTGATAATGATATCGAATTTGACGGCTCAACTGACCTGAATGAATGCCCATATCCTGATATTGAACCTGAGCAACTAGAACGGGACATTGAAGAGATGACCAGGGAGCGTCTTATGAACGCGAGAATGGGCGGTGTCCAGTGTGGGCATAATGACTGATTGTTCCACCTTCTAGCCATCCGCTATATACCATCTTACAATGGTAATGTTCTCACCCTTACGGTTGGCAAGTATGGGAATAGCAGTCATAAATCTCTAGGACCTTGGATTATTAATAATATATCTATTCGTGTTCATTTAAAAATTGTAATTTTCTACTTTATCGTCGTCTTAAGTCTTCATAGGGAGAGACTGGTGCTCATTTTACACATCCCACATCTGCGGCGGAGAAAACTGACTGCCCCAGTTCGCCACGACATGTCAAGGTCCCATAGCTCAGTTGGTTAGAGCGTCGTACTAATATTAAGTTAATGCGAAGGTCGAGAGTTCGACCCTCTCTGGGACCATAGGTTCCGATACCTTTTTGCCCTTTTTTCTCATTGTCCAAAATTTTTTTTTTTATATTGGAATCACAGAGACTCATTTTCCTATCTATGGGCTTCGGTAGGGATTGCACCGTCTTTCCTATTCGAGCTAGTTTAGCGAGAAAACTCAACCAACTAGCTACAGCATGAGAGTGTCAATACTTACTACATCCATTCAAGACCTCTGCTTTCAACTATGATTATTTTATTTTGCTTTTCCTCTCTCGATATGCTTTATCTTCTCACACAAGTAACGGTAATTTCCGCCGTACGCTTATCTCGGTGTGGTATTTATGATCAAAAGCGCTCCATATACCGATAACCTGGGAGATAGTGGCTAGCACGACCAATACGTGGAATATTTGATGCGAGCTGAACCAGATATCGAATTTACCCGGTCTCAATGATTCTGGGATGCGGGCCTGAATATCTCGAAAACGTCACGAGCCCCATGTCTCTGGGCTAGGGACTTGTCCGCCCGCTTCCCCCTCCACCCCACCCTACATGGATCGAATAGGAGGGGGAAACGAGGGAAATATCCCCATGACGTGAATCATATGTTAGAAAACAGTTTACATAATGCGAGTATGAAAAGGAAGGTGGTGCTTACCACATAGAAGATAACTCCGATGATGTGCAGCAGGCCTTCGAGGAGGTAGTATGGAAGACCAGAGTGTTCCATCATTTCCTCCAGGCCATATAGCATTATGGCATGCATCAGGGGGGCTACTGAAGACAACCCGGTGCAAATAAAGGTCCCCGCACGGAAAGTTCGGTATTCTTGGCCTTCGAACTTGGGGTGGAATAGTATCATGCATGTCAGGGCACTGAACACGAACGTCTTAAAGCGTCCCATATTAGCCAGGCCAGAATAATGCGTTAATATAAATGGGCCTTTGGTAGATTATAAAGAGAGAATGGCTTACAATCCCCCAATAAGTAGCCCACAAGGCCGTCTCCCTATAGAACACCACATAAGTACCAGAGATTATGTTACCAAAGATCAGTCCTGCGATTCCCATATAATCAGCACGCAGATATGCCTTGGAGACCCTCTCAGAATGACTCATAAACGTATGGAACAAAGTCGAGCAGCTCATACACGTCATAGCTGTCAGCAGGAAGAGCGCAAAGACCGCCTTATCGGCTTGTGGAGCGTCGGGGTAGAGAGTTTCAAAGTGCCGGTAAACAAAAATCTCTGCTGCGGCAAAGCCAATGGCTGGAATGAGATGCGTATAGATGTTGACGGTCTCATTGTGAAGGTAGAACCAGCTGTAGAAGCAACGAGCGGTGGAGTTGCATGGCACACGGTAACCTGTCAGGATATAATTGCTCTCTCCAAGCCAATGCGGCACTTCCTTGTTGGAGAGGGTGAGGGCGCCATGCGATTGAGTCTTCCTAGGTAGCAGAGGCGGAGTTTCGTCCAGGTCAACCCGCGAGGGATTTGCTGCGACGAACCCGCGTGAACGAAGGGCGGGTAACACTGTCATCCTCGGGTGGCCTCTCCTCTTAGAATCTTAGGCCAATTGGCGCAGATAAGGATAGCGCTAATGATATTAGTTGGAGAAAACCTGGGGGAGGGAGGCTCAATTTTCCAGGAACAAAAGGAATCGAACTGGAGACGAGCCTAGGAGGAAGATATCTCAGCATTCCCGGGGAAGAGAGTTATATATATCCAGCTCCGTAAACGAGATAGAGATGATATATATAAGAAAGACAAGGGTTCCGCCTTCCCGCATGCAAGGCGAGGCAAGAAAAAAGCAGGATATCGTAACGAAAGAAGCGGATAACATCGCATCCGTCGCAGGTTTATTGATGTTATCAGCCATAATATTTAAAGGTGCACCGCCCCTCGAGCTTGCGAGCGAAAAGTTATGGAAGGATTTGAAAAAGTCCCACTAGGCGCTGGCAAGGATAGCAGAGCTGCAGCGGAAACGCAGGGCTTTTAGCCCGTGGTTTGATGCCCGAAGCTTGTTGGTTGCAGCCCAGCGGCTTCAGGCCCGCCAGAGGCGCATCTTCTCGAGCTGGAGAGAGAGAGAGTTAGTTAGCTGTTGTTTTATCTTGATGATTTTGTCTGATGTTGAAGTTGATGAAGTTGAAATAGTGAGTGTCATGTGATGAGAGCCCAAAGATTGGACGAAAGAAGAGAGAGAGACGAAGCGAAGAGAGATATATGATATCGATCGAG